TTTTTTATTGGAAAACGGAGCGAGGTCGTCATACTGACCATTTCATTGAAAAAGGTAAATGCGTTTGCACCCATACGACCGAGGGGCACACCATTAGAAAATTTAAATAAGTTGATGCAATTCTAACCAAAGTTATCGTGTCTATGACAAATTCACCGACAGACTGTCTGAAGTGTCTGACTATTATATGGGGGATGATACCACTATTCGATCACGTGAGAGTTGGTGTTGCCTACATGGAAATCTAAGGCGAACTGTTACAGCGCGGCGTTCGTGACCTCTTTCGATTTGGTAAAAAGCTTTTTTTTTAGTGTGTTTTTCGAGTAAGGTGCAATTCGATATTACCACTACTCCACCTCATTCTCATGTCTCATTTCTGTTTTCTTCTTTTCCTTTCTCTTATCTTATTCTTCCCCCTTTTCTCCATCTTTCTCTTCCTCTTCCCTTCATCTGCCCCTTCTTCCCATTTTTCCTCCTTCTACTTCTACTACTATCTCTCCCTCTTCTTCTTCAGCTTCTTCCTCACTTTCCTCCTTAATTTTTCTTCTACTTCCTCCTCTTTTCTCTTTCATCTCTTCTCTCTCTTTTCTTTTGCTTCTTGTTTCTCTTTTCATCTTGGTCGGGAGATGAAAACAAGATCAGTTTAGTGGAAAACAGCGTAAGGGGAGCACTTACGTTACTAACCATTCATCTAGAAACGGGAATTAGGTACGATTAAACCCAATTTCGGACTTTGTCTCCTCACGACCGGAGGGCACATCATTAAAAAATTTGAATATCGACGGTGAAAGTCGGCAATCACATAACTCGGTTTGCGACGTCGCAGACTTCCTGTCATACTTTAGTTTTTAAATGGAAAACTACTCAACGGCAATTCTTTAAAACTGTCATGATTTTTCTTCTCAATGCGAAGAAAATTCTGCAAAAACTTCAAAAAATAATATCAATTTGTTCTCCTTTAAAAAAATGACGTAGAGGCGGAGATTTTCAGGCACCGCAAACGAGTTATGTGATTGCCGACTTTCACCGTCGATATGTTGACGAGATTGTAATACAAATTACCGTACCTATCTACAACAAATTCCGTCCGTCTGTTCCACTTTTAAAGGGGAGATTTTCGCTGTTTCATAAGTGTTCCCTACAGAATGATTTGAAATGATGGCAGTGAGTCAATTCACGTAAACATGCCCGGGTTCCGAGCCCGACTTCCAAATTCGCTAAAAGTCGGTGAGCAGGACCATTTCATCATTCAGCTGGAAAACACGGATTATCTTCAATCTTAGCCTTCAGACCCAAGTTGCGGGCAGCAATGCGAGGATCCAAAAGGACATAACACCTTTAGTTCTTCGTTTATATTCAAAGAAATCTCTTTCAAGGCTTTCCTCTAAAAATCATGCTCAGCACATGATAATATCAAAAGTGGAGCACAATAGATACTCACATCCCACGCCTATGTGCACCAATTCGTGCTTATGAGATGTCTTTGTAGCATAAACGAAGAATTGAAGGCGCTATCTGTCATATTAAATCCCCGCAATACATCTAGCCCGCCACCATACTGCGCCGCGCCTCCGCGGGTGAAGGTGAAGCACAGACAATGAAGCGGTGAGTTCTTGGAGAGTGAAAACGCCTTCAATACGAGGCTTATGCAACGCGGACATCTGCAGAGCCCGAATAGTTGCGCATCCAGGCGTTATAATGAAATTTGTTTCGTGTTCGTTGTATTCGATACTAGCTGTGAGGGGGCTTTGCATGTTATTTTCTTGTACTGCAACTCAATTTCAGCGTTACGTTTTGTGCCAATAAAGTAAACTACAACTATTGCTGATTATTAAAGCAACATTGTCGACTTCCCGCAAAATGCTTTGAGTGTTTATACATATTGTCACGATTTCTGACAAAGTTAAGTTTTATTTGTCTCCTTTTTTCCAGTTTTAAGGGCAAACATATTGCGCAAATCGTCGCTCCTCTGACGTAAGGGCGTATCCTAATTTTCGCGTGAGCCCTGTGCTCCGTTTAACTCTTTGATGTTCGGGGCTCATGTGGAAATAGGGATACGCCCTTACGTCAGAGGAGCGGCGAAATGACTCCTTGCCTTCGCCACCTCAAAAGAAAAAAACCTCATTTACGCTTTCAGGGATTGCACTTTTGGAATTTTACCATACTGGATTTTAACTTTGATTTTCTTTTCGAGTTTTATACGACAAACTATCACTTATAGTCCTCAGTATTTATGTTTTCATTTGAGGGGCTTGGAGTACACGGCGCACACGTGCAGTTTTTGCTATTTCGAGATAAAGGTGCTTGAAGTTTTGAAATTGCACGGACCCTCGCGGCGGAAAAAAAATTCAAACCGACTTTTTGATGGTTAAAAATTGGAATTCGGGAGCGAATTTTAAGCAAAATGTGCATTAAGACTAGTTTTACTCGAAATCATTGATAACTCAATTTTTTCAAAAACTGCACTTATGTGCTTAGTCCTTCAAGCCCCTCGTTTGTATTTTTTAAAACATTTCTTTTCAACTATTCTTCCCTCAAATACATATATTTCTTAACTAGTGCTGCAGATATTCATTTTTCCAAACATATTTTAATTTAATTCATCAGACTTTCTGATTATGGAGGCCATACAAACGTGACCTTGTTTCCAGTCTTTTTTTTTTAGAAAAAGGGGGTAAGTATGTGCCGACGAAAATGCTACATGATTATTTTAGGAGTGTCTGGGCCAGCGTTACAATCACGTGACAAAGGGTGGGTGTGCATCAAAAAATTTGAGGAGTTACGTAACATAATTTATGGACCATAGATCAAGTTTGCTCACTGGCGTCATATTTTTAAAAAGGCCTGAGAAAGGAGAGGGGCTTGGATGTTTCAAGTGTGATGAAACCTCTGAAATGTTTCCTATTTCAATTAAATTTTGCAGGATTTAAACTCAAAGCATTTGGAGGAACATTGATGGGTGTCATGATCAAAAATATTCTCTTGGGATTTTTCACATAGAATCAGTGGGGTGATTCCGCAAAATACCCGAAAATGATCAAAAATTACAACTTCATACTTCAGGAAGTTGGGCAACACTTAAAAATCTTCCAATTCGTCTGAAATGCTGCATGAGTTCATTGAAGGGTAACAATTGATGCAGGGGATGAAATTATCCATCATGACTTTTTTATTTAGTGTGCAGAAAAAAATAAAAATAATTCGTAAGAAAAATTACTTGTTTTTGCAATATAAAAAGCTGTGTGTGCCCTCGAAGATTTTTTTAAATGGATGGAAATTTTTACAGGATTTTTTTTTCACCATTTTGAACCTATCTAGCAAATGTAATTATGGCAGTTAAAAAAAGGTCACTTTTGGACCATCTTAGCGTTGCACTTTCTCTCGAAAATTTTGATATTTGCTTATGTAAGAACTCAGGAAAACATTCACACCTTGGCCTTGGATAAGACCAAAGTAAAATACAATACCAAGTGGAAGCACCTTGAACTAAATTCACAAAACTTTAGCTGGTGATCAAGCTATCATCAATCAGCACCGGAAGGAAATGAAAATAATAAAAGATGAAAAGGAAAATTTAGTTGTGCAAGTTTAGATTTCTCATATTTTACTTCTTTTTGACTGATGATGGCCGGGTCTTAGGTTAAAACATCTCATTATTTGGTTTAATGTCTTTTAGCTTTGTAGTTTTGTTGTATTCTTTCATACGTTTATTTCATCCATACAGGCTACTTAAAGATTTTTATCAAATAGTGGCATATAAACAGGTAGATTTGGAGAGAAAAAGAAACCAAGAATATATTGAATCCATGATTGCACTTTCATTAAGTGACAACCTATTTTATTTCATTTTGTTCTGAAAAAGTAGCGACATTAAAGATCATCTCTTTTAAAAGTGACTTCTATCTCTCCCCTAAAGTAAACTGCTTCCATTTTTTAGAGATAAAGAGCTACATTTGTAAGTTAGTGAGAAATCTTGGAAGCAGAATACATAGCGAGTGAAAATTCAGCTTGAGCAATAAATTACAGTCGTGAAAAATTCAAAGTAAAGCGGCAAATTTGATGAGTTACATTGTGAAAAGGTTAAGATTCTGCAAAATTGTTGTCTGTGGGTAAAAATTACTGTGCACGCTATTCACTTACAGTGGCATTCAGTAAAATCTTGTTTCTCACTATTACATGAATACCCTTTGCTTGTCTCACCTGCTTTCGTTGATCCTACCAATTTAAAGAGAATTCAGATAAATTGAGAGAAAATTTCACCTCGCGCCAAAGTATTCAAACAAAGTATTGGAGTTGGATAATGGAGTCAAAACTAAACATGAGAATAAATTATCTTCAGACAAGAAAGCTAGGATTTCAAAGACTATTGAAGGGCTTGGAGGAGAAGGCGCAGAAGAGGAGTTTTTGCTGTTTCAAGAAATACGAGTTTGAAGTTTTGAAATTCCATAAATCCTCATGGTGGAAAGAAAGTTCAAACTGACTTTTTGATGGATAAAAATTGGAAATCGAGAGCAAATTTCTTGCAGAAAATGCATTAAGACTAGTTTTACTTCAAATCATTAATATCTCGATTTTTCAAAAACTGCAGTTATGCGCCTTGTCTTTCAAGCCATTCAATTGATCTATTCAAAAATTGAGGATAAAACTATAATTAGCTCTGACAAAACTAAAGTCAATTTTGACTGAGGTCAGGGCATACTTATTTACCCACAAATAAAGATAAACGGGAATTAATCAAAGAAAGTAAAACCTTTACAATCTAAGTGCTCGAAAAATCAAATTAATTGAACTCGTAAAATTATGTAAGGGAGGCAAATAATTGAAATAGAGTGAATTCATATGAAATAACACTTATTAACATCAAAAATATATTCCAATGAAATCATAAGAAAAATAGTTGCCTCAGAAATTTTAGAGGACTTACCTTCTCTAACAGACATGATTGGTGGGGCTCTGTCTAATGGAGTCGGTGAAACTTTGCTGAGAATACCCGTAAAAATAATTAGATTCCAAAAGTTCTTAATATTAAACACTATTAAATACTGCAATACCTCCTTGCCACCATTTTTCAGTTTTTCAATTCCAAACTCCAGGGGATAATCATTACATTCTCAAAAAACTGTTCTGATAATTTTACATGAAATTCGACGAGATCAGTCCTCCTTTGACTTTATGATTTATTTTCATTCTATAGATATCTGAAGTATAGTATATGATATCAACTGTTGCAGAAGACTCTAAATTTTGATACAAGGCTTTAGTTCTGAAATAAAATTGATATGGTTTGCTCCTACATTTTTAGCGTGATACATTCTAAAAGAGTAAGACAGTTATTTTTATGTGTCCTCTTTGAGTATAGTGATGAAACGGTTTTTTGGGTGTGATGCTAAAAATTAATAAAAAGAAATAAAAATATGGAGACAAAGGATTACTTCCATTGTTTTAACACTTAAGTCATTTTAGATGGTACAAGTGTCATTTTGCAAACGATCCTCTGTCAACAGTATTGGTCAGAAGACAAAAGTTTTAAGTCTAAGTCTTTACACATTAAATGGAATAAATGCAGTCCCTGATCTATAGAATCTATCAATAGGTACATCTAAAATTGATGGGTATAATTGATAAGGTAGGGTTCATATATGTATATTCATTTCCATAGCATGTCTCTTTTAAGAAAAACAAGGCGGATGGATGTCTATCCGCAGTTCATGCGCCAGTACGGACTGGTCTTTTCAGAATTCGGTATGGAGTAAATTAAACAGTTTTTGTTGAACACAAAGACGATCTCTTGGCGTTTGAAGGCTAAAAACTGAGGGACAGTAAGTATCAGTTCACAATTTTATCATCACTCCTGGAGAGAACACATCAAAATATCTGTCATAGATACTCTTTTGAACCATCTCTTTCTTCCTGTGCTTGTGCAAACCTCATAATTCTAACTTGATAACTATTTAAGATATCGATTCTATTAGAATTATTAGTAGTTATTGATATAGCATACTGACATTAATATACCCTTCATACAGGAAAACTCCCAAGGGTCCAGTAAGGACTGATTCCAGCCGAATTTCACGTAGAATCTTGCAAGCAGTTTTTGGAACGTAACGATGATTCCTTCTTGCAGGGAGTTCAAAAATTGAAAAATACAGTTAATTGATTAATCCAAAAAATAAATTTACCTATCACCATCTCTGAAGAGAACACATCAAAATATCAGTCATGATCTTGAACAGCATATTTTTCTTTATGTGCTAGAGCAAACTACATAATAATTTCAAAATCAAGGAATAAATTAATTTTTAAAGGTTTCTTGAAATGGTGACTTAGGCCCCTCGCCTTGCATACTACTTTGATTCAGCATAAATTGTTAAAAAGATGGAAAAATCTTTGTTATGATCTGAGACGAAAGGTTCACAGTTATTTGTAAAAATAAGTTTACTATTTAAAATTAATTTTTTATTTAGCAGGCTTGGTTAGGCGACACTTTTTTAGCTTCATTTTCAGAAGCCTTATCGTCTTGCTTGCTGCAGAGACTGGCTTTCTAACAATTTGCAGTAATATTTCAGATTTCTTTCTCTTATAGCCTGTTTCATCCATTTTTAATGCCATTTCTTTGCATCACTTTAGAGCTACTCATCGTTTTTTCATTACGCCCACACAGCTCTGCTGCGGTTATTGTGAAATTTCAGTGTCTCACAAACTAACGTTTTTACATTACTTAATTAAAATTTGGATAACTTGAAACAAACAAATTCAGTTACACAGTACATATTCGAGTGGCTACTAAATTTTTTTGTTAGGCTCATGGAAATTTCTTGCCTACCTCTCCGTACTTGGATGCTGTCAACCAAGGTACATCATTTTACATGGTAAATTAATTAAAAAATCGAGCTACAAGCCAAGAATAGTTGATAATAATTAATAATTTTTGGCTTGTGGCTCAATTATTTGATCAATTTACCAAATTCTATGCAGCTTAGCCAACCAAATTTGGCATTAAAATGTAGGTCATTTTTTTGTATGGAAAAACAAATTCATATAATTGGTCATTAAAGTTGAAAAACAAGTTCTTCTGTTTTAATATAGCATCACTGAGAGAAAATGGAAAAAGAGAGAGACAAAATATAAAAATAATTAATTGTGACCTCAATCCTTCAAAGACTTCTTCATACTTTCTCAATGTTGAATTTCAAAATTTAATAAAAAAGTATTTCATTAGATATCAAAGCTTTTCTACTTATCAACATGATTGAGGTCCTACACTGCTTTCAACTGAATTTATCCAGTTCTCCTATAGCAAGGGAGAACAAACGAAAAGTGGACAAAGGAGCAAGAGAAAATGAAACAGTGACAAGTGCAGTTCCAGTTTTAGAGCCTTCAAAAATTACATTCTAGTGTTTGCAAAATGGTTGACAGTTGAAGCGCGTAACATATAATAAAAATGAACCTTAGACTATACATTCACCTATTACAATATCATTTGAATCTTGTTTTTCTAACACCAATTCTTGTAAAATAAATATACATTTCATCAAAAAATAAAAATAAAAAAAGATAACATATTTACAAACAATAACCTGTAACTTGAATTTTAAGAAAATATAAAAAAGAATATTATCATAGTAATGATAATAAAACAGTAAGAAATATCAGAAAGAGATACAAACAGAAAATGAGATAGAAAAACAATAAAAGGGGGAGGGGGGAGCAATTAAGAAAGTATAAAAATTGGGGCAAATAAAATGAAAGAAATAGAAAACAATACAAAATGCAATCACAGCCTTTGAAAAAGAATGCAGTCAAAACGTATAAGACTTATAGGTAGCACACCAACCTGATGTGACGGCCCACGGAGGGAATTGACTTAAAAGATTTCTTAATTCGGGTGTTGTTTGTTGAGCCCCATGAACTCTATGTCCTGCTATACCCATTTCAACTACAGCGCCCTTATGATCTGGCGAAACCTGGAACATACAAAATATGATGTCAAACAAGATCAAATTCAACGCTTTTAACAGTGCGTTTTGTGAAGCGGTCATTTTGTGACACAAATCAATCTATTGTCATATTCTGCCATGCTAATGAAAAATACCGTCTCAGCATTCAAATGTTGCTAATTTTTCCTGATGAAACATTTATTTTCAAAGAGGATTATGCATAATGTTCCTTAAAAGTCCAGAATAAATAATTGCAAATAAAAGTGTATATTTTCCTTCAAATGCACTTATTATCCAAAGGAATTTGATGTCTGAAGGCTCATACGGCGCTTTTCCTTAGCACAGCAGTTTTTGGGTTCCATCGTTCATAAAGTAAATTTTCAAACTGCGAGTTCAACATGTATTTTCAAAGTTTGCCTCCTTCTTAATGAGTTTGACCGATTGTTTTGATCATAATTAATATGATACTGCAAGATCTCTGAATGTTTGTAAAACTGATTTTTATTTGGTTCACACTGAACTTATCTTCATAGTTTTTCAATGTGCCAGAGCTTTGGAGTTGGATAAATCTCCATACCCTTCCCCATTCTCTTCATTGTCCATAGAGGATCTTTGTCATCCCTTCGCGGTAAGGTGGTCTGTTGTCAAGGTCAATTATGAGTGAGATAGCTGCCTTAACCAACAGTCATTCCATCTGCATTGAATTTTGGGTTTAAATACCTCCACAGGGCGGTTTAAATACCTCCATTATAATGCGTTCATGGGGCAGCAATTACTTGTCGATTTTTGTCCTTTTCCTCTACTCTTTCTATTTTATCCTACTTGGCAGATTAAAAGCAATCATTAAAAAGCATTAGACCGATCTAAGGGTGCAAAAATTTCCAATACGCTAACCATTCCTTACAATTTAGCACTTTTGTCTCAAGACTAAATTTTCTATATAGCTCATAGAAGTACGTCTTATTCCATGGCATTTCCAATTATAAAATTAAATATGTGATTTGTCCCACTTATTCTAAGTAATGAACAGAAAAGGAAGGGCCAGTAGCTTGGAAAATTGCCTCTTGTTTGCTGCCAGCTGCTTGATTGGACTTTTTCTGCGCCCTGCAGGTCGATAATTAAAATTGATCGACAAAGCTATAGGCAAAGATGATAAGAGGGATATGGAGGGATCCTATTGGTGGAAGCAGGCGGTGAAAATGGACAAAGTAAGTAGGTGGTAGACTTACTAAGTTTTGAAGGGTCGCATATTACATCTATTATTAGACTTTTTCGACCAGAGATATACTAAGGTAGATGCGGGTAAAAAATTGTTTATTACATATCCAGATGCATATTGAATATATAAATTCTTGGTACATCTCTAGTGGACAAAATGTAATAAACTGAGTAATAGCAACCCATTAAAAACCCTATAGTTAGCCCATCATTTTCAATTTAAGTCGATAGAAACCACCCATTTCAACCAATAGGATTGCTCCATACTCCCTATGCCTATTTGTCTGTCGCTTTGTCTATCAATTTCAATGATCAGCCCACTGGACTGATTGTTCTCTCAGATATCCATCACGCTGATTCTTTGCAATCCAGTCCAAACAGTTAGCCAGTGAACAACTCTTTTTTTGGTTTTGTCACGATGACTATGATGTTTGACTATCAATTCAAGGAGAAAAAAACCAAGCTAAACAATGAAGATACAACTTACGAGTAAATCTATCGAAAAATTCCAGGGCTCTGGGTCTGAGCCACAAGAGTAATACACATAATAAGTATCACGGCCATTCCATTTTGGTCCTGCTAAAGGCGTTCCTTGAACAAGACTCCATGAGAGAAGTGTGACTCCCGGATATGGCGACAGTACCAGATTCATATGATCTGGTCCTAAAGAGGAACAGATGAGAAAGGAAAAGCAATTTTACAATCATGATACATATGACAGATCTATTTTGATCTAAAAGCAATCTTCAACGAACTAGGAAACAAGGTATGCATTAAAACACCAGTTTACTTGTTGTCTCCTCAAAATTTAATGGGGAGAACAGTGCAAAATACATCATGCAACACTGCACTAAAAAGTTTAGAAAGTCAACAGCTGACAAAGGAGGTATACAGAAAACAGATAAAGTTCAAGCAGTGAATTTATTCTATTATTTAATTCAATAATATACCAGTTTTGAGGACTATTAGATTATAAAGTGTAAATAATTTTATTTAATTCATTATTTTTCTTTACACTAAACCTTGGTACTAAAACTCTGCACTCCGTATGCAAACCCCAGATCATACAACCTGATATTTTAAAAGACTGATTTTACTTTCTTCTTCTTTATTTTACCTGTTTTTCTTGTTTTCTTTCAGCGAACAGGGCATTAAAATCCATTTTATTGTATAGTTTTTTCGTGAATACTTACAACTTAAGGGGCGGATGTTTAACTGAAATTTCCGATTAAGTCAAACTCAAGCTTCATCCTACCACAATTCGAATTAGCAATGGTCGACTGTAGAACGGTAGATTTATTCCTAATGATCTTCCTTGTCTTAATCACTTTGTTTTTGTCTCAAATTACCGACCTCGTTTGGGAACGAATGACTTTGAAATTATAATCAATGGAAGAGAGTATGGAACAGAAATCAATAGACCACTAAAGAAGGTACGAATTTAAGTATTCTGATTTAAATTTCCTCTTCAAAATTTCATGTAGGACACGATTTTCGCAATGAAAATTACTCATATTAACTCTCAACTAAGGTCATGACGTTTCTGTCAAACATTTATTGCGAAATTTTTGGATTTCCTGCTCACAAAAAAAAACAAGAGTCTACTTGAATCAAATCGCACACTACAATGATTTTGGTACGCTTCTCAACCGAGCAGTGTTCCTTCCCGGTCATGTGTTGTTCAAAGTGTAAACAACATGTAAATGACTGATATTGAGGTTATTACATTTCCGTATTGCAAAGACTGTCACTGTGACGTTTAACATGTGTAACTTAAGAAGATTATTGCATTTTTTAGGAGCAGGAATTCTAAATTTGTGCATCAAAAAATGTTCACATTTTGATTAGTAGTTACTTTCAGTAATTTTCACTGTACAAATCATGTGTTATACTGGAAATTTTGCACCTTGTCTAGTGACCCATAGAAATAATTCAGTTTTGTTTGAGGAATCTAGAGGAAACTTACCATTGGCAACAAATGACAGTCTTTGAATTTCACCTTTGGGCGAATCTCTCTTTAATAGCTTTAAATCTACAGCTACTGGGACATTGGGACTTCTCCCTGGAATCCAATGCGTTTTCCTGCAAAGAAAATGATGATTTCAGTTTCTTCTGATGTTGCGATAAATTCACTTGTAATTACTTACAATTAGCTAAAACCCATGGAAACAGTTTTGCCAAGAACTAGAGACTGCGCTCCCTCAGTAGATCATATAAAGACATTTTAGTGAAAAGCTCTTGACTAGGAACAAGAAAAAACACTAAAAGAAAAAAAAAAAAGACTGGTACTTAACTCTTGACTAGTAAGTTGTACAATTTAGCAAAAAAGAATTTCTACAAGGAAGTTGGCTTATACTTTCAGAATTTTCTTACACTCTGTCCAGAAGTTCCACATTATAAGCACCTGGGCTAAAATAATTCTTTTGGGTGAGAGCTTTCTCCCTAATCATTGTGGAATTTGAGTGAAACTCTTTGAAAACTGTATCCGTAAAATTGATAGCTTACATAATCTAAAATTTGCATTATGTTGGGAAATTTTTCAGGGGCTATGACAAATTTGAAATAAGTTAAAATAGTTGGTTTTTCTATTGAACTGGGCCCAATTAATGTGCAGAAACATGAGACCTACCATATAAATGTTGCGACAGGTATAATGTACGGGAGACCACAGTACAGTTCATTTTTACAATCGTCAGATATGAGTTCAGCATTGGCTATTTCTGGAACTAAACCTCTGACCATTCTGGGACTGTTGACATCTAGATCTACAATCCAAAAACCAGATTTATGGCTCCTCACAGCGCCATTTTCATCATGTAGTATCCTGTCTGTATGCTAAAGTAAGAAAGGAAAAAAATGACAAATGTGACAAAAAAGGCTTTGGAGGACTATGGAAGAATAAAAAACTTCTCATGAACTCTACATAATACGTTTTAAAATTTAAATAAAGACCAGATACAGTTTTTCAATATTATCCACAGGTAATGCTTACGTTAAAAATATACTTCTATCTTGTCATAGAGAAAGGGCAAAAAATCCATGAGAAATATACTTTTGCTGGTCAATGGGAAAACAGATCCGAGTGCCAAGAAACTATAAGTCAAGATATTGATACAACTGCTAAAAGACAAGATTTGGACAAGCTTTGGCATGGAAACTACTGGATTGCATGACCGGCAGACTGCATTTGTCGGGAGGCAGCAAAAATAGGTCCTGAAAATGAGGAAGCTGGCTCCTGTCAGTATGAACACAGTATGTATTTCACAAAATTGTGAGTGTTTGTGAATAAAAAAAAGGGGAAGACGGCAATAAATTTATCCCTTTGAAAATTTTAGGGAGGAGCAGATTTTTAAGATGGCAACGCCTGTTCAAAAATGAAAAGGCTACACTGGTTAAAGTGCTCAGAAATTTGAAGCGAAATAAAAATAATGGCGTTTCGAATGCAGTTTGAAATAGGTGTTAGAATGACATAGAGATTTTGTAGATTTGACCGAGAAGGATTCCTTCAATGGATCTTGCCTCCCAAGGATGAACGAATTAACCTTCAAGTTGGTAGGCTTGATAAAACTTGACGGGGATACTATACAAAATAAAAGAAGTACTGATTATCTTACCACTATGATGTACCTCTGAGGTGAGGGAGCTTGTGGATCACTTGAATAAGGAAACCCGAGAGGAGTAAAAAGTAGAAGCAACACTGATACAAAAAATACTATTGACAAGAAACTAATGACTTTCTTCCCACTTTTGACCAGTAAAATCAGAGGAGCCTGCAAGAAAAAGTTACCGTGATTAGACAGTGAAATCGGAATAAAAGCTGGTTTATTAACATTTTGAATGAATGGTAATGATTTTAGTTGATTCTACAAGTAAGGGAAGTAAAAAACACCAAAATATAGACAAAATTCTGCGAAAATTGGTGAAAAATTAGGTTGGTTCCAACTTTAATTTCATGCAGCAAATAAATAAAAAAAAAGGCCGAATTTGAGGCATATTAAAAAAAATCCTATGAATTAAAGCCAACAGTATGCAGACGCAAAATTAACCATTTCATTTGAAAAGACGATTGAAATACTTTTCCATCTAGATAATTTTAGACTCAGTTCTTCCAATATTCCCACCGCATTCTGTGGAATTTCCATCAATACTACAGTAGCGTGCTGCTAACCTTAAGCGGTAAAACATTTCACTGAACATAGTGACAACCCTGTAAAAATTTTCCTACAGGGCATGTGCTGCGTTGAAATTTCCAGAATAAAGATTTTTGGGAAACTTTGGATAGGAAGAGTGGGCAATACATCAAATTAAAAAAATACAAAAAATTTAAGTTGACGGGCAGACAAATGTACCTTGGCCGACACAAGCAAAAATTTAAGTTATTATTATTTACTCTTGCTACGATTTTTTCTTGTCTCTTGTGTTGTGTTTGTTTAACAGAAAAGAAAGAGAATGAGTCAAAATTTAAAGGAAAAGAAAGGAAAAAATATTGGAGGAAAATCATCAGCTTCCAAAGTCTGTAGAAAAATTCCGCAAGTATTCATATACTTTAACTTAGAATAAAAATAGACACCGCTCGAAACGTCCCGTGATTTGTAATGATTATTGTGTCTTTTATCAGCCTCGTCCCTGCCTTTTCATGTCTATTTTTATTCTATGTTCTCGGGCTGCCATGGTGTACTTTTATCTTTACCTTAGATGTGAGTCACAAAAGCCACAAAAAAATGAAGATGGTAAAATTTTATCATTATTTACTTTTTGCCTAATATTAATTGCAACTGTGATTTCAGTGAATTTCTTCAATCATAATCGAATCATGATCAAATTCAAAAATACTTGACTGCACAGCTCTAGTGCTTAGTATCCTCTAAAATCAAAACCGATGAAAACAACACATTGAGAGTCTATGTGACTTGCTTCAACAGTTGCCATCTTCCCTCACGTCCTCAAACTTTAAAAATGCTTGCCCACTTTGAAAATTTCCGGGAAAGTTCAAAACAGCCTTGAGAAATTTTCCATGATATTTCCCAACATGGTAATTTCAAAATATAACTTACGTAAAAAGTAAAAAATAAGAAAAATCCTGCGGAGAAAATTGCTGAAAAAACAACTTCGGCAAAGTTCCCTGATCCAGCACGACCCATGATTGGTACAACTAACTGAACGGCAGACAAGAGCATGTATCCAGTTTGAATGAAAGGAAACAGTAGAATACCAGTGTATGCCCACAACCACCGCCAATCTGGAATCGATTCAGATTTAACACTGCATTAACTTATCTGATAAAAGAAATATTAAAACTAAAAAGAAAATAATTAGACAGCAAGAAATATGCTACGGCACAGAGAATGATCCAGCTAAAAGAACTCAAGGATAGTGACCCATCTCTGAGTTTTAGGCCTTAGTAACATATCCATGGTCCAGCTCCTAAACCAAATAAAATATCCTAACCACATATATTGGTTAGCGACGTGGCAGACTTCCTGTTATGGTTTATTTTTTAAATGGAGAACTCCTCAACACCAATTCTTAATAATTCTCCAATTTTCTGTACGAAGTAAATTTAGAGAAAACTTCAAGCAATGATGTTGATTTGTCCACTTTAAAAAAAAAATAAAACAGGAATAGAGATTTTTAAACACTGCAAACGAGATACGTAATATGAGAATTTCAACGTCCATGTCTAACAATCAGTCCTTTGCGATATATCAATATTTCCCCATTTGAAGCTATGGTAAAGAATCGATTATTAAGGTGTTCAGTGTGAACATCCTGTTTATCGATACTTTTCCATAGGTGTAAATGGTGGATCAACCGAGAAATCGCAAAGAACGCCACGCCACTGCTAACAATTAGCCAGATTGACTTTATTGGGTAAGGTTTTTGCATGTCTCTCTCCAGGCAAACCTAGTTATCAGCAACCCAAGAAAACTGTCCACAGATGCAGTAAATTTGAAACAGCACAATACAGACTATGCAAAAGGTAAAATTATGGAGTGGATTTTTGACATTTATGCTCACCACAATTTTCATGCAATTTTACGAGAAAAGGTCTATTTAGTTGGCTGTATTTTTCATGCTCAAGGGACACGTTTCTTAGTGCTAAGAAAATACCACTCGATATTTGATAACTCTGCACAAAGATATTTCTTTACATCAATTCTAAAAATCACATAAAGAACATACATTTTTACTTAGAATGAAAGAGTTATAATTGAAAATATAGGTTACCTCGCCACTGAGTAAAAACTTTTTCACGAACGACCCAGGAGATGACAAGAAAAAGAACCCAAAGTGATAGGAGTATTCCTGAGCGAATTTTGAATATTATGGCAAGAGCAAGAATGATCGTCCAAATGAGTTGGACAGCATCGTGGTAGATTCGATGAACAATCCATGGATTGCTCACTTCCTGAAAACGCATGCAAATTGCACGGATCAAAATATTTGCAGTAAATGCGGCATAAATCAAATTAGAGGGACTAAAATTCATTATTGCTGGAACTTTGAAAGAGTCACAAAGGCCAAATTGATGAGTGCATTATTTGCTTCACCATTAAAGTCATATAGGGATGAAAGATAATGACGAGGAGAGCACACCTAATTATCAGAAGAAACTTCTAACTTAAAAAATTTAGCGGTAATTTAAACTTACAGGAGAAATATGCTCTATGATTGACACTCCACCATTTTTCCAATTTTATGATAATCATATTTATACCTTTGCTGTCAACTATAAATTTAAAAACAAAGTATATTTTTACTTAAGCTCAAAACATCAAGTCAAATCAAGATAGATGCTACTATTTCTGTCTTCATGACTAATAAATACTTTCTTACAGAAAACTCCAGCAGAGCAAGATGAAATTTTCATAATAAGATTCACTGGAAAGTTTTCCAAGTGCAAAAATCGGAAATGAAAATTCAAGTTAAAGCTCTTGCTGAAGGTTGTGGTAATGGATGAGATGGGCAAAAGACAACCTTGATCGCCATACAAATGACTATGCTAGGAATAGTGAGGAGACCAACTCGTTTTTTACCAACATACATTGGAAGTTGGAGTAGGTATTCTTTTAATTTGAAGGGAGAAATTCCACTCATACACAGAAAAAAAAAAGCTTAAGTAACATCCCAGATATTAAAAAACTGCGTGCCAACTCTTGAATGTTGATATGAATCCAACTCTTGAATGTTGATATGAATCCTACAGTTCTTAGTTAATTCAGCATAGCTACGGTATTACTTTAACAGCCGCAGTATCCGTACCAACATTCAAAAAGTATTGCACAGATTTTGAATATCCAGAATGTTACTTCGGCAACTTTTTTCTTCCAAGTATTAGTATTTTTTACTTTTTTTTCTTTCTTTACATTTATTTAGAGTTGCTTCTCTAACCACGGGGCATCTTTACACACTAATAGAATCTTGGGGTGAAATCTGGCTTTCGATGGACTGAATTTTTTTTTTTTTTTTGGGGGGGGGGAGGGGGTCTGGATTCGTGAGAAATTTGGTCAGTAAGAAGGATCTGCTCTTAACACCGTTTAAAAACGCCAAATGACTGAACTGGGAGTGAATTTTGAGATATGTTTCCACAAAAAATCAGTGAAGCTATTGCTTACCTTCCGAATTTTCTTGGAAAAAATCATCGTGGAAGACAAGAGAGTAACAAAAACTGGAATGAGGTAGAGAAAAAACAGCCAAGCAGGACGTGAAAACCAACTCATGGCTCGATTCAAAGCAGAGAGTCCTAGAGCTATCGAGGTTGTGAAGAAAAGTGCCACAACTCCAGTTAAAATGATGATCAGACTAGACAGGCACATTAAGCGCACATATTGGCTACTCGTCACATTATAACCTGCAATAAAACCAAATATTTCAAGAGAAACACGCGTACTTCAGAGTTTGAAGTTTAAACAGAATCTTCTTCTGACAGAGAGGAAAAATCACGGAAGTTTTCCAAAAATTACGTTTCATAGTTCCCTAAAGAAAAAATAAAGTATGCAAGGAAGTCCGCAGCGTTGCAAACGGAGCTATGTCGTTTCGCAGTTAGCCATCAATATTTATTCCACTGATCAGTCTCAGGCAGAAACCTTCAAAAATACTGGTTGAATGATCTCATTAATGAAACAGTTCTTAAAGTTTTTGAGTTTAGGAATTTTGAAATTTTGCCAACACGGGAGGAATCGGGGACCAATTTTGGAAATTTTGATCCAGGTTTTACATCTTATTTTCTGAGTGAGGGATACTCATGACAAAACACTTGAGGAAAATGTATGTAACACAACTTTTACTTTTCATTTAGGTATAATTCAGAAATTGAAAGAAGCAAAATTTGAACTTAACCAGTAGTCAAAACACAATAACTGCTACACAAAATCAAGGCATGGATTTGAATCTTTCTTTAAAAAGAATAAAAGTGAATTAAAAATAAGTGGATAAAAGACATGATAAAGATGAATTAAAATGAAAAGAGGAAATCACATTATTTGCACAAAATAGTAAAACGTAAGCAATGCTAAGTTACCTTTCTTCTTGGAGTCCTGAATATTCCAATATATTGTGTAGAAAGAGATAGAGAGAAAGACATAGTGAATCAAGCCTGCTACAACTTCTGGCAGGTAGATTATGAATGCTCCGAGGACGTCAAAGAAGACTAAATTTCCGTGTTTGTACTTTTCTATATTTGACAGCTCATCTGAATTTACTAGTCTCTTTACAAGAGGTAGAATGTTGTCACCTGTCCTTTGCAGAGTGCCGAGGGGTATATAATCAATATTATCAAGTTTGGTATGATATACATATCCATTAGATGACCAAGCAAAGTCCAAACCTGAGACAAAACAAGACAGGATTTTAATGAAGCTAGAAACAGATCATTTGGACCGCATTTTGCAAAAAGGAACCAAGAACATTCCGATGTCGCTAAAATTATGTTTTCTTACCATGTAAATATAAAACTGATCATCTGAACAAGTTTTATCTTTACTCCCAACAAACTATGAATTCAAGATGAAAATGACCTATGTAAATTAATTTCTTGCATGATTTCAGTAATTTCATTGCAAAGAGTGCAGGTTGCGCAATCCTAGCAACATTGGAATTTTCTTGGTTCCTTTTTGCAAAATACAATCCATATTAGTCCTCTAAAAGAGATGATTTCTACTTGAGAATAGCAGGAAGTCTGCACGGCTGCAAACCGAGATACATATTTCTGCAGTTTCACCATTGATATGCTCTTGTCCCCAAAGCACATTTGAATTAACATCTTCGTTGTTCATACTAAAATGAATAATTTCACCGAATAAAACTTTCTTGTATTTCTCCCTCCATTCACAGACTGAGTCTTAGAGTCTTCTTTTATCACTACGATGCATTTTCGTGTTTTAGAGTGCATAATAGCAGTAAGCAAACATTTGATAATGTTCAGTTTTTCTCTCTTTGACTCAGTCAGCATTTATTTAAGCATGCTGTTTACCTTTCATTCATTTGATAGTGCTGCTTTGCACGATACATCTAGAACAGGGCTAATGAGGCAAGTCACCCATCAAAAATGTTGACCTCTGGAAGTGTAGAAAGCAAGAGCTCAATGGCTGGTTGTACTCATTATATGGAACTTAGAAGAGCTGGTAAATAAATAAAATGAGTAAAATGATTTTATTGTATAACATTGAATTTACCAGAAATTTGACCAAAATCTCGGAAAACACGGTAATCGGTATCAGCAGGGATAATACCACTTTGGAAAATTTCTTGAGCAACAGATGATGTTAAAGGATAAGGTACTGTTTCTGCATATGCCTGAAATCATAATATTAAAATTTATTAGTTAGATTTTGATAATATACAACCAAAACAAGAATACAAATTAGAGTTCTAGATATTTGAGCTAGCAAAGAGCACTGCGAGAGATTAACTCTCCCTGCACTTTATTTTACAACCAGATTGAGAAAGTAGAGGAATTTTGAGATGAAGTGACGTCCTAATAATATAGTCTCTTGCCTCCAGGTTGAATTTGGAATTTGGAATCCAGTGATCATTATTTTCTATGGGAAATTTTAATGAAGAAAAGTGTTTCGTAGTGCTTTTTTCCATACCTCGTTGAATGCTCCACTGTAAAAAAAGGGGGAAAAAGAGCTTCCTGTAGGCTTGATTATCATTGGTTTTTTTTTTTAGAAAATTATACGAAATGATGTGAATTAACAGAGATTAATTTCCCTACACTAAAGTAGAATGTGGCAGAGCGTTTGCATCATTCAAAACCAAGATACAAGTTTCCCTAATTTAACCACTGAAATTTATGATAAAGACTTTAAACAAATATCGACGGTGAAACTACCAAACCACGTATCTCGGTTTGCGACGCCGCAGACTTCCTGTGATACTTCATTTTTTAAATGAAAAACTACTTAACGTCCAGTCTTGAAAATTTCTGTGATTTTTCCTCTTCGTGCGGAGAAAATTCTGTGAAAATTTCAAGGAATGAAATTGATTTGGTCTACTTCAAAAAAATAAAATGCGAGCGTAGATTTTTAAACACCGCAAACGAGATACGTCGTTTGGTAGTTTCACCGTCAATATGCCTCTTCTGCTGTACATTAAATTGCTGCTTATACTTTAAGAGGGTTTAAAACCACCCATAAGAGTGTTAGAAAATTTCAGAGAAATTCTTGATAAGATACCTACCTAAAGAAAAACGAAACAAATTACAGCGCAATAATAGCATAGTAAAAGTTAAGTATGACAATAGTATAATGCTTTTCTGGTATCAATATTTAAGCATCTATTTCCAAATATTGCCGTCGTATTGTGGCGTAATGATTGTCGCGCTTTCTCTGGGATCGAGAAGTCCCGGGTTCCATTTCCGGCCGGGTGACCCGAGTTTGATGGTCTCAAACAACAGTTACCTGGGGCTGGCTTGATTAGGGACTGAGGGGGGATGGGATTTTAACTGCAAACAGGGGACTACCCCCTCAGGAGTATTTGAAATAAAAATAAAAAAGATAAATAAATGAACAATACCTGCATCAACCACGGATGTTCCGGGCCAGCTTGGAACAAAATTTCTCTCCCACCTGCTCCGCATGCTTCCAAATTTACAAATATTCTAATACTTTTTGCCCATGCATGTTGAGTAATGAAACCATGAGAAGCTTGCATTAGATTCTCTTCTGCACCATTAAACAGAAATATTATGTTGTGCTTCAAAGGAGTTTTTGATTGAGAAATAATTTGTAGCATCTCTAACATAACAGCACAACTTGCACCATCATCACTACCACCTGCAACATATAATTTTGGGTGCTACATGATTCTATTTAGTGCATTAAGAGCACAGTTGAGGATTGTTTCAATTTCTGAAAAACAGTCAATTAGGTTCATCAATATAATGCTGATTGCAAAAAATTGGAGTAACTCTCTTAACCTGAAGAGCTGAAAACAGATGTTTCCTCATCCATCAAGGCCTTTCACCCCGATCACCTTGATACTTTTTTTTTCAATCAGTGGGTGTGGTCGAGAGATCAGTGAGGATCAGCACTCATGCTTTAAAGCAGAGTGACTACAATGTTTCTTGTATCACCTTTCCGTTCAGGGCATCCCCTCTCTTCGTACATTCCACCACTATACAGGGTGATCCAGAAGTCCTGTACCATCATTGTAACTTTTGAACAAATTAAGTTAGGTAAAGACTTAAAATTTTGTTAGAGCTCATGAGTTAAGGGGAGTTACTTTAAGACTCCTCAAAATTCTAGAGGGGGCCACCTTGAGAAGGATTACATACCCTATAACTTCTTTTTTCCAAAGAGAAAGTCCCAACTTGTAACAAATAATTAGGTACTTAGAAAGGACAAAAAAAAAAATTCAAAATGTTGGTCGAAATCATAAGTCTCTGCCTGAGTACCACTATTTGGACATATTATGAGAAACAAAAGTGTGAAAATGAATGAAGGAGAAATGGTAGGGCAAATTTTAACTCCGACTTTCCACCAATTTATTTAATCTTTGTCTCTCAAAATAAGGAGGAAAAATTCACTGTTTCGTGACAAGACGGACGTAGATGAACACATTAAAATTCAAAACTCATTACAGATCATGAGGATTTTTCGTTTCAGATGGGAGAGTTCATTAAAAGAAAAAAATTTAAAAAGAGCGAACTCCAAGTTTCATCATTAGCATTTTTAATACATGCGCTCATGTGTGAAGTGCTGTTCTTTCTTCTTGAGACCTTCAAAAGCTTTCTTTTCTCATAGAAACTTTCTAAATGATCTTCTTAAAAAAAAATGATAAAAATAAAAAAAAAACTTTTAAAGGGCATTTGAAAAGCTTGAATACATGAAAAGAATTGTGGGAGGGGGGGGAGGGGGAGAGAGGAAATTATTCCTAACGCACTGACTAACTTGAAATGATGGGAAAAGGAATATAGAAAGCAAGAATTTACCTGGACTATCTGGTACTGTGTCTATATGGCAATTGATCAGCATGCTGTGCTCCGATTCTTCTACAGGACCAATTTTCACGATCACATTTTGCACATTTTTGTATACATTCGTAAGGCCATCAAGAAATTCTAATGGAAACGCACCACTTGTTTTTTGTAAATCTATAGATATTCTGTGTATAGGAACAGATTTTGAAATTATTGAGTTAATTTCTTTTTTTAAGAAATCAACAGCTAAAATTTCATTTTCTACACTACCAACAGGCCTTGGGCCCATACTTGTGAGGTTATAGAGGTGATTTTTAGCTCTTTCTGCAATAAATCTACCGGGATTATTGACTTCATCTTCGAGCATAAGGGGGGTAGGTAACCACTTTTCCATTTCTACGATGATGAAGAAGACAAAAATCATGGCAAACATGGCGCCTGTGAAGTGTGATGAAGATATTGGAGGTGAAAACTTGGCTGAGTGTTTGTTACTGTTGTAATGTTTAGGTAATATTTCATTTGTCTTGCTTGGTCGCATTCGTAAACGTAGTTTGGAGGCATAGTCACTCTGAAAAAAAGAGATAAAAATAAAATTATGAGCATGATGGATTAAAATAAACCTGGATTTAAATACCATAGGATTTTTCAAAATGGAAGCTCAATTATTACATGAGTACTATTCCATGCAATTTGAGATTGTTGCAAGGGTTGATGCAGAATAGATTTGACTAAAAAAGTAATTTACAGCAAAAAGACAGAGTTACCTAGGATTTTTCTTTCAAGGGGGAGTCACATTACTGCCCCACCTAAAGTTTGATCAAAACAAGGCCAAAAGTTTTGTAATTTGAAACTAATAGACTAATATTTCCTAATTTTAGCGAATGGGCTAGAGAGGACCCATAATTGGACGGAGTTAAACAGAAAGGAACCAAGCCACATCGGGATCGAACCGAGAAAAATAGGTTTAAAGCTTAGCTCCTGCATAAGACTCAATGTAAAAGATAAACTTCATGTTCAATTTCTGCAAAATTTTCTCCGACAAAAACTTTGAATTTTTGGCGATAGGTAGTAGAGCAGTGATTGAGTTCAAAACCACTCATAGCTCAATTATTTCCAAGATGTGGGTTGGTTCCTTTTTGCTTACCTCAGTCCAATTTTTCTTAATAATTTGGAAAAAAGGGAAAGGGCACGATATTGTTCCTTACATTTCAGTTCTGAAGTTGTGTGATGGGTTAGAGCACTGCCCACAGAAAAGAGGTTTGTAGTTAAATTTCCAGGGCTTCACCACACATTTGTCCCTAAGAATGTTTTGATTGATCTGTACTTACTTGCTACATCAGTCTATGCTGTCCTAGGGCGGACGCAACTCTTTGAGACTAAAAGTAAGCCAGTAAATATAAATACTCTGTGGTAAAAAGAGGCTTTTTAAACCTTGTGGAAAATCCTTAACACCGTTTGCAGAAATTCATAGACCCATGTACTATAAAATCCGTCGACTCGTCTGGAAATTGCTAAGCTGTGAGGAAATTTTGTCATGAATATCGACGACCAACTTTCCATCGTTTTTCACAGACAATGTACAGGACACTTTCAGCAGAATAGAAAAAATAATGATTATGTACAGTGAAAAGCTATGAGAATTTTAAACTGATGAACTTTGAAATTCAGGATTTCAGGAAGTAAACACTTATCAAGCATACCAAACAATCAATACTTACTTTATATCTGTTAATCATTTTGTTGATCTAAGTTATTTGGAGATGTAACAGATCGAAGAGGAATGAAAATAGGTATATGAATTATGATCAGTGGGGAGACTCAGCAATATTCCTCGAGATAACAAGTCAAGCTTTTCCAGTTGTGTTTACAGCTACCTAATTCTTGATAAGAAGCACTGAGTCACTGATCACTGATAGTTGATAGTTCGGAGTAGACTGAAATCAGAAGGCAAACAGCGCGAGTTACATTGCGGAAGGGACTGGCGACCGGCGAGAATGGCAAGGAATAGCAATGTCAATAATTATCTGTGCGGGCAAGAGCAGACCATGACTGTAATTACGAGTAAATTTTAACAATTTTAACCATTTCAGCGTTAGGACCGTGTTTAGCCCGGACATTTCCAACCTAACCTAACCTTGAGACCCAGTCATCGGTGATCACCTTCCAACGTAAACAAAAAAGTAGCCCCTTCAAAAAAATACGTAACGCTCCATGGGGAGGGGGGGGGCTTAGTGCCATAATTCGATGCTGCGACACGTAACGTACGTAACGATTCCTTAGGCGCGTAGCGCGACTTTTTCAAAATTTGTAATAAATCAATTCGATGTTACAATATTTGGTTCAAAATTTACCATGAGATATTACTTTGATTTTTAGGGGGAAGTCGAACTGAGCGTCACGTAATTTTTTAGAACGTTGCCGACGGATGCATTACGAGGGGGAAGGGAAGAACCTCAGCTGTCAGCGCTACGTATTTTGTGAACGGCCAGAACGGCCCCTAAAATCGCCAACAAGAATGGCTGCGGATCTCTCTTCAGATGAGTTGATGGTTGTTTTCTTTTGACTGTCAGGCGCAGAAGACCGATTTCCATTATCTGCGCAGCCCGGCGGCGCTGACCGCTGTCAATCCTTGATTTCTATTGGACGGCAGTAACGCAGTCATTTGCAATCGGAAAGTAAACAACAGCCGACTTATCTTACGCAAGTTCTGCCTTTTGTTTATTCTTTCATTCCCAGTCATTTTCCAGTGCTAATCAGTAAGCAGTAATTACATAAAAGTATATAAGCAGTGTTGTTGCAGTGTTTCATTTTGATATTTGATAACGCATGTATCGTAAACTTTTCATCAAATAGAAGACCTAATCTGATCTTCGTACTTCTGCCACTCTTGATTCTGTAGACTTTTATCTCTTATCTCCAATGTGCCCATACCGAAGTTTTGTCTCCTGCCCGTTGAGTACAATTGTCTAGATTTCATTTTAATCATGACCAATTCGTGTACGAGATTCGGTTTTATAATCACCATTTGCGTGTAATCACCGTGTATTGGGTCCACCGTCCAGACGATCAAGCAAGAACGGGTAGATGATTCAGATCCTAGAGCGATCGGCTTTTCAATTATCACCGTTCTGTGTTCAGACATTCCTGATCATCATTGTGATGGTTTTTCATAATCAATGGCAATTTTTGAGCAAAAACATTTGAAGAAGGAAATCATTGATGATACCCATTCCTTGTCATGTACCATTATCAATGCTCAGTTGACTCAAGGCCACATAGTAAGTAAATTCTTTGACGATATTAATTCTTCTTGAGTCCATGCCAAATAAGTTTCCGCACTTTTAGACTGAGTCAGAAGATCCACCATTTTGATTCCTATATTTACTTCACCTATGAAAGTGATGTCAGACGATCGTCTTTCGCAGTCTAAAAGGGCGCACTCTTGTTTAACATGAATTCTATCCAGGGTGTATTCGTCTGACTTGGTCAAAATCAATAAAATATTTCATCAGCCTCAAAAATATTTCACTTATGGTTGTTTCAAGTCTCTCCGCCCAATTTTCATGACCATATTTAAGTGTAGTTTTGCAAGAAATAGGTACAAATTTTACTCATTTTTCTCAAACTTCGTAACAATTCACCCTCCTGTTGATCAGGAGATGCGCAGAAATAGAGGAAGGCCTGTCCTCTCCCCCTGTAAACTACTTGGCTCCCCTGAAGGAATGAATAAACTTTTCGGTGGGAACAGCTGAAAATTGCCCATGAGACCACTCAGTTTTTCAAATTTTTTCAGGGGAGGCTCTCTGGACCCCCGTTAATGCTAGGGTCATCCCCCAAACTCCCCTTTGGAGTTAGGGGTTTCCTGCAAATCCTCCTCAGTGGGGTGTCTTTTTGTGCTCCCCCATGAAAAGTTCCCAGTTCTCCTCATGGCAGTTTGCACCAGTGGCATGTGATTAGTATAATTTCATATTTAGAGCGAAAGACCATTAGAATCTTATAGCTCCAGTAATATTGGAATGAAACTCGGTGATCAGTCCCAAGCCATGTTTCAAAATTGGATTTTGATGCTGCCTCTGTCCCATGTTCATTTAAGTACCTATCTATACCAATATTTAGTTTTCCTTCTGCTAGTAGCGCTAAATAAAGGGTGCATGGAGAGCAGGACTGTGCATCTTTCCCATGAGGAGTTTTAATAAAGAACAATGAGAGCAAAACTTAATTCTACCTGGAATGTGGTGAAATTTACCATGGAACTTGAAACTGTTTTTTAATTTATTTTTTTAAGCTACATTGAGGAGTTCAAAAATTGAATCATTGCTCAATTAATTACTTTTTAAATTTATTTTCCTTCTTACTATTTCTGTTCTTCGCAGGATTATACTCTCAGAGTTTTAAGAAGTAAATTTGAAGATAAAGTATGGCATGTTACCAAGCGGTACAGTGATTTTGACAGCTTATACAATGCCCTCCAAATCAGTGGCCTCAAGTTTCAATTCCCTCCGAAAAAGTACTTCGGCAATCTCAACCCTGAGTTTGTTGCCGAAAGGCAAGTTGGTTTACAGGTCAGTATTATGTTTTCATCTTTCCAAAAGAAATGGATTGACACAGTAATCGAGCATTTTCCAATATTTTTTTCCTCGTATTTTATGAAGGAATTGATGTACTCATCGTGGTAAAGGCATTAGAAACTTAATAATAACTCCTGCTGAAAGAACATTACGGACTGTACCTGGGGTCCGCCTATTTTTGCTTTGTATTATCCCAATTCAAAGTTCACCACCTTACAATAGCAGACCGTTTTCTACAAAATTGATCAAACATTGCCAAAGTTCTGTTTTTCAGTTTTTTGGAAATAGCTTCTAGTGTGATAAAAAAAAAAAAAAAAATTCTGTTTAAAGGGCCTAAAAATCAACTCTTCAAGAATCGGGGTGTCGAGTGCAGAAAGGAAACTTTCTCAAGAGTGCCCCATGGGGTCTATGCATAACTTGTATCCTTCACTAACATTGTACCAAATATGCATTCAGTCCTTGTAGCAAAAGGCTTTTAAAAAAATAGTGTAAATAGAATATTTATACAGTATTAAAAAGTTATCAATATTACCATATTAAATACAATTTTGCTTTTCTCCTCCCCCCCCTTTTGAGGTCAAACAAATGGAGTACCCTCAAGTAAGGTCTATTGTCTCACCTCTTACGTCCATTCTCAGAGATATCTCATCGCCCTTTTTTTTCTGTTTTCAGAGTTTTTTAGACACTGTATTAATGAATCCTATATTATCGTTGTCTCTTCCGGTGAGGAGATTCCTCAATCCAGAAACTTATTCCATTCCATTTCAAGGTAAATCACAGCGCCTCTCATTATTTTATAGTTCAGTCAATTTATTGCCAGTAGTGATAGTTTAAGTTTTATAAAGATGTATATAATATGAGCTCAAAGGAAAGAAAGGAGAATTAGTAACATCTACATCAATTTAGTCGCTCCTCATAAGCTTTTCTGTAAAGAATCAGAGAATATCCAATTCATAATTGCAACCATCAACTTTTAAAAATTTCGGCTGACTCGTTAGGTAACAATCCATCGGGGACTTTTTAATGCAATCTTACTTCAAGTCAGTCTACTCGATGTTCAGAGTTGTTTTTTTATAGAGCGTTATAATCATTGCATAAATATGCATTATTGTAAGGGCTGCTTCAAAAGCAGTGTTTGAAGTAGCATTTATTTAATTTTCAGAGTCACTGTACACTAATTTTGTCCCTTGTAAAGTCAAAAATAGAGGTAGCGCTGATTATGTTGCTTATAATGTGAATAGACACTTTTTCATCCTTAAAAAAATGGCAGGAATGTGCACACTCAGAAGAGCGTGTTGTGAACTCCTTGACATTAGTTGGGTTGAGATCGGACAGGCAACTAAACTAACACCGTGACAAAGCGAAGAGTATCACAAGAAATGAAGGCGCTTCAAGCCGAGTTCATACGTATGAAGACCATAACCCTTAAAAATTGCATTATGCCGATGCGCATTCATTGAAACAACTTGTGAACCGCTCGCAAATTGCCGGCGATTGCTAATTGACTGCGACATATGCATAAGTTCCTTCTACCTAAGTTTAATCTGTTTTTTTTTTTTTTTAATCTTTCAGAACAAGCCATGACTAAGGTCTCCATGATTCTTCGAGGAGAACGGGATTATGAAATTGTCAAACCTCTAGACGATATTGGTTGGAGAATTAGAAAACAATATGTTCACATTCGTAATCGGAATTCCAGTATTTCAAAACAAGATTTTATTCTTGCTTGGATTGAGTTTGGGCCCGACAAATATCTAACAGACAAAGAATTGCAGTCAAGTTTGAAATGTTTGATGGATTTACAGGTACTTGACAATAAACTTCTTATATCTTTATTTATAGCTTATAACTGTAAAGTTTAGCACTTATCTTTAAATCTTTATCGTATTGGCTAGTTAGATTTAATTTTCTTCAAAAAAGAGTTGCAGTAGAATTGTTAAGTGACTACCGGTCAATCCCGTGGCATTTTTTGTGATGAACTCATGAGTTTTGGAAAAATAACAGTATTACAGGATCTATCATTGTGCTCACCTTTGCATACTGTGAGCACATACTTCTGAAGAAATGATAACTGCATAGTGTAAATTATGTCTGGATAAAAGCACTCTTTCTTTAAAAGATAAAACTTTTAAAACACTTTTTATAGTTTTATCTTTTAAAAACTGGCTCCTTTTTACCAGCAGCAAATTATTATATATAACTATTATCTTTTCATTTGTCTTTCAGCATCCATTTATTGAGCCAACACTATTAGCTGTTTGTAACGAATCTGGTGGACTAGTTATTAGAAGATACAATCCACCTGGTAGTTTGCGTGATATTCTGTACGGATCCTCCCCTAACCAACCCTTTTTGAAGAAATATTGCAATCCAAAAGAAAGGAAACCTCTACCTCCAAATACGGTGGCAAATTATGCAACTCAGATTTTGCATGCATTGAAGTTTCTTCGGGACAAAAAACTTCCTTTTGGTAACTATCTTATCTACCTTTCCACCATTCCTCTTCTTTTCCATCAGGGATGTGCGTGATGTACAATGGAAAAGTTTGATCACATTTTTTCATGAAAAATCATCTATTTTATCATTTCTATTTTGAAAGTAAAATTACAATGACCTGACGACGCTGTAAGTCACAATCACATAACTCGGTTTGCGATGTTGCAGAATTCCTGCCATACTTTATTTTTTAATAGGAAAACTACTCAACGGGAATTCTTTAAAACTGCCGTGACTTTTCTTCTCTGTGCGAAGAAAATTCTACAAAAACTTCAAGGAATGATGTCAATTTGTTCTCCTAAAAAAAAATAACATAGAAGCGGAGATTTTCAGACACGGTAAACGAGATATATGATTGTCAAATTACACCGTCGATACTCTTCTGAGAATAGCCCTGCAATGAAAGATTCAGCCCTTTTATTTAGCGTAGAATTCAGAAGATGCTATTTCAATATATTTAATTAATTATCATTTTGATGCTATAGAGATTCAAATATTTGTTGAAAGGGCCGTCAGTTTTTGTACTCTCTATCTAAATCTGGCAATCAAGGCATCTTTAATATTTTTGCTTGGGTTACTAAATATGTTTGATGAGTTGCAACCTCGCCAACAGTTTTGCCATTTTGTCTGGAGTCTGTTTCATAAACAGACTCATAACATAGGGTTCAAAAAAACCCTTGAAGGCTTGAAAAAGTTATTTAGAATGGTATGGTGATTGAAGGTTTATTGATCTACCCGGGTACCAATTATATAAAAATCTGTTGGATTATTCATAAACCTAGTGCAAATCTTTGTAATGACTAAGAACTAGTCGAAGAGAATTTTAAGGTCACCATGTTCTCTTTCTTTTTTGAAAAGGAGTTTTAAATACTAAAATCTCAAAATATAAGTACCTAAGTAGAATTTGTATGTGAACTGTTTCGATTTATATACATAATTTAAGACACACAGATGGGTCATGTTGAACTTGAGTTTTGATTTGGATCCATAGAACCGCCTTTGCTCCCCAATTTCGAAAATCTGACGTTTGGCTCACTTCAAACTGAAAATTCTGAGGCATGCCAAGTACATATCACCGTGTATTTTTAGGTGCGGAGTCCAAAAATTACCATATTTTTCCCATCAGACACCAGCTTTTAAGAGAATCGAACTTTACCAAAAAAAGCCCAATTTTTCATGCAAAGCTCAATTAATGGAGAAAAACAGAGGTCATTTTCAGAATCTGCATTTAATATTTACGTAGATACAATTCTTAATTGATCAGTGAGCCCACACGTATTGACCAGTTTAGTATTACCATGTTTTAATTTTTCCAGGTCATTTGCACACCAGCAACATTCTAGTGGAAAATAACAGAGTGAAATTGACTGATATTGAGAACAGTCTTTTTGGTGTTTCAAATTATTATCGCCCTTATATATCACAGCTACGGAAAGTTAACACAATGGAGGCAGTTGACGTGTATTGTTTTGCACATACTTTGTATGAAATGTCTACAGGCTCTCCTCTACAGCAGTCAACGTGCGATGAGCTTCCAGCCAATTGTCCTTCCATGTTCAGTGAGTATTTAGGAAATAACAATACGCATTACAATAAAACAACCATCTAATAAAATCTCTTACAACACCGTGTAATTTTCTAAAAATAGAGGCCCTAAAGTTTTTTTGGACTATTTAGGACTTCTTCTATTGATTAGACTACTCAAGCTTTTACCGGATAGAGTCCGCATCAAATAAGATTACACACTTTTAGACTTGGACAGAAGATTGTATGACGTTAGTTCAGTATTGAAAGTAAATTCAAGAATCGAGATGGCGGACCTTCTATTGCAGTCTGTAAGTGCGTAAATTTATTTGGCATAAACTCTACCTGAAGTCCAATTTTCATAAATCCTTAAGTGGGCTTATAAATTGGAATAGGCTATAGGAGACAGGCATTTACTTTTGGTGGCTGAAACTGAATTTGACTTTTTGAACCAAATATGGCTCTCCATTTAAAATTTTCACGAAACAGTGAACTCCCCCAAGTAGGGTTTTAAAGGCTCAGAATGTGTATTTCCATCAGATTTCCTGTAGGTGGTACTCTAATCTGAACGGTGCTATTATTTTTTCAAAATTCCAGTCAGTTTCACCAGAAAAATGGTGGGCTGATCATCCTAAATTATTATCATCATAATGAATTGCATGGTTAACCAATTGAAATCTCAATGCTGCTATTGACTGCTCGTTTAGAAAAGGTTAGGGGAGAGACCATTATTTGTAACTAGTCTAAGACAGAAATTACCAAGAAAATGAAATTAAACAATTTCAGAGTCATTTGATGTAAAAATATTGAAGTTTTAAAACTATTTTCAGTCATTGATTTAAGTATTTTAATTGAGAGACTAATACTTTTACATTCTGTGCTGCGAATAGAAAGTATGTAATGAAGAAAAATTTAGTAAAAAACATCCTCGATGAATCAATTTCTTGAGTCCTCGGGTAAATTAGCACTTTTCTAATCTTTATTGGCATGCCTATAATGAGTTCCAAGTGTTTCTTTAAAGAAAAAAATAAAGCTGCGAAAAAAAAAATTAAGTGAACCAAAATTTTAGTATCTCTTTTTACACAGATGAAAGGAGTCCTAGCAGGTCATAACTCATCAGTATCTGAGTAATTTGTTCAAAAACTTAACCTAGGCAATACCCATTTCTTCATGGTGCCTGCATACATTCTCAGTCGAGAAGTTTTGGAATTCAACCCCCTCTTTCCTCTAAGATTCAGTAATTCATCAATATCTTATTGTTTTTTTTTTGTTTTTTTTGGTTTTTTTTAGGACCAGTTTTGGAACTCATTTTATCATCTGAAGCTTGTCGAAAGACAGGGTTACCAACTTTAGATTATCTCCTAGATCACCCACTGTTTAGTCATAATTCATTCATTCCTGTCACGGAACCAAAACCACATTTCAAGGTGTCATCACATCTAAAAGAAGCCTTCCGGAAACTATCCTTGCAAATTGAAAAAAGGCTTGGTGAAGAACAAAAAAAGGTTTGATATTTATCATTTTTATCCCTGAAAATTTAACATCCAAAGAAATTTGTATGTTTACTGATTTGGATTAAATTTAATCTGCTGTATATTTAATATGTAAATCTTCTCTCTTTTTTTTCTTTGATTATAATTTAGGCGCCATTGATTTTAAATAGGGTCTCCCTCGTAAAATTTGAGACCGAAGCTTTTTTAACTCTTCTCCTGTGTGTAAGCTTTTTTAACTCTTCTCCTGTGTGTATTTGACTCTTGAATTTGATAGTTGGTAAGGAAATATCCGTAGGTGCAAGCTGCCATTTTTAAGGCGTCATTGCCTCACTGGAATCATAAAAAAATTTTTGCTCAATTCCCTTCCATTTTTATTAGAGTTTGTTGAACAAGTATCATAATCAAGCGTAAACTAAATTAACCGCTCGATCATTAATCAAGCATAATTAAGCATTTCTAAGTGGATAATATAGTTTTGATATTCGGCATAAAACGGCATCATAACAGGGCATAAAAATTAAACTTGGACTTCTACAATCAACACGCAGCATTTAATTTCTGTAAAACCAACCGAAATATGTCATTCATGCCAAAAATTAGTTATTTAGGTTTAAAGACCACCTTCAAGCGGCATTTTTGCAATTTTTATCTGATTGCCAGGGCTTTCTCTTCTTCATTTGTGTTTTTCTTCCCATTTAAACTCTTAGGTGTCAAACACCTTAACATAAATGTCAGAATTAAGTGAGGTAAAATATCTCAAAACATTAGTGCCTTGAGGTAACTGTATTTTTATTCTTGGTTAAGTACCTTTATACATATTAGTACTTACTTATAGCATACTTTTTTTCTTTTTTCATAGATAAGGTACCAGAAAAAGCTCTATTTAATGCAAGAGCAGCTCATAGTGGAAGAAAACAACAGGCAGAAGGAAAAGAAAAAACAAAGATCGGTAAATTAAACTTATCTCAACACTCAACCTATTTCCGATAAGACTTTTATTAAGACACTCGTTGCCTTCTTTTAGAAAACAATTTTTCAAACTTGCTCCAAGGGTTTATCTAGCTGTAAAGTTGTCGTGCAGTATTTTATTTGCTTCTTGAATCACATGTCATCTGGCGATTAGTTGAGAATCTTAGTATGAAAGAGCATTTACAGAGGGGTAGTTGGGAATTCAAAGGTTAATATTCCAAAATGTCTAACAGGGCAGTCCAGAGATGAAAAAAGTATAAAAATCCCTGCAAATAGTGACAAAGCGTTTTTAATGATTTAGGCCCTGTGTTATCCTCTGTCCCTGAGGCCTCTCTTGGCTGAAATCCGTGCCAAATAAGATTTTGCACTTTCAGACTGCAACAGAGGATCGTTTGACGTCAGTTTAGCATTGAAATTAAATACAAGAATCAAGGTGATAGATTCTTTATGCAGTCTAAAAGAGCATAAACTTATTCAGCGTGAACTCTATACCACCTTCTGCGCATTTTAAGTGGCATAACAGCCAAAACTGGTGTTCTGTAAAATGGCAGCTGTTGGTAAGTAAAGAGCAAAAGGAAAAAAAGATCAATACCCTGAAAATTTCAAGGTGATTCTAAAATAAGGAGGCTAAAAACTTTGCATCTTTGATTTCACTATGTATTATAGATATGAGTCTTACGTCTGACGTACAAGACCAAAATTGCAGTGCAAGTTATCGGTGGGTGCTAATGATAACCTTTGATTTCATTTTTTAACCTTAATTTGCAGCTTTAGTGCCTTTGATTTTCTTTTCAAAAAATGGTAGTGTGGTTAGGTACTTCTTAACATACTCTAAATGTGCTAAGCTTGCTCTTGTCTTCTGTCTTAGAAAAAACACTCCGAGTCTATCGCCAATGGAAAATCGGAAAGGTGTTCTAGTCCAAATAGTGTCGCAACCTCCGCAGGAACTGTCACTCCACCTTCTGGTAATGATACATTTATATTTCATCTGAAATTCATTTTGTTAAAGGATATGAAAATGTCTGGTGAACAAGAAATATCTAAATATTTTTTAGTGACCTCAAGGAATGAGGTCTGTATTTGCAAAAATATGTACAGATCATGGTCATCCAATCGGCTATTCTTATAAACTCATTAGTTAGCTTGATGATGTCATGACTATTAGTACTATTTTTAAAACTAAGGGGCTTGCATGAACAATGGCCAATAATAAATTCTGATGAAAAACTGATCGAAAAGTTGCAAGAGATGTGGTTCTTTTTTCCACTGATGGGATTCTAAACGACTCCCTTACTTGAAAAACTTAAAACTTTGTATAAAGGGAGCCAACAAATTGATTTCGAAAGCAATGTACACTGTGTACCCTAATAGCGCACCAAAAAATGCAAACTAGATTGAATAGAGGCGGTGTCTTAACTACGATTAAAATAATTAGAGAAAAGAATAAGAGAATGGGCCTGTTGCAAACTTTTGCTAGAGCAAAAATAAGAGTTGTTTCTTGTAGATAATGCCTCAAAAATCACGATGAGCGCATCGGCAAAGTCTGAAATGCACTCATAACTTCACAATCTGCGTAAGAAATTTGCGTTTTTTTAAGCTTCCCGCTTCAAAAACGATACTACGGCACAGGTAATCATTTTGTTAGAGGAGTCGCTCCATCGTCGGCGATATTCATCATGGCCGACGCTTGCGCGCAGTTCCGCGCGTAATTCGAGGAGAGTTCAAGGTCAATCAATTCGGGCGTGGAAAATATGAACGTTAACACACCGATTGTTATCTGGTCTAATCCAGTTCAGGTGTTATCTCGTCCCATCAAACAAGTTTTGGCGGATTGGCGTCGGCCATGATGATTATTGCCGACGATGGAACGACTCTTCTTACAAAATGTTCACCTGTGCCGTAGTATCGTTTTTGAAGCGGGAAGCTCAAAAAACCGCAAATTTCTTACGCAGACTGTGAAGTTATGAGTGCATTTCAGACTTTGCCGATGCGCTCATCGTGATTTTTGAGGCATTATCTATAAGAAACAACTCTTATTTTTGCTCTAGCAAAAGTCTGCAACAGGCCCATTGAATTGATGTCATTCTGGTCTTTTAATTTCTCACTAGGAATCATGCCAATCCAGAAAGTTTTAGTAATTATTCTATACTATAATAATTTTATAATATATCGAATACAAGAAAAGATCATTCTTCATGTAATGAGATTCATTTAATGCATTTGGGACCCCTGAACCTGTCTCAATAGGCTTTTGAATCTTAATCTCCATACTTCTGCATCGGATTGTTTTATTTATCTTTTATCGTACTAAGGCAAACATTTTTTGTCTCTTTTTCTAACCAAATACTTTTAATTTACAGGAGCCTCATCAAGCCACTTCACTCCTCCTTCAGCTTCAGATTTAGCGTCATCATTGTCAACTCCTCCTCCTCCTCCTCCCCCTCCTTTTCAAAGCAATGGAAACTCCCGATCAGAGCTTCTGAATTCCATCTGTAACTTTAAAAAGTCTGAGCTGAAGAAGACCAAACCAACGTGACGAATTTCATCCTCTTGACCCTCCCACAGTTTAATGTTACCTATTTGAATTTTTTTCTAATCAGTCACTTGTATCCTTTATTTTTCTTCCTTTTTGAGCAAACCGTACGCTGAATTTGTTTTAAAGTTTATTCACAAGTTAACGCTGAAACTGACGCTTTTATTCAATGTTCTTCACTTAGATTGTTTGATCAGTAATGTACCACTAGATTAGGTACGAATTTAAGCATTCTGATGTATGTTTCTGCTTTCAACTTTGATGTGAAACCCGATTTAAGCACTAAAAATTGCTGAAATCAACCCCTAACCAAGATATTAATGTTTTTATTTTGCATTGGTTACGATGAATTGAATTTCCTGTGCACAAATAACAAGAGTCCTCTGGAATCAAACTGCACACTACAACGGTTTTGCTTCTCAATCATGCAGTGTTTCTTCCCCACCCTGCGTTATTCAAAGTGTAAAAAATGTACAACAGCTAAGGCTTACCGTTGATAATGAGGTTTTCTTATTTTCATACTCTAAAGACTTTCATGGTATCAGTATAATTCAAGTAGATTACATAATAATTTTTTTGTGAGTGGGAAGTTTGAATAGATGCATGAAAAAACGCTTACACCTATGTTAGGAGTTACTTTCAGTAATTTTTGATGTATTAATTGTGTTTCACGTTACATTTAGATGAGGAAACATGTATCATAATGCTAAAATTCACACTTTATCTAGTGGTCCATTTGTGATCAAAAGTACAAAATGTATTTTCATTAAGCACAAGTCTAATATGAAATTAATCTAACAAAAAAGTGCAAGTAAGTTCTCTTTTTGCTTTTACTCATCTTTGCTTTTGGCAGTAAAACTTTTGGAAATTTTTCTCTGGATTTCTTTCATCATTAAAATTTATAATCCTACATTGCTACTTGTACATGGGAGTGTAATGCTAAATCTACAAAGTAATGTCACCTGCTAATTATGCAGAACAGCAACACCATCATTGGGTGGGTTAATTCAGAAATATGGAAAATGACACTCCTCATTGGAATAGTCGCCCAGACCATTTTCATAGAAAGCTAATCTTACTGGAGGATATTTCAGGTCTTTCCCCCAGTTTTCCTTATTCAGGAGCCTGAGCGACATTAGAATGGTATCAGAAGGCACTATCATGTGACAAGCCAATTTTAAATGAAGATAATTTAGTAAAAGCCATCAGTAACTGGACACAAGCTGTTAACATTTTTCATAAAGTTTTATTTGTTGTTTTGTAAAGTGCCATACATCCAAAACTCTGGTGTACCTAACCTCAGTCAGGATCATTTCTCTTTTTGTATGCATTTGTTTAGTTCCTCATCCTTGGAGGTATTTTTTCCCCTGATCATTTTAGCATCAAATTTTCTCTTGAGTCTTTACTTGCAAAAACTGTTTCCATCAATTTTTTAACAAGTGAACGCATGGTTCAAGTCTGTAAACTGATTACACCGTGAAGAACACTGTTAAGTTTAAACGACTGAATCGTAATTTGCAATTATTTTACCACAACTTTTTTAAGAATCTGCCAAATTTTCTGTCCCTCATCCTGTAAAAACTTTCAAAAGTAATTTGAGTCCAGCACTTGTTTGTTATTTATCCTGGAATTTCCTCAGTTGAAAGTTGTGCTTTATGAGTGTTCTAAGTGACACTTGAATTATTTATTTTTAAAATGACCTGCCTTTTTAGATGTTTAATTTACACGGACCGCTGGCGGATCTGGGGTATATTTCAAGTATTTGTTAGTCAAAATTCTCTCTGCTCTCTTCTCTAAACTTCATCTTAGGCGTAGGGAAGAAGCCTGGCTTTCTAAAACCTACTTCAGTGTGGCCTCTTGAAGAGCACTAATAGTAGTTTTTAAAATCAAGTGGCTCCAATACTGAGCTTCGTTTTTTGCTGCAAGACGTAAACACATTTATTTTTTGGGGTTAAATACAGTTAGCTATCACCTATTTCATCTGAGACGTAAAAGAATCCTTCGTCAGATTTTTAAAGTTGAGTGGAAAGAAGATTTCATGTCTACAGAAATATGTAGGTAGTTGGAATGTAGAAAATGTACTTTGAAAATGCAAGTGCAAAATTTTTTTACCAAATTTATTACTTTATACTGAAATACTTTACTTCCGTTCTATCTTTGACTCTAAAAATTTTGATTCAAAACCAAATTAAAATTGTTAACAAGCAACTTGAATCAGACTTTAATGGTTTGCTTGGATTATTATTCAAAATTCAATGAATGATGATGACCAGTTTTTTCCTTAATGTTGAAATTTTTGCAAATTCAATATTTTTTTTTTCAATTACATAAAGGTTATTTCAATCAAATTTCAATTTTTTGCAAGACTGGTACATGGTGTGGATGAAGAAAAAGTTTGAAATTAGTAGCAAGCAGCAAGCTTCTTCATCAGTTTTGTATGCCTTCAAATAATTTTTAAGCTTCCCTTTCAGAGCCAGAGCGTATCAAATAAAACTGAAATCATAGGACTTTCATATGCTTTTCTCTTTCAGGCTAAGGCATTAACCTGAAGAAAAGATCAAGTACCAGACATGCAAATGGGTTACAATCATGATTAGTGTGTGCTTTAACCTTGATTTCTTATCTTCATGCCACACTGTGCATTAAATGCAATTTTTCTTTGAACATGTTTTCCGGAGAAATTTAGAAAGTGCAAAAAATTACTTTGAGATGGAAGAAACACATTAATATTTAAAAACGCTTCATCATATTGTGAGTTTAGAAAAGGCATCCACTATGTAATTAAACGTAGGTAGGTATGCATTTACTAATTTCTCAATCATAGCTCCATCCATGAACCAAGTTTTACCCTGTAAAAGTTTCAAAGTCAAGGCAAAATGTTTTAAATGTGAAAATAATTTTTAACCTTTGTCCTTAATATTAAGCCCTATGGAGGCATGTAATTTTCAAATTGTTTTTCTCGGTTCAAGCTTGATGCGGATTTTTGCGTTTCCTTCGAATTCAGCCCCAAGCATAGGATCTTTTTGGCAACAATACTTGAAATGATATGCCAACCTGAAGTGGTCATTTTACCCTTGATTTTCCTATTTACATTCAAAGTTTTAATCATCCTAGACCTCGTATCAAGTGGCCATTAAAAAAGTTAGAGGCACTTTCACCAATTTTTACTGAACCATCTTCATGCAGTCACTAAGCACTCACTCAAATACTAAACTGATCAGTTTAGATAAAAAATCTTCCTCCGTTCTTTCTTTTGAGTTTTAAAAAAATCTTGTGAATCATGTAGGTTTTATGTCATTGAATTAAAATGTTCTTAATCTGTGATGTATAATTTATGTTATTGGATACTTTTATGTTATTCTTTATTGAAAATATATTGATTATTATTTTTACTTGTGCTAGTTGGCAGAATTTGTTCTGCTTTATTTTGAGATGCCTACCAAAGTTATTTTTATTTTCTTCTTAGAAGTTGCTTCCATAATTAGCCGTGTAGAAAAGGTTAGGTGTAGCTATTAGATAGTGGGGTAACCACAGAATACGCGCTCTGTTTCAGTTCGGTTAGCAGCTCTCATTTGTCATGTAGACCTTTCAAGAGGGAACTTAGGATGATTTGACGGTTGCCATTTTTCGTGCCAGAGCGACGTGCGATATATCGCATTAATTCGTTCCATAATTTCAGCTACTTGTCATTTCTTTCGAATTTTGAGCTCGCACTTCTGTTCTCATGAGACTAAAGAATTCATGTACTATATTTGGCAAAGAATTCAACGTATTAAAAGCAGGGGTTTTTCAGAGAAAAAATATTGCATTTGATGCTGATATCGAAACTGCACTCGAATGCGATATTTTTCCTCTGAAAAAACCCTGCCTTTCATACGTTGAATTTCTTTGTCAAATTTGGTACATGAATTCTTTAGTCTCATGACAACTGAAATGTGATCTGAAAATTCGAAAAAAATGACAAGTAGCCGAAATTATGGAACGAATTGATGCGATATATGGCTCGTCGCTCTGACACAAAAAATGAAAACCGTCAAATCACCTTAAAAAGAATCTAACATCTCAGTCAAAACATAAATATCGGATCAATACCAGCTCCTCACTTCATGAGATAATTGTTTCATTGTGTCATCAATGTTTAAAAATCTTGAGGATGAAATTTTGTAATTTCAAAAGTTGAGCTTTTTAGTAATACTTTTTTGGAGCTGTGAAAGCCATACACATTTTCAGTGGCAACACTTTTAAATACCTCATTCTGATTACAAAGGTACATTCTCAGTTGCAGAACTGCCAGTTGAAGACATTTCGGACAGCTCTCTGTGATCCAGAAATAAACATACCCCTGTGTAGATACATTCATAATAAAGGGAATTTTTAAATGATGCTAATGATAATGAAGAAAATGAAGGTGGATGTCCTAGACACTGTCTAAATTACCGCCACCTAATATTATTAGTGATAAAGCTACAGCAGTAGAGAAATTTCTGAAAAACAATATAAGCTTGTTTCAAGCATCAGCTGATCTGGTTACCAAGTTTCAGTTGATAGATGACAGCCCTAAGTCCAAAAATCATCAATTAGACACCAGCTCATTCTGAAAACTGCCCTAGATCATGATCTTCCCCTTTTTTACAATAGTATCAAATGAAGTGAAGGTAGAGGTTTTCTGGAGAGGGCTTTCCTGAGTCCGAAAAAATAAAAATGAAATTGCACGAGTGATAAGAAACACATTGGGACTAGGAACAAACTCATGAGCCTTTGGGTGTGAGGCAAGAATAGGAATCTGAAGAGAACTTCTTCAGTAACGATCTACTTTCCCCAAAAAATGTGACTGAAACACGCACCAACATTTAAACTAATTGGTACTAGATAAATACTCACTTTAGAAAATTTTAGGAAAATCAGTCTGTTATATTTCTCCTCTAGGTAGATTATTTTTGAAAAATAAAGTATGAACGGAGATATGAAACATTATGATCGAAAAACTCATTTGTTCATACAAGCCATTGAATATTTGTACCAACATACCTAAAATTGGAAAACTAGTTTTGTTTGAGGTTTTTGACGAATGAAGACCATTAAAAACAGGTGTAGAAGAACATAATTTTTCTCCACTTCTGAAAACTTGTTGAAAATCCTGTAATAAAGGAGGGCCAGAAATAGCTTTGAGTACCTGTATAGCAGGGGTATGGACAGATCGCTTCATGGAGGGCTCAGGGCCCGGGAAGGCAGCCAACCTTTTCACACACTGCCAAGTTTCAAAGTTACCGCCAATCCTCAGGTTCCAACTCTAACAACGATGGCCAAGAATGCTCATATGCGAGCATTCTTCCATAAAATTAAGTAAATTTATGCAAAAACTAAGTCAAATATATGTTTCTTAGACAATGGGTTGAAACAGATACAATAACAAATTGTTCTGGATTATAAAAATTCATACGTTGGCTGCCCTCTTGGGCCATAATTTCATTCGCAGGGGCATCAGTGTAGGCATGATGGACTTTTCGAGTTTTAAATCTATTGATACTCTCACAGCATGATTGGTACTCTACAGTAGCTGAATGAAAAAATTATCAGTCTGGGGCCCTTCGCAAAGTACGTAATACAGAATGGTGAATTTATCAATCCTGCCCCCCCCCTCACCCTTGTTACGCTTTTGAGGTGTAAGTTCTTATCCTCTGGAACTGAAATTCCCACGTTTTCGCCACTTTGGCCTTTCTTGATTTGGAATGATCAGCAATTGATTTGAGAATATTAGGAATGGGTAGCCATAAATAACTGACAGGGCGTAAAAGGATTTGATGAAATATTTAATTTTTAAGAAGCATAGCGAACCGAATATTGGGTACTTACAATGCTTGTAAAATCTTGTTACTTAAATTTATTCTATTCACAATCTATGCAAACTTAACAAATACTTCCAAGGAAGCAAACATCTAACAGTAGTAAGAGAAATTTCAGATGCAGAGACAAGTTTTACTCAATCCAGTAGAATCGTGTGCCGTATTTGGCTCTGCCTTTAGCTTCTATTACTGGTGGATCTTTTGGTGTGTCTTCGAAGACTTGCGGAGCCACAGGTTCAGGTCTGGGGCGGTCAGTATGGTGAACTTTGACCCTGCTATGGTATCCAAATTCAGGGCGGTCAAGGCCTAGATTCTTCTTAAGGCACAAATCCATGACGGCTTGAGTTTGACGACATGGAGCATGTTGGAGGTCGCCACTGGAAAGGTCCAGACATTCTGCGTGCTTGGTGAACTCATGGAAACAGGAAGCTTTCACTTTACGGAAAAATTCAAGAGAGCAACTGGTGACGGCTTTACCATATGGTAGACACTCACGAATATCTTGAGTTTCTTTTCGACATAGCATAAATTCATTGTTGAAGTTCTCACAGTATTTTCCCAAATGCTGGGCACCAGCCCTGAGGTAAGGGGTACTCAAGGGTACCTCCTCAACTTCTAGATCTTCAAAGCTAGGTAGGTAAACATCGTTGGATACCATGTCAAAAGCTTACTGTTGACTTGGAGAATTAACGCAAAAAAAAAAACACTTGGATTGAAAACTTCTACATGAAACCACTGATAATGATAATAAATCTCGCACTCACTGATAAGATGATAAAAACTGCTTAAAGAGAAAAGAGTACCAAAGGTGGTTGCGGATGCGGGCAGAAAAATGTGATTTTACACTACGTCACACTATTAGTAGCCAATCAGCGATAAGACTAGTCCAAGTTCTGACGTCACGCCATTGTAAAATGCCCCGACAACCAATCGGTCATCGGCCTCATCCTCATCCTCAATCCTCATCGTTGAATTGTTTGTTTACTTCATCAATTCGGCATACCCGGTCGATTTTGAATCGTTCGTTGTAATCGCCATTTACTCACTACTCACGACTCGTGCAAATTTTTAGTGACATGATTCATTTAGTAAGCTTGATTAGTTCTTTGGAATGATACCATCGAACTTGCAGTTCAATGCGTATTTGCGTTTATTGCGTTTGATGCTTATTTGCGTTTATTGCGTTACAGGCGTTACAGGCGTTACAGGGGCGGACTGGCCATGGGGGCGGGGAGGCGATCGCCCCCTAACAATTTGCCGCGGAGGTCCCGAAGGGGCCCCGCGGCGAATTTTTTTCGAGTCATCGTTTTTTTCCCGTAATGTTGTAATTTTCTTATCCTTTTCAATCACTAAAAGGCCCCGAATACCTTGAAAATTTGCATCTAATAAGAGACATGGAAGGTCGCCAAAAGCATTTGTGATGAAGGTACCCCCGATGAATCCAGAGAATGGGTTATTTTGAAGTTCAAGTACTGTAGAGTCCAACTCCAATAATGCCTACATGTTTAAAAAGTGTGAAATTTTCAAAATTTACCAAGGAAGGGCCCCCGGACCTTCTTAGAGGGGCCCTTACATTTAGGTCTCCCACTAACTTTTCGACTACCAGTCCGCCAATGTGTGCCACTACTGCAGTTTTGACCGTTAAGGCCGTAGTTTAAGGGTGTAAAGCCAGGATTGTATTACGCAAACAGATAATTTTTGCAGAATAATTAAAAATTAAGAAGCAGGAGTAATTTAACTAAATATAAAAGGAACTCAAATCTACAATATAGTGCAAAACCATTTGGAAAATCTCGTCATGTAAATACAGAAGATTCGAAAAAGCCTTCAATTGAGGTGTGATACCTCACGCGTTCCGGGGAGTTCAAATAATTGTATCCTTGCGCCTTAGCAAGGCGATAGAAGTTTAATATTGAAGCAGCGCCCCAGTTGGTTTTTTGGCTTTCCTGTGCCGCTACTACAGTTTCGACCGTTCAGACCGTATTTTAAGGGCGCTAAAGCCAGGATTGTATTTCGCAATAAGATAATTTTTGCAGAATAATTAAAAATTAAGAAGCAGGAATAATTTAACTAATTAATAAATGGAACTCAAATCGACAATGTAATGCAATCAAATTTGGAAAGTCTCGTCTTGCAAATACAGCAGATTCGTAAACGCCTTCAATTGAGGCGTGATACCTCACGCGTTCCGCGGAGAGTTCAAATAGTTGTATCCCTGCGCCTTAGCAAGGCGATGGAAGCTGAATATTGAAGTAGCGTCCCCGCGTTGTTTTTCGGTTTTCCTGTGCCGCTACTATAGTTTCAACCGTTCAGGCCGTAGTTTAAGGGCCCCACAGCCAGGATTGTACTTCGCAAAAAGATATTTGTTGCAGAATAATTAAAAATTAAGGAGCTGGAATAATACCGCTAAATAATAAAAGGAACTCAAATCTACAATAAAATGCAAAAAACTAACGTAGTTTTAGGGCGGTAAAGCCAGGGTTGTATTTTGCAAATGGATAGTGTTTGCAGAATAATTAAAAATTAAGGAGCAGGAGTAATTTAACTAAATATAAAAGGATCTCAAATCTACAATATAGTGCATAAACATTTGGAAAATCTCGGCATGTAAATACAGAAGATTCGAAAACGCCTTCAAATGAAGCGTCATACCTCACGCGTTCCGGAGAGTTCAAAAAGTTGTATCCCTGCGCCTTACCAAGGCGATAGAAGCTTAATCCAGGCGCTAAAGCCAGGATTGTAGTTCGCAAAAAGATAATTTTTGCAGAATAATTAAAAATTAAGAAGCAGGAATAATTTAACTAATTAATAAATGGAACTCAAATCGACAATATAATGCAATCAAATTTGGAAAGTCTCGTCTTGCGAATACAGCAGATTCGTAAACGCCTTCAATTGAGGCGTGATACCTCACGCGTTCCGGAGAGTTCAAATAGTTGTATCCCTGCGCCTTAGCNTGGGCCCTAACTTTATTCGCGGAGCAGGCATCGGTGAAGGCCTGATGGACTTTCGGAGTTTCAGATCTGTCGCTACTCTCCCTATACAGGTACTCTAGGGGCGGGGTGGCGATCGCCCCCTAACAATTTGTCGCGAAGGTCCCGAAGGGGCCCCCGCGGCGAATTTTTTTCGAGTCATCGTTTTTCCCCCGAATGTTGTAATTTTCTCATCCCTTTCAATCACTAAAAGGCCCCGAATTCGAAAGTTTATTGCATTTTATGCTCATCTGCGTTTATTGCGTTTTCTATCGAGAGATATTGTAACGCTTGGTTAGAGATAACCAAGCGAGCAGATTAAGAAATCCATCCTATTACATACCCCTGCCCATACTACAGTAAGTTTCGTTGATTGATTTTGTAAATTAAATAAAAACAAGGTAGTAAAATGGCCCTGGTTTCACGTCATTTTGTAGGGAAAACAAAGCTTAAAACTTTGTAGTTTGAACTGGTTTACAAGTAAGAGCTCCAAATGTTGACTCTTAATGACATTTTTGAACTTACATTGGCTTTTTTCCCCGCAATTGATAGTGTAGACCCAGCGCCAATTTATCACCTTGTTACATTCAGTTTGGGTCATTTCTTAGTGTTTTTTCTTATTAAATGTAATTAAGAATACTGCCTTGTAGTCCCGCCATGCAAATAAAGAATGGCGGGNGGGGGGGGGGATCATCCGATACGTCAAAACCAGGGCCGAATTTAGGGGAGTGCCAACGGCCTCTCTTTCATATAAATTAATTCGCAGGATTTAAAAAAAAAAATTAGTACATAGATGGTCAAAGTGAAAAACCACGTATCTACCTTTGCAACCTTGCAGATTTCTTGTCATACTTTATTAATTCTTTGGAATATTAGTCAACAAAATGTCTCGAAAATTCTCTTGATATTTTTACTCTGTTAGCAGAATAAGCTATATGAATTCTTTATTTTCGTACGCATCGCGTGTTGCTACATACGTAATATTACCTACACTGTACAATATCTGGAGGGGAGGGGCGTAGCAAAATTTATTTGGCACCGGGCGGAAATAACCTAAATCCGGCTATGGTCAAAATTATCCGTTTAAAGACCATTATTGAACCGACTCAGGTCTTACATCTACTTGTATATTTAGTTACATTTTTAATTTTTTTTTAAAAAATTTACCTATTTTTAATTTTTTGGAGCCTAGGTACCTAATGAGTCATATTTGCCACTTCTATTTTTCTTTTTTTTTTCTTTTTTTTTTGGCGGGACACTATTTCCGCCAAAAAGAGCTATCTCTCAGCGTACACTCTTGTCTGATCAACGAAGTAACGATTTTCTGGACTCTCCCTCAGGCAGGAAAGTACAACCTGAACCACGAACACAGACATTGTAAACGAAGCATCGACCGCCTTGGATTACGAACATAATCCAATTAAGCACTGTGGTGATTCTTCCCCTGTGGAGTAAACCAGGTTAGACGTGTTAGTGATGGAACACGTTTCTGCTGGTGAGCTCCGCAACCGTGTGCTTATGTGTTTCTTCGTTTTCCGCACCTCGATTTACTTAGGCGGCTGACGGTATCTTCGTATGTCCTCTCAAAAATCTGGTGCCGCTATCGATACCCATTCTTGTTTTCGGAGTTGTTTGTTTCTCTTCCTCTCGATTTGCTTTCGGTGTGAGGTGCCATAAATTACAAACCTAAACGAGAAAATCCAAATAAAGGACCTGTGGAATTGAAGGGATGCCAAATAAATAAGTCGGACGAATCGTAATTCAAAATTCATGGTAAGTCGAATGTACAACAAAGAATAAGATTTCGCCTATTTTGTCGTCCTCTACAGTATTTAATCATTAGAGTACTCGCATAACGCCTGGAGCGCGAAGCGCTGCTGAGCGTCGGATCGCGAAGCGGTTAGGGAGTGTAGCCTCCTAATTATATAGAAATTATATATTGAGAGAACAGTAACATCTAATCGTTATGTAACGCTTGAATGAATTCACATGCGAGACCACATGCGTCCCTTTTGTTAATCAACCATTTAAATAAGTCAAAATTCCAAATTATTTGTCATTAAAAGTGGACGTCCTATGAAGTTACAACCAGTTCTTAATTTGAAAGTTACATAACTAAAATATACCCATGAAGAGCACTGGAATATAACCAGTAAAATGGGCCGTGACCTGATCTGGTGAGCGCTCTTGAGGGTGCCGAAGATCTCCCGTCAAGGTGTTAGCGCTCCCTATTCAGATAGGGGGAGGAGGTCTAGAGGGTCTCTCACAGTATATTCATAAAAAATTTGATCGTAAAACAAGACATTCCCCAATAATTTTTCTTAAATTTCCGCCCCAATCAACCGTGCTCTCTTAAAGCTCTACAATACCCACCGTTCTATCAACTTTTTACTTTGTTGCGTAAAAAAAGCAGTAGCACTAAAAAAAAAAAATTAGATATTTTAAAGAGAGCATTACATATCAGAGGATATTTACACCTGCAATGAATATTGACATAAGTGAGTTTACACCTCTGTAGTTAGGTCACAGGGTTCGTTACAAGAAGAGAACAAATTTGGAAGAAAGAACCTGAAATTTAGGGGACAGGAAGAATAAAAAAATAGAAGAAAATAGACCCACGCACCCCCGCTCTCGGGGGTGGATGGGTCCTCATAATTTTGTGGCCGAGGGTAACAAAGGGTTGGGGGGGGGGGTGTCAAGCTCTGCGCTATAGGTATGTAACAGTATGAATACTGGATTTCAGCTCTTCTTACATTATATTTTTTCCTTCTATTTTTTTGCTCTCTTGTTGCTTCAAAATTTATTATATTTTCCTTGCCATTGAATTTTCTCAGCAATCGTTTTTCCACGAGCATTTCTCCACAACTATTCTTTCTTATTAAAAGACACACTAGGGCCCCTGGCCGCCACGCAGCCCCCCCCCCCCCCAAAGGCCGCTTGGCGGGCAGCGAAATCGTCGAAATCGTCCGTTGGCGGTTACTGAGCAAATAATTTCAATTGAATAACAAAACTACGTTTCAAAGAAAAATTCCCCGCCAAACAATACTCTTAATGACTTTCTCCTTACTCTGAATTTTGATTCCTTCTTTTGAATTCGACCTTTGGACCGTCTGACTCTCCTTCCTCACCCCATCCATCGAGGGTTTTTAAAAATGATTTTATTAGAAAAGAGAGGATATTTCTTAGTTCCGGGCTTCAAATATTCATTTTTCGTATCATTTCTGAATTTACCTTAATAGCCTTGCCAATTTATGGAGGCCATACAAACTCACCAGGTTTACGGTCCTCTTTGCGGCGATACAACTATTAGGCCATGTTCTGAGAGTTTCTACGTGTTGAAGTCACTTCTTTGCGTATGTGTGTATTTTGCATGTTCCATGAAAGTGCGACATTAACGGCGATATCGCACTGTACGACCGCGTGGAAGCTCATGTTGCCGTTGTCTACACTAAACATTGAAAGCGAACTGCCGATGTACTGGAATCACCTCCCCACGTTCGGTAAAAGGATATTGTGTGTTCCATTTGATCGTGACATTTACTTGATGTCACTATTCGAACACGTGGGAGCTTGTGTTGCCTACACTAAAAATTGAAGGAGAAATGACACGGCATTATAATCAACTCTCCCCGTCCGCTAAAAATCTATTTTGGCGCGTCTTTTGGCAAAGCGTGTAATTTCACGATGATGACATTATTCGACCACGAGGGAGCTCATGTTATGCCGACAACGAAAATTGTAGGCGAACTGCAAAATCACCTCTCCACGTAAAGGATATTTTTGTGTGTACCGTTGGGGCGTAACGTTTACGGGGAAACCTCACTATAAACCTCACTAAATCCTGCCGCGCTACGGAAGAACGCCGTATGAGCCTTCAGGAGTTGCCAAATTTCCTTCGATAAAACACGAATTTCCCAATAAACTCATGAATATTGTCCTTACATCACAAAGCACGCCACGGCCACTGAACGCCAAGTGAGGTATCGTTCCTTGTGTTTTTTTGGTCGCAGAATCAAAATTTGAAGTTGAAACCGACATTTCATGCAAAGAATGTTCCAAATCCGATATGGTAGCTGAAAACCAGGTTCGCCTTTAAGAGCCGATGGCGACTAAGCAACAGCCAGACGATAAAGTTTATGCTAAACGTTACTAATTACGGATACTAGGACTTAATTAGTTTTTGGACTACCGCTCTCTTTTTGTGCCGTAGTATCTTGATTTATTTTGCGAGGAAAGCTCCGTACTTTTGAAGTATGCCTGTCATTCTTAATATATGTTTGTTGGAGCACCTTCAATTTCTTATGATACTGTGTGTGACCTCTGGTGTGAAATAGTTGCTTCAGACGCCGTGGCACGCTGCGGCGCGGCGGGCGGGCAGAGAGCGCGAAACGCGCGTTGGCGCCTACAAACCTAACAGGGATACTTCACGCATTGCGCAATGCGTGAAGTATCCCTGTTAGGTTTGGAGGCGCTAGTGCGTCGCCGCTCCGCTTTGTGTTAGGCTCTAATATTTAATCTCGGGGAGTCAGCGTTTTTCAACTCATGATTTTGAAATATTTGCACACTCTGTATGAACTATTCTCATTTTAATTGATGAAAAAAAAATATGTTTTAAAGGAAAATATAATGTGTGTTTTGTAAATATTAAGGTAGTTCCGTATGAAACTTAATGATTTCCAAAGCACACGAATTTCTACACAATTTCTTATAGCCTTTTATAGCCAATGGCAATAAAGTGTAAAGCCCGGCGATAGGAACTATAGCCCGACTGTATACTTTTCGTGTAGCCCGGCTATATGATTTGCTCCGCTTTCTACAGCCAGCTATATGATTTTCAATAGCCTTGTTTATAGTCGGCTGAAAGAGCTCCTATGGTGTTTTGAAACGCAGCTCCTATCGCCAATTTTTACCAGGGGAGTCTTCTTGGGGGGGGGGGGGAGGAAGGAGTTGACAGTGTGTTTTCGTTGTCCGCTCGAGATATTAATCAAAAATGGAAAATTAAGCCAAAATTAATTGCATAGTTAAGCTTGCTTAGGAAGGTACCCATGCAATTCAGGTGATTTTTTCAATCTCAGTTGATCTTAGGCCGTGAATTTCATAAATACGTTGAAGACTTGACGAGCTAAATATAAAGTATCGTGAAGTATTACCAAAACTCCCTCTAAATTATTAATAATCCACCTCATAAGACACGTCGAGAGCAAAGTTTAGAACTCATAGATGGAAATAAGGTTTTTGGGTATTGTTGGTCGGAGCAAAGTTGTGAAAGTCTCCGCACGTTAAATATTTGAAGCACTGGCACCGCTACATGACACATATACTATGGATTCACCCCCCGCAAACCGTTCTTGGGTGCATTTTTGGCGATTTTTTTTTTTTTTTTTTTTTTTTTTTTTTTTTTTTTTTTTTTTTTTTTTNTTTTTTTTTTTTTTTTTTTTTTTTTTTTTTTTTTTTTTTGGGGTTTCAAGACCATAGGGGTGGTGGCGCTTCTTCAGCCTTGGCGGAAAGTTTAGGCTAAACTTCCCGCCAAGACTGAAAATTTGTAACGCGGTATACCTTTGAACTTATACTATTTTCGGTATATACTAGTTTTTCGAGAATTCCCCGTAAAAAGGCCATAAAATACAACTCTCTATTGGTACCGATATTAATTAGAGGCTGAAATGTTTATCAACGTATATCATTATAATATGGTTGTTTTCAACTTGCCTTCAGCTGCGTCCGCAGCAATTGTTGTTACGAATATGTTGTGCATGCCGATTTTTGCTCATTACATACTTGACTCTCTGAAGGCGTTTTATGTGCGGAAGTAGAGCACCCTGTTGGAGGACAACAGAAGTGAGATTGAATTAATCGCTCAATCTCTACTTCGTTTGTTCACCAACAGACTGCGCCACTTGCCCACATGAAACGCCTTCAGAGAGTCGAGTATGTAATGATCTAAAATCAGCACGCCCAACATATTCGTAACAACAATCGCTGCAGACGCAGATGAAGGCGAATTGCTTTCGCACATAAAACGCCTTCGGAGAGGCGAGTATGTAATGAGTTGAAATCAACACGCACAACATATGTGCAACAACAAATGCCTCAGACGCAGCTAACGGCGCATTGTTCATTAAAAAAAAAGTATGAAAGGAAGTCTGCATTCATCGAGAGGGTATGTATTCGATCGACGTGAACCAATCGACACTGATTCAATGGACAGATAAATAAAAAACCAGATCAAAATCAGTGAAAAACTTGCATTTACTATTAAAATTACGATATCTTAAAAATTAAATCAGCAAAGATTTTTATTTTTCGCGATCTCAAGTCTACGCCGTAACATAGGTTCACCCCCTAAAAATCATTTGTGGATTCATTTCTGTGTCATTTTGTTCTGCTTCAAGACCACTGTGTGTGTTACTTCCTCTTTTTACTTCCCATGACAACACAATCTTTCGGTTACTTTCTCTTGCTGCGTGGGTGGATGTCGAGGCGTCGTAAATTCGGCAAAATCGCGTTATGGATAACCCCCATGAATTCAAACAAATGGACGTATGTATGCCATGCTAAATAAAACTGAGTACGAGTGGAATGACGGGGTGTGCTCGTTAGTTGAGGGCCCTCAGAATGAATGGGAATTTTAAAGCGTCAGTGACGTCAGCGGTAACGATCGGGCTAGACACTCGTCGTCGGGGCGCTTTAACTCATAGACCCTGTACAGAACGCTCTTGTCATGTGTCCAAGGCTCATGAGTTAGCACTCAGATCCTTTTGATTCAATGTAAAATCCCGTTTTTCCATTTTCTCAAAACCATATCCACTTTAACATTGTTTCTTATCCAGCTCACCACGAGTACACCCCATCTTTCCACTTGCATACACTGAAAAAAAAAATCTCGGTGTATTTACTAAGAAAAGGGTAAAATTACCAAGAATTCAGGGCTCTATTTGATCCCAGTTTTTTCTTGGTAAAATTACCATTTATGGAATTGATAATTTTACCGAGAGATCTCGGTAAAATTATTGAACTTTCTCGGTAATTTTACTGGACCTTGGTAAAAACGCCAATATTTTTCATAGACTGTGGTAGAATTACCGACATAAAATGGCAAAGTTACCGGGAATTGATTACCAATAAAAGTGGTATTCTTACCTGAAAAAAACAGTAAAAATACCGGTTTTTAGGTAAGCTTACCAGTCTGTCTTGGTAAAATTACCAGTAATTGGTAAAAAAGTGAGATGGTAATGGTACCAACGGACCTTGGTAAAAACGCCGAGAATTTTTTTTCAGTGTATAGTTCCTTTCAGCATAAATACGTCCAAATGAGATTCTGTGACAATTAGAGACAGTTTAATCTTTCTGTTTTCAGGGCTGAGCCGCTGCCTCCGAAACTTGGAGAAGGACTCGGATCAAAATGAGGAAAAACCGTGCGGTCACAAAATAAAGGCTTAACATTCATGTCACTCGTCCGGGGCTCGACACCAGGGTATGACGAGCAAGTTGCTGATTTGGGGAGTGTATCTTACTGTTTTACTTTCAGTACCAGAAGAAACACGTTCACAGTAAGTTTGTTCAGCTATTTACCCACCCTCTTAGAAATTCAATTGTCATATAAATACCAACTAAGTATCGACGGTGAAACTACCAAACCACGTATCTCGTTTGCGGTGTTTAAAAATCTACGCTCACATTTTATTTTTTTGAAGTAGACCAAATCAATATCATTCCTTGAAATTTTCACGGAATTTTCTCCGCACAAAGAGGAAAAATCACAGAAATTTTCAAGACTGGATGTTAAGTAGTTTTTCATTTAAAAAATAAAGTATGACAGGAAGTCTGCGACGTCGCAAACCGAGATACGTGGTTTGGTAGTTTCACCGTCGGTATGTAACAAGGTGGTCAAATCCAGACTGGTCTGCAGAGAAAACAAGGCCAAAAATTTCCAAACATTTTTATTAACTTGAAAATTTGAGTTCCAAACGAGTAATCAGCATTGTTACTTACAGTTCGGGCCACATTTTAAGTGGTTTTTCTTGCTTAGTAGCCGTGTGTTTGTATGGCATTTGTGCTCTAAGATTAACTTACAATTTTTGGTAGAACGATGCATGTTTGTCTTTCCATCTTTGTCTATAGCTTTGTCTACCAATTTCAAACTTCTCTACCACGCGACCGTGCGGATCGCGATCGGTCACGTGTGAAGATGGGAAGGCTCCGAAAACGGAGTTTCCAGGTGAGATTCGGTAAAATCGCAATTTAATCTGCATAACTGCGGTAGAAATTACGTGTTTTTCGTAAAATCGCGATAAATTAAGCGTACAGAGCCATTGATCAGTCATTTTTGCGAAATTTTTAAGGATGTGGTTTTTGAGAACGGAGCTGGGCGAGGGTGATGGTTGGGGGCGAAGCCTTCGATGCTATAATTTAAAAATTTCCAAGTGTTTGTCAGAGGCCCGCCAGTTACCAAAATGGATTGCGCCAGAGGATACGAACACCGCAATGCTTTTAACGTGGAGTATACGTCAACTTCGGACGACTGTAACTCAGAAATCTATGTATCCCTCATGCTGTTCTCGGACCTCAAATTTAGCTCACAGAGTGTACTGTTACTGCGACCAAAATTCGATCACTCGCGTGCAATCCTCATCGCAGCAGGGTCCAAAAATTAAAATTTTGAGTTTCATCGCTGAGTCGCTGATAGTGTCGTGTCTCAAACTCGATGTTTGTGACAGTGTGACACGCTATCCTTACCATTTTATATTTTAGAGTCTGATATAATATCGATATGTTAATTGTGTGACATGAGGTTAACAACGCGGCGCCACCGATGCGAGCTACGCACTTCAATGGATTCCTGGACCACTTGCCCACAGACTAATCACCAAGGATAATACCCGCACCTTGTCACCCACAACTCTTGACCCACAGCATTTAGACCCTCATGCGATGTTGTAAACACGACTCTTTTCTTCTAAAAAAAGAAAAAAAAGGAGTTTTGACTCAGATTTGAGTATTTTACACTACCTGTTGAAGTCGTAGGTAAGGTCGTGTTGAAGGTAAACTTGATTTCTAACTCCAGTTTTCAGTCATTCAGTGAGACCGCAAGCGGCGCTAGATTCTATTTTTTGCAACCTACCTTAATTTCGCTGTCAAAATTGTTTTCCACGTGGACAATCGAATAAAAGTAACTGGATGTCTTGCTGCGATGGTTATCGAAACTTACTCATCCTTTGGAGATCACGATTAACTAAAATACGTATCACTATTTCAACTCCTAAGCCGCGCAAATTGCATCCATCGCGTTGAAGGCAAACTTGATTTCCAACTCCAGTCTCCAGTCTTCTAGACGTGACCGCTAGAGCGGTGCTCAATTTTAATTTTTGCAACTTGAAACTTGATGAAAATACTTAGGTAAAGACAAACGCGTAGATTAAAAGGGCTGTGGGTGAATATCCGTCAGTTAAGCAGCCTTAGGTGAAAGCGTGTGAGTGAATAGTTCCTTAGGCGAGAGAAAACCTCACGTCAAGCTGTACGAACTCTAATGACATGACCCTCAAAATCAAAACACAACGGTGGCGCCCCCGCGCGAAGAAATCTTTCACTTCCCGGAACTGTAGATAAACTTAAAGAAATCTTTCACTTCCCGGAACTGTAGATAAACTTGAACTGTGTGCCTTGTACCTGTAGACTAGGGAACGATTTGCTTAAAGATATGGTTGCGGTGACAGGGATATCTTGCTTGATATCCGTAAAGTATACACGTGTACATCTGACGCCTTCAATCTTATGTGATACATCCAAGCATGCACTTTGGTGCGTATTGTTGCCTCTCTGTTGTTTTCGGGTTTCTTTTATTGCCGTCGCGCCTCTGTCGTGCGCTATGCTGCCGTGCTAAGGAAAAACGCCGTATGAGCCTTCAGGCGTTTCCAAATCTCCTTTGATAAAACGCGAATTTCCTGGTAAATTTGTAACAATTTTCCTCCAAATTTTTCAGATAATTTAGTTCGGGATTTTACCTAAAAATTCTGAAATTTTAATGGAAAAATATTTATAACTTTCCCCCAAAAAAAATTTATCGAAGGAAATTTGGCAACTGTCGATTGTTCATACGGCGTTTTTCCTTAGCACGGCAGTGTGATGATTACCCGCTAGACGGGAGCGTGGATTGACCTGCGGAGTGACTGCTTCAGGCAATGCTCCGCAGGTCAATCCACGCTCCCGTCCAGAGGATACCTTGCTTGATTTCCGTAAAGTATACTCGTGTACATCTGACGCCTTCAATCTTATGTGATACATCTAACCATGCACCTACGTCCGTATTGTTGCTTCTCTGTTGTTTCCGGATTTCTTATTTTCCTCTATCGAGCGCTATGATAATTAGCCTCTGGACGGGAGCGTGGATTGACCTGCGGAGTGATTGTTTCAGGCAATGCTCCGCGATGATTAGACGGCGGAAGTGGAGCGAGCCCACCTATAGGTACCGGCCTCAGTACCCGCAATGCTACGGGGACTGCGTGGAGCCGGTGCACAGCAACCTCCTGCTCATTACCAGCGACTTACCTCGACAGAAACTCAAACACTGCTCCTTGCCGCACCTGGTCCATGGCGTCGAGGCTCTCGAGTCCCAGTTATTCCTATCCGAGCCCCGCGTCGTCGTCGTCGTCCAGGTGGACCCGACCTGGGAACCGAACCCTTTCATCCTCGACGCCATGATCACCAGACTAGGAAACGTCTCCGTCTTCACGGACAAGCTATCCGACGAGACCGTCATCGAAGATCGCTGCCGCAAAATGGCTGGACAGTGTTTTCTGCTGGATAACTTGCTGCCCGTGCTGGAGCAGCTCCACAAGTGGCAGGCCACCGCTTTCATCTCGTCCTCGCTGCTGGATATCCACGACACTCGCTGGTTCCCCGTCGCTTACCCGCCCGTCTTGTCGCCTGACCACGTCATACCCATTCACATCCAAGTGGAGCACCTGGTCGCCAATCTCTGTGTCAGAGACCGGCGACTCAATCTTTATTTCGAAATGACAGATTTTACTGGTCCTACGTCTATCTTGTAAGTGAATTTTTTCCAGACGGACAGGAATATCCACGTTCAGGGTCTCTACTAGTCCGCAATTTCCGCAAAGTTCGGAAATAGTGCTGATTTTTTAAGAGCGGCCCGGAAGTACTGAAAAAGTGCGGAAATTCCGCAAGAAGTTCCGGAATTATTTCCTTAATACCTCGATTTTTAATAAAACCGGAAGATACGCAACCCCCTGCGCGTTGATTCTGGGAGAGGTATTTGCCTGGAAGATTGCGATCAATTAGTTAATCCTCAAGCCACCAACAAAATGTTGTGTCTATAGGTGATTTCTGTCACGATTCGAGCGAGAAATCCAAATTTTTGACATCTTTCAAATTTCGTCAAATGGAGATTCTGAAAAAGTACTGAATTTTACTGTTGAGAAGATACTGACTTCCTTGGGAATTTACTGAAAATGTACTGCAGAAGTACTGATTTTTGGCCAGCCTGTTTTAGTAGACACCCTGGACGTTGACCATGGTGTGTAGAACCGGTAAAATCCAGGATTCATCAGAGAATGAAACATTTTGTGAAAAAACAGAGATTCTGTTCCAGAAACCAGGAATATCTTCTTCTACTTCTTGAAGTTTATGTTACTGTACTGTACCTTAGCCGCTTTTATTGACTGATTATTAGATTTGAATCTCCAAATTATCAAAATAATATAAAAACTTTCATTGACCATGTTATATAAAAATCAAGAATGCTGTTGAAATTAAAAATTTGAATGTGCGCTGAGGAATCCGTTGAAAGCGACAAAAAAAAATCGATTTTAATACCTGGAACTCCAGAACATTTTAAAGGTTTTCCCCAGCAAATCCCGGGGAAGTGGAAGAAAACTTTAGTTTGTCATCCGGGAATGAGCCTTTGAAAGTCAAGGGAAAATCAGGAAATGGGCATGATTAAGAATTCTAGACACCATGACGTTTTCCTGGCCGTCTTTACTTCATTTAAAATCAACTTAAAATGGGACTACGGCCGCAAAAATAAATACATAAAATAAAAAAAAAACTCGGGACGTTTCGCGGTATTACATCCGCATTTTCAAACTGCAAAAAAGAAAGGAAAAATTAAGAAGAAACGCACCGAGCCTCACCGCTGTTACCAAGAGACTTTTTATGATTATAAAAAGCTCTTATTACTTTAAGATATTTCAGTTCCTCGGGTGATACAAATATTTTAACTCCGCGGATGTGCGTGAGGTATCACAACTTTTTGAAGGCGTTTTTGTGTTTGATGTTTTTATTACTGCATTGAAAGTCTAAACTGGAAATCCTATCTATTGAAGTTGTTGAGCCATTTAGGGGGCCTAATTGTATTGCAACTGCTGCCTCATGTTTTATCCAACAAAAAATATGAAAGAAAATTAAAAAATAAATGAGAGGTCAATAAAAAAATATGAGGTTTTCCTCAACTGTCAATCAATTTGAGTTTAGGTAGTTTAGGGCTTAAATGGGTAAACGTACTCTCTGCACGACTCTCGGATAATGAAATGTAAACAGATTTATTCTACCGTGCTAAGGAAAAACGCCGTATGAACCTTCAAGCGTTGCCAAATTTCATTTGATAAAACACTAATTTCCTGGTAAACTTATCATTATGTTCCTTCCAATTTTTCAGATGATTTTGTTCGCAATTTTACCTGAAGTTCCTGAAAATTTCCAGGAAAAATATTCATAATATTCCACAAAAATGAAAATTTTATCGAAGGAAATTTGGCAACTCTCGAATTCCTGCGGCGTTCTTTCTTAGTACGGCAGTACTATATATGACAATCCAAAAGTCTCGCACCACCCGTGTTATCCATAGGGGGTTTCCCCCTTTTCAGAAGGGTCCCTTTAAAAGTTCGGAAGTTCCTGTAAGTTGTTTCCTTTGACTTAGAAGCACTCACAAATTTCAAGTCCCCATCTATCTCAATTTGTTCAAAAGCTTCAAGGGTGATGCCCTGAAACAGCGGTGCGGGAAATTTTGGATCACCTTGTAAAATGTATTCCTGGAAGTTCAATTCTAGCGTGAAATTTATGTGAACAAAACAACTTTGTATAATGTATAATAATCTCTTCATTTTGACGTATGAACTTCGAATTTCGGGCTCTACAGCTTCAAGTTACATAAGTTGATACTTTACTTATGAATTGCAAGTAAAGTCTTTATGTATTCTCCACGACGCACAGTTGACTGAGTCAATCAGAGAGAACGGACATGGAATATTTGACTAAAACCGCAAATTTTGATGTTTATTTCGTCATATTTTAAATTTTCAGGGGTGCTCCTGAAAGAAAATTTCACGCGGAAACCGACGAAACCACTTTCAGAACCTCAAAATTTTGTATAAACAGAGTTAAGAGCGTTAGAAGTTTCCAAATTTTGTCCGACCTCTCCTATTGACTCGATCCACTGAGCGACGACGGCCATTTAGTGAGGAGGAGAGGGCTGGCTCCCGGCCCAACTGAGGGTTGAATTGCGTTCAGGATTTCCAATTTTTTTTATTGCGACCCGCAAAGATCATGCGAAAAGAAGCGTTACCCGTCAATGGAGGTTGCATACTGTAACTTCCTTTTAAGAATTGGATTTGATCTTCATCTTCGATTTGGGGTCTTATGGAGCCAAGAGGGTTTCTTGACCGCAAATCTGAATTCCACGATCAACATCATACTTGCATGAGCATATACAGAAAACTTGATGGTGTATTCGAATTTTAAAATTTTATTCCATTGATGCGGCTTTCTTGTACGTCGTCTTGAATAGGAGGTGTCGGTTCGTTTTTTTTTTTTTTAGCTTGGCAACATCGAAATTCGAATTTTGCACGTCAAAACGAGGAACCACGAAAGTGCGGTAGAAGTGCGAAATCACGTTTCTACGTCTGCGACGTTGCAAACTTTCGGTCATACTTTACTTTTTTATTAAACAACCTAGTCAACTTAATCTATTAAAAACCTCCTTAATTTTTCTTCTCTGTCATGCAGCAATGTTCCATATAAATTTCAAGTTACATAGTGACATTTTTCGAAAAAATAAATTCGGAACAAAGATTTCGAAACGCCGCAATGAAGATACGCTGTTTCGCACTTTAGACATCGATATTCTGTCGTGCTAAGGAAGAACGCCGTATAAACATTCGAGAGTTGCCATATTTCCCCGAATAAAACATGCATTTATGAAAGAATTTATGCATATTTTTCCTTGAAATTTTCAATTAATTTAAGTTAAATCGTGAGCAAAATTGACTGAAAAATTTGAGGAAAAATACTCACAATTTTCCCAATAAATTTGGTTTTCCTTGAATAAAATATGGCAACGTCTGAAGGCTCATACGGCGTTCTTTCTTAGCACGGCAGTATTATACACATTTATTTTTTCATCGATTACTGCACTCGAGAGACTTTTTTTTGCTCGCCCAGGACTCGAATATTGGTAGACATGACTAGGGATATTCTTTTAAAGGTACCCAAGTGACGAGAACGAAGCAAGCCAAGAATTTACTCTTTCTGTCACAAGTATTCTTTGTTGGATTTTACACGTCAATTATCTAATTATATTTTTGCTTAATTTTTCGTGTGACATCTGTTTTTGCTAAAAATTGTCCTTTGTCTTACACCGGTGAGACATTTCTATTTGCGTTTTAGTGGTCTTCATCATCAACATAAATACATTTGACCGGAGAGCGACTGTTCTTTTTCTTTTTTTCATATCCATACCTGAGGCTTCCTCGGTGTGAAAGAATGTTGTATCAGAAATAAATAAATAAGTAAATGAAACATCACCTGGCAAAAAGTCAATAAGTTCAAACTCGGGATTTTTTTTTTTTTTTTTTTTTTTTTGAGCTGTATGTTCCAAATTGAAAAATGATGCGCTTAAGGCAGTTTCAGTTCAACTTAATGAAAATCAAGCAAATAATTTTTAAATGAACGCAATTCCCGCGGTTTCTTTCGCCGTTCAGTAAAAGGCTACTCGATGGAGCCTCTATACTGCCGTGCTAAGGAAGAACGTCGTATGAACCAAACAGACGTTGCCATATTTCCTTCGATAAAAAGCGAATCTAGTGGGAAAATTATGAATATTTTTCCTCAAATATTTCAGACAATTTTGTCCGCAATTTAATCTAAAATGTCTGGAAATATAAAGGGAAAATCTGCATAGCTTTCCAAACAAATACATATTTTATCCAGGGAAATTTGGCAACCTTCGAATGTTGATACTGCGTTTCTACTGATCATGGGAGTATGCTGCCGTGCTAAGGAAGAACGATGTGTAGACATACGAGAGTTGCCAAATTTCCTCCGATAAAATGTTTATTTTTGAGGAATGCTATGAATATTTTGCCTTTGAATTTTCAGAAACTTTTGGTGAAATTCTGAACAAAACTATCTGAAAAATTGGAAGAAAAATATCCACAAGTTTATCAGGAAATTCGCGTTTTATCAAAGGAAATTTGGCAACGCCTGAAGGTTTATATGGCGTTTTTCCTTAGCACGGTAGTGTAGCACTAACCCGGAAAAACCTACTGCTCGGAATTGCTGTATCCATGATCCAACCTGATGTTTTGCGCTCGGAAAATGAAAAGTTAGATCTCGGTGGGGGTTAGGAAACATCCAGGGTGTTTGCCGGACAATGATGAAAGTCTCCGTAAAGAATATCTGGCTGTGTGACGTTGCGTTGCGGTCAGTACCTTTAAAAAAATATCCTTATTGTTCCAGGGGTAAGAGTGAGGTTGTGACTGCTGAGCCGGAGCTTGTGACAGAGACGAGCCTTTACCTAGGAGATATTTTACCTTTAAACCCGAAACATTATGACAAAAACCGAGCCCCCAAAGTCGCAGGTTCGCCAACGATTGTCTACTTCCATGTCACCGTTTTATCTCTCGATTCAATCAATGAGGAGTCGATGGTAAGTTTCATTTTTATAAAATCTTTAATCTTAAGTCTATCTTTAATGTGCAGGGATATTATGGATCGTATTCCCCAAGGCGGGGGAAGGAGGGGCTTGAACCCTGCAGGAAGAAATGCTCTCTTAAAATTCAAAATTTTCTAGGTACCCCGTAAGCCCCCCCCCCCTCCCCAAAATATTCCCTAAGAGGGGGGGGCGCCGACAACATCCTTGCCCCAGGTGCTAAAAGTTCACGCCACGGCCCTGGCGGCAATATATACTGCCTTGCTAAGAAAGAACGCCGCACGAGCATTTGAGAGTTGCCAAGTTTCCTCCGAAAAAAATGTTTATTTTGGAGAAATGTTATGAATATTTTTCCTAGAAATTTTCAGGAACTTTCGCTGAAATTTCGAACAAAATTATCGAAAAAGTTGGAAGGAAAATATTCATTAATTTACCAAAAAATCCATGTTTTATTAAAGGAAATTTGGCAACGCCTATAGGTTCATACGGCGTTTTTCCTTAGCACGGCAGTATAGGTAGTACTTTTTTTGCGCTTAAACGTGATGGGTGCATCACGTGATGAGCGTGCATGCGGTCATTTCGGCGGTGAACTTGATACGATTCGTCGATATCCATTGGGATAAATGGATTGCATTTTGCAAAGAGGAACCAAGAGCATTCCAACGTTGCTAGGATTGTGGAACTTACGTTCTTCGAGATCAAATAATTGAAATCGTGCTTGAAATTAATTTACAAAGATAATTTACGTCCTGAATTTATAGTTTATTGGGAGTGAAGGTAAGACTTTTTTAGGTGATCAGTTTATATTTGCAAAGTAAAAAAAGTTGCACAATGTGAGCGGCGTTGGAACACTCTTGGTTCCTTTATGCAAAATTCAATCCAAATCAGGTTAGGGTGAATCGGAATAAAAATTAATAATTTGCCGTAAAGGCATGCAAAATGGGAAAAATCCAGGCTGATTAATCAATTACGGATGAATCGTATGAATCAGAATAGCATGGAATAAATGGATCGCATTTTGCAAAAAGGAACCAGAAGCATTTCAATGATTTTTTAATGATGGATTGTGCAACTCCATCCTTTACGATAAAAGTACAGAAATCATGAAAAAATATGAAATTTACGACATGGTAATTTGTGTCTTAAATTTACAGTTTTTAGTGAGTAAAATAGAAACTGTTAATGGATAATCAGATTTTTCTTCCATGATACAGGAAGTTGCACGCAACCTTAGCAACATTGCAATGCTCCTGGTCAGTGGCGTGGCATGAATTGCGATATATCGATTGTTATGCCATTTAAACCTATGAAAAAAGATCGATTATCAGGGTGTTCGCAGCGAACACCTTAGTAATCGATTCTTTACCATAGTTTCAAATGGCGAGATATCGATAATCGATTATTCACGCCACGCCACTGCTCCTGGTTCTTTTTTGCAAAATGCACTCCAATTATAGAAGTACTTCCCAACATCTTAATGACTCGAGGAACACTAGGAAATATCGTGTAGAAATAAAGTAAGTAGTAGTAGAGAAGAAATGTTTTGAAAAATACTATTAAAAATTGAATACCGAGGATAACAAATGGGAATTTGTGGCGTAAAAATTAACACAAAAAAAACAAAAAATAATCCGGAAGCGCAGTGAGGAGTTGCACTCTTGAGGTTATGGAGACAGGAAGTTGTTCTTGCTAATGATAGCCTTTGAGACTGGAGAATCTGGTTGTAGAACGTTTTAATACATCTTTTATAAGCAACCAAAGCAATTTTCGGAAAATTAACAATAATGCCATGATAAAATCAGTAATACTTGTAGTTTACTCCATCGGCAAAATGCGTAACGCTAGCGCTGGAGATGTGAGAGAAACATGCAAAGCGCCCTCAGTTAGAATCGCAAGGGACAAACATCAAACAAATTCACAATGACGCCTTGATGCAACTATTTGAGCTCCACGGATGTCCATGTTGCATGCGCTCAGCATTGAAGGCGTTTTGGACTCCCAGGCACTCTCCGCTTCACCCGCAGCGCGAAGACGGCCTCACATACCGCAAGGATTCATAATGACGGAACGCCCTTAGTTATCCTATATATCTAAAGAGATCTAATCTGAAGAAAATATCCAATTTTTCTCTATTTTCCATCAGGTTTTTGAATATTTCTTTAAAGGAAAAAGCCCTATCAATTTTCAACGGAAAATAGATCCATTTTGTAGACCGGAAATAGACCTATTTTCTTTGGTAAATAGTGACATTCACTTTAAATTCTCTGTCTACTTTCCACAATGCCAGCAACTTTTTCTTCATTTTCTAAATTTTTTTCATTAATGTTTTTTTTTTTTTTCACAAACTATTTCGACGGTGAAAGTCGGCAATCACATAACTCGTTTGCGGTGTCTGAAAATCTCCGCCTCCACGTCATTTTTTTAAAGGAGAACAAATTGATATTATTTCTTGAAGTTTTTGCAGAATTTTCTTCGCATTGAGAAGAAAAATCATGACAGTTTTAAAGAATTGCCGTTGAGTAGTTTTCCATTTTAAAAATAAAGTATGACAGGAAGTCTGCGACGTCGCAAACCGAGTTATGTGATTGCCGACTTTCACCGTCGATTTTCATTTTGCTACTTGGGCTATAACAGACCTAAACTGTCGTTGTGATTTTAAAGGAAAATATATTACATTTTTACACGACGCTGAAGCGGTATGTTTTTACAGACATACGTAGCAGATATTTTCTTGGCGCAAAGCTGGCGAGACCAAAGACTGAGACTCCCAGAAAATATGAGTGAGGAGTACAGAATTTTGGATGTCGGGTGGCTCCATGACATATGGCGGCCGGATTGCTTCTTCAAAAACGCCAAGAAAGTTACCTTCCACGAGATGAGCATTCCCAATCATTACCTGTGGCTTTATCATGATAAAACTTTGCTCTACATGTCCAAGTAAGTCATCACTCTCCTATGCATTTTCAATGCACGTAAAGCTTACATAAATCGTGATCAGGGTGTCTACAAGTCCGAAATTTCCGGAAAGTCCGGAAATAGCGCTGATTTTTCAAGGGCGGTCCGGAAGTACTGAAAAAGTGCGGAAATCCCGCAAGAAGGTCCCGAATTTTGTTCATTTTTTGTCATTTGAGTCGCAACTTGAACGAGAATTTCAAATTTTTGAAATTTTTCGAATCTCGTCAATTTTAGGTACTGAAAAAGTACCGAATTTTTCTGTTGAGGAGGTACTGAATTTCTTCGGAATGTACTGAAAAGGTACTGATTTTTTGCCAGCCTGTTTTAGTAGATACCCAGGTGATTTTGAAAATAGCAGTACCGGAAGTTCAATTTCTCGCAGAAAATGTTGCCGACCTATTGTGAAACTCTTTCATTGATTCATTTTAAGACCAATTCACACAGATTTTCCGTGGACGAGTTTTTGAGACCTCTTCGGGGCATTGCGGTGGAAAATTTAAACGCAATGCACTTCTTACGTAGGAGCAACTTATGTGACCTCACACTGCCTTCGGTCGAGTGAAGGCCGGGTTGGGGAGTGGATTCCAAAAAGATGCGCAATGACTGACACGAGTGGATCGGTGTTATACTTTCGAGACTTTCAAACTAAATAAATTCTGCGCATAGTTCAGTTGCCGGATATCCTAAAAATACTGCGTTTGCCAACCAACTTGTTGCTGGCTGAGTTTTAATGCAGGAAAAAATTAATATCCTTATCATGATGTGAAGAGGAAGCATATAAAACTGTATTTTAGTGTAGAGAGGAGTTAATTCTTCAGCAAATATCAGGGGGGTCCAGCCACAGATCTCCCCCTTCCCCCCGAGTGTATTTTAGTTTCTGCTTAGTGACTGTTTTATTAATACTTTATTTTACAGGCTAACGCTGGTCTTATCGTGCGCCATGAAGTTTGAGTCTTATCCGCACGATACACAAATTTGCTCAATGATGATTGAAAGTCGTAAGTATTGCAGATACTCTTTAAGAAATATGTGCCCGGAAACATGAGTGTAGCTAGAAATATTTCTATTCGGGAGAAGGGGGACAAGGACTCATTTACTGTTCATGGGAGTCTTGGGGCACTAAGCTGCTAAGTCACAACTTTTGGGGGCACCACCTTTCGAGGGAGCTTACCCACTCCCTTCAGCCCCCCCAGTTACGCTGCTGCGTGAAAACTCCCCCTCCCAAAGTAGCACAGATTGCAATAAGTAGCAATTACATTGCAGAAATACATAGGTTGTCCCAAAAGTACTACACTTTTTTTTTTTTTTTGACGAACGGTAGCAGATATCAAAATGCGGTTTGTGTAGTCTTAAAGACCGGCCAATTACTGATAAAACAAGACAAATCCGAGCTCTCTAAGTCAAAAAATGACCAAGTTGCAGTGTTTTGAAAATGACTTGTAGAGGGGACCCCTACAGGATTTTCAGCTTCTTTTCTGGAAAAAAACGAAGAATTAAGGATTCAAGTGGTTTAATTAAATCAATTTTGCAGAATCTTACCAAGATTGCTAGCATTTACTCTTCTTCACTGGACGACTGGACACTAGTTTCCTTCTCAAAATACCCTCCATCACTTGCCACACAGCGCCGCAACCGTTCTTCCCACTTCTTCAAACATGTTTTTTTTCGAATTCTTCTTGCCTGATGTTCTTTAAGAAAGTTTCAACAGTTCTTTTTATCTCGTTGATGGAGTTAAACTTCCTGCCTCTCAAGCCCTTTTTCAACGTAGGGAATAACCAAAAATCGCTGGGTGCAAGGTCCGGGCTGATACCCTGTTGCCATCTTCATTCGATCGCGACGATTTCTCTGTAGAATTTTTGATTAATCAAATCTTTGTTTTTTCCAGAAAAGAAACTAAAAATCCTGGAGGGGTCACCTCTACAAGTCATTTTCAAAACACTGTAACTTGGTCATTTTTTTACTTAAAGAGCTCGGATTTGTCTTTTTGTATTGGTAATTGTTCGGTCTTTAAGACTACACAAACTGCATTTTGATATCTGCTACCGTTCGTCCAAAAAAAAAAAAACAATCAAATCTTTGTTTTTTTCCAGAAAAGAAACTGAAAATCCTGTAGGGGTCCCCTCTACAACTCATTTTCAAAACACTGTAACTTGGTCATTTTTTGACTTAGAGAGCTCGGATTTGTTTTATCGGTAATTAGCCGGTCTTTAAGATTACACAAACCGCATTTTGATATCTACTGCCGTTCGTCCAAAAAAAAAAAAAAAAAAAAAAAAAAAAAAAAAAAAAAAAAAANAAAAAAAAAAAACGTGCAGTACTTTTGGGACAACCTATGTATTGCAATTCCCACTGAGTGTTGTGTATGTTGCCAAGCTCCTATTTGAAGACCCATTTGACCCGATTTGAGCTCCCATTTATTGATACTTATTACTATAAAAATTGAAACAAGTTGCAATTTTTCATTGTATTGCCTATTGCCTATCTTCCTGACACATGGAGCTAATTTCGTCGATAGTTTTAAATCGGCATAAATCGACTAAATGATGTAAAAATATTGCAATTTAATGGTGGAAAAAAATGCAAACTTTATTGAAATCAAATTGCAATTTAATTTCAATATTTTCGTTGTACTCTGCTACCCGGGTCAGACAATATCAAGAGAGGAGAAGTTACTAAGCAGGTTCCAAAGAATACGTTTTAAATTCTCGATACCCATAGCCTATACCGAAGATGAGATAATTCTTTAAACTTAAGAAAATGACTGTTCTACGCGCAGCTATGGAGGTCATAAAGCTTCCATAACTTATGACAAATCTATAAACAAACTAATAGTTGCTCGCAGTAGCCTTGTCATTTTTTCTCTGTCCCGGCAAGGAGCATCTATTGCAATCAATCTTTGCAAGGAACAGACGATGATTACTCGCCTCTCTGCGTGCCTCTCATTCAGTCGAGTTCGCCTTCATTAACCGATGATGACAAAATGAGTGGCTTAGGAGCAGTAGCATGACGTGCTATGCGATATATCGATTGATCTACCATTTAAACCTACGGAAAAGAATCGATAAATAGGGTGTTCGCAGCGAACACCTTGATAATCGATTCTTTACCATAGCTTCAAATGAGAAATATCGATAATCAATCATTCACGCCACGCTTTTGCTTAGGAGCACGAATAGTTGTGCACAGTAGTTTTGTTACTCTCGCTCCATCCAGGCAAGGGACCCACGTTGCTTAGTCAAAATATATGTTACGTGACAAATAATTTACAACTTCATGCCGTAACATTCAAAAATCGGGGTCATGCTTCCAAAACAGGGGGACTACTGTACGGCAAAAGTACGGATACACTGATAAAGCACAGATTTCGGAAGTTCGGTACGGAAGAACGGAATTTGAATGACAGGGTACCAGTAGACAATCTGCAACATCTGTAAAAAGCGCGGCACATTTAGAGACTATCACCTGTCGACAGCCCAAAAATCATGAAAATCGGCCCAGCAGATCGCGGTGGAACGAACTTTGGCAAAAAATAAAAATAACGACCCTTGAAAAAAAATGTAAAAACTTTTTTTTAAAAAACTGTTAAAATGTTCGTATTTAGAAACCCCTCTTTGCTATTTTTTAAAACACAATTTACAAGAAGTAAAATTTAAGGGAAAAAGTGTTGAAAAACTCTTAAGATATCATTGTAGTTTTAACATTTTTTCATACATTTTTAGTGTTGAAAAACTACAGTTGATATTTTAAGAGTTTTTGAAACGTTTTTTAACTTAAATTTAACTGCTCGTAAATTTTATGGAAAAAAACACTCGAGAAGGGTTGCCTAAAACAAACATTTTCACAGTTTTTTAAGAGTTGTCTTTCTGAAATGAAATAATTTTTAAAGAGTTTTTTTTAACAACCATTGCTACTGGGAGGAGAGCTTTGGAGAAAAATAAGGAGGAAAGAGTGGGGTGAAGAGGAAGAGAGGAGGAAGCGAGGAGGAGGGTGAATGTGCGGGGAAAGGGGACGTTGACGGCGAGCGATGGGCGATGGGTTGGGAAAGATAGATGGAAACCTTAGTAAAACGTGACAAATGCCCGAGTGCTGACAAAGCTATTTCCCACCACTGAGTTTGCTCCCATTAAAAAACAAAGCAAGAGGCGAATGAGGAGATACCCTTTGCGTGTCAAGTTGGATAAAAATTGGCCATAGCATTGAAAACAGAGCGAAGGGAGTCCGGAGCCGCGGATAAACACACACTCACACACTTTTACACTGGCGCATAGGCCGACACACCCTCACACTCTGGCGACAGAGCTTGATTGAAGACATGCCCGCACTCGGAAATTATGAGCTGCGCTATTCCAACAGCGGCTTTGATTCGGATCTATCAAGTTTCATTTCCAGTGTCAAGTGACACTTTGAGCCAACACTTGCCTTTTAAGATTAGCAGACCTTTCTGTGCCTTCGGAGATATTAACATCGTCGAGGCCTATCAACGACCCTCCGCCCCCTCTCCCAGGCCACGAGGCTTACCTCTTTGGTGACAGTGACCTCGCTGAAGCGAAGCACCCGTCCACGTCACTGCCTATTTGTGTCTCTCGGCTTTAAAAAGCGTATCTAATGCCGCTTAATTAATCCATCAACCCTAAGCTCGAAAATCTTCACTCCCTCCTATTTCAACGGCGTGATTCATAGCCGAGACGCTATGTAATCTAGGTCAAATATTGACTCACGGGACGCAGGAGATCCATTCGTCATTTCCTTGTCCATCTAAGATACGACACTCCAAGCTAACGAGGAGAGCGTCTTTACAGTCCATGAGGAAAGAGATGCAGGGTTGCCACCGGTCTGGAAAACCGGGAAAGCAGGGAAAGTCTTGGGACTTTGTGACGACTGGGAAAAGTCAGGAATCCGTGGGAGAGGTGAGGGAATTTCCGCAATATTTACTAATCACTGATCTTCCTACTGTTTACCCCTTTGGTCATTTTTAAGGTTTTAATTTCCTAACTTGCCACTGAATGCCTTTATCGGTAATTTGATCATTATACGAGGACATTGTATCCGAAGTCTAGCAAAAAATAGCGTATTTTAAAAGGAAAAAAAAAAGGATGGAAATTTTTTTCGAAGATCAGGGAAAGTCGGGGAATAAGAAAATATTGGAGTCGGAGAAAAACAAAAATAGTCGGGGAATAGTCAGGGAATTTAAAGATAAAGAAGTACATGAACGCTATTTCCATTTAAATCTTCCGTCGCATTTCTAAGGCGCAATGATACAACTATTTGAACTCTCCGGAATGCGTGAGATATCACGCCGCATTTGAAGGCGTTTTCAAAACAGCCTAGTTCCGATACCCGGATTATCGTTTTGCATAGTTCATATTCCTTTGTTATATTCCGTACCACTCGTTTATTTTTCATCCTCGTAGAAAAACCACCCATTTGTAAATACAATTCTAGCTGGAGCGCACTTCAGCTATGCATTCACCACTGCAATAATTTTAGAGGAAATCGACAAGCCCAGCGTGCATGGAGGCTATCTCCATTTAAATCTTCCGTCGCATTTCTAAGGCGCAATGATACAACTATTTGAACTCTCCGGAATGCGTTGGGTATCACACCGTATTTGAAGGCGTTTTCAAAACAGCCAAGTTCCGATACCCGGATTATCGTTTTGCATAGTTCATATTATTTTGTTTCCATTTCTAACCACTTGTTTATTTATAATCCTCCTATAAAAATTACCCATTTGCTATATACAATTCTAGCTGTAGCGCACTTCAGCTATGCATTCACCACTGCAAAAATGTCAAAGGAAATCGACAAGCCCAGCATGCATGAAGGCAGGCCCGCCACAATGGTGGGATACTGGGTCCCTGGTAAGGGGGCCCGTGTTACCCGTGAAAAACCACTACGAATTCACATGCAACCCTTGTTTCGTAAGAAAAATTGAATAATTTACCCTAAAAATTTCGCAGAAGGTGAATAGATTTTCAAAAACACGCTGGGGCACTGTAGAATTCTTCTTACATTTTCAAAGAAGTATACTTCCTGGAAAATTTCAAGCTATTTTCATGATTTTCAGTGCAGAGGGATATTTTTAGTAACTGCGTTTCATTTTCTTCCGTCGTCAGATGCTAAGAGTCTCCAGTCTGGGCATCCTCGACTTCAATGGCTCATGGCTCAACTCCCTTGCCATAGACAAACGAAGGGGGAGTCCAGGGGGGGCTTGGCCCTCTTAGAACTGAAAATAGTATCATATCCCCCCCCCCAAAAAAAAAAAATTTTCCAGATGTTTTGAATGCAACAATTCGCAAGTATTTTGTGCTGAAAGTAGAAAAAAAAACATAATTATTCCGCAGAAATTGATGGAAAAATTCTTTATGGAAGCTTCAAAATGCGTCCGATTAGTCGTATAAATTCTAAAATTTCTCGGGGGATGCCCCTCGGACCCCCCCTCCCCCTCCGTGCTTGGGGCCTGGACCTTAAAACTGGTACCAGGGCCCGTGATGGGATGTGGCGGGCCTGAAGAAGTTATGGCAACCCTAGAGATAAGAGGGGGATAGGATAGGAGCTGAAGAGGATTGGGGCTTTGTGCCCGGGTGAGAATGTTGCAAAAACTTCGGCAACATTGTACATATACGTATCCTAGTTGCTTTATCACTCTCTCCCTTGACTTCTTGTTCGTTACATTCACTATTTTAACTCCGTCTTGATCTCTCATTTATTTTGAGTTATTATATAAGAACATGCTTCAAAAAAAAGCATCATAGGTAAGGAAATAGAAAAAATTCAATCGTTAAGTAGAAATTAAAAACTAGCGGTAAGCGCCATTGGAAACCACATGAGCTTTGCAATTTATTGTCCCTCTTTTCCTATCTACGGATGTCTATAAAACATTTTAAACATATTCATATATATGTCGCTGGCAATTAGCAATCGCCGGCAATTTGCAAGCGGTTCACGCGTTCTTTCAATAAATCGCAATAATGCGCATCGGCATAATGCAATTTTTAAGGGTTATAGTCTTCAGAAGTATGAGCTCGGCTTGAAGCGCCTTCATTTTTTGTGATACTCTACGCTTCGTCACGATGTTAGTTTAGTTGCCTCTCCGGTGTCAACCCAACTAATGTCACGGAGTTCACTATTCGCTCCTCTGAGTGTGCATATTTTTGCCATATTTTCATGCCATGTTGCTATGCCACGTGTTTATGCAACATAATCAGCACTCTAATCTTGTTCTTTTATTTTTGAATTTGATTATTTTCTTTATTTATTCACCACATGGCTTGTAAATTGCCAAGGATTGCTAATTGCCTGCGACATATATTTCGGTTTCAATTATTCTTCGATGGTTCCTCTTTTTTCAGTTTCACACACAACTCACGATTTAGTTTTTATATGGAACATGACGGATCCATTAGTCGTGAATCCTGAAATAGAACTGCCGCAGTTGGATATTTCTCAAAACTATACCACAGATTGTACAATAGAATATTCTACAGGTTCGTGTTCTTTGAAAAATACAGCCTCTTTTTGACTTATGGTCCACGAATGTATGCGTAATGTCTGTTTTTAGCATAAAAATGACGCGCCGAACAAACTGAGTGAATCGAATGTAGATACTATCGATTATCAAGATCGATTTACGATGTATCGGTCGATAAAAATATGTACATTTTCGCCACAAAAATCTTCACAGTTTACGAAGGAAGATTTGGGTAACTTTCTCTCTCCACCTTCCTCTGTGAATTTTTCACACCGAATGTGACCACCTACTTCATCATTGAACGTGAAACTTGCCATTTTCACGACAAACGTACGGTTCACTCTCACTTTTTCATACTTTTTTTGAAGCTTGGTCTCACGAACATCTCTCACAGCCACTTACGTAGTTTTCGGAGCAAAAATAATTAAATGTATTTTTTTCACCTTTTTAGTGAATTATGAATAAACATTCATCCCCTTTAAACAAGAAAAATATCAAAGTTTTTTCCTTCATTGAATTCTTTCTAAATTTTCCTCATGTATTCAAAGATTTTCAAAAATTAATATAGAGATATTTTCGTAATTTTTGTTTTCTTTTTTTTTACGAAAAAATAGAATCTAATGGTAAGTTATATGCGTCACAGTTGAGATACTCATTTGTCGCCTTCAGCAATCATCAACATGTGGCTGATATTTAATGTAATTTGTCTCAGAAAGGAAACTTCAACATGCGTGCTTTAATTTATTCATGCAGGTAACTTTACGTGCTTAGCCGTTGTTTTTAATTTGCGCCGAAGACTTGGATACCATTTATTTCACACCTACATACCTTCGGCACTCATCGTTGTAATGTCTTGGATTTCATTTTGGATTAAACCAGAAGCAATCCCGGCCAGAGTCACTCTTGGAGTCACTTCACTATTAACGTTAGGTAAACTCTGTTTGAATTTTCCTATCACAGTAGTAAAAACTAATTCCTGATGTCTCTTTTTATCTTTCGCATTGAAAAGGTATCCCAAAGCTTAAATCGTGTCGATTTGCCGATAGGATGTTCATTTATTCACTTACGTTTGTTTGTATGTTTTTAAATTTACTCTTTCTCTGAATACTCAATTCGTCAAAAAATTGTTTTTCTAGAATAGCATCCAATTTACCCCAATAGCGAATCTCGTTAAATAAGTCGGAAAAATTTAAAGCTGGTGTTTTTTAAGAATTTGAAAGGTTCACGTGAAAAAACTCGTAAAACAGTCGTTTCCGTTAGTTGTGATCTAGGAGGTAAAGAGAGGTAGTTTGTACTTATTACTTACGTATTTTTCTTGTAAATAACACTAAATACGCATATCGTTTTTGGTCTATTTCACAAAATTTTTTTACGAAATTTTTACGCTCTGTGCTGCCAGGAAGTCTTTTAAGTTTTAATCATATATCGACGGTGAAACTACCAAACCACGCATCTCGGTTTGCGACGTCGCAGACTTCCTGCCATACTTTATTTTTTAAATGAAAAACTACTTTACGCCCAGTCTTGAAAATTTCTGTGATTTTTCCTCTTTGTGCGAAGAAAATTCTGTGAAAATTTCAAGGAATGATATTGAGTTGGTCTACTTCAAAAAAATAAAATGTGAGCGTAGATTTTTAGACACCGCAAACGAGATACGTGGTTTGGTAGTTTCACCGTCGATATCAGGTTTTAATCATAAATGATACATCTGCTAAGAAACAGCTTGCCGCTACGAAATCGTAATTTTGTTGGTTCTTCTTCCTCCTTTTTTGCAGCAACACAAAACACTCAATCGCAACAATCTTTGCCCCCCGTTTCGTACGTGAAAGCCATCGATATTTGGATGTCGTCATGCTCTATTTTCGTTTTTCTGTCCCTCATGGAGTTTGCCGTCGTCAATAATTACATGGGCCCTGTCGTCACAAAAACAATGAAGGGCTACTCCGAGGAAGACCTGAGAAATGCTGTAGATGATTTTAAGGTAAAATTTTTCCCTCTGGCCTCAAAGTGTTCTCTACGTTTAAACTGGGCGCTCTCATTAATTACGTTACGCTCTCGGAAGGGGGGGGGGTATGAGCCTGCGTGACACCACATTACAATGGGGCAGAGAATGCAGTGCCAGCGTTCTGTACTCCTTACTATTGGTGAAACACACGTAAAATCCAAAATGTATCATCCTCATTTGGACGCATTTCTGTCAAACGGAACCATGCGCAAAAAGACATCGTCACCTTCCAGGCAAAGTATCACAAGCGTCATGCGACTTTTAAAAATTTCCGCCGCCATTTTATTTTTTTACTGAGAAATTGTTGGTTGAATCTGTTCGAAAATTTAACCAAATTTTATCGGCAGCACAAAGAAAATTCGGTGTAATTTTCGGACAGCTTCGTTGAACAATGTCTCCGTAAAAAAATAAAATTGCGGCGGAAATTTTTAAACGTCGCATGGCGCTTGTGATACTTTGCCTGGAAGGTGACGACATTACAATGGGGCAGAGAATGCAGCGCCAGCGTTCCGTAATCCTTACTATTGGCGAAACACACGTAAAATCCAAAATGTATCATCCTCATTTGGACGCATTTCTGTCAAACGGAACCATGCGCAAAAAGACATGAGCCCTGAGACCCATTCGAATATTTGCATAACAGGGCTCACGTCTTTGTGCACATAGTTCCGTTTGATAGATATACGTCCATTTCTTCGACGTTATTTGTCGCACTACCATTGAAAATACTAAGGGTTGCCGGCGATCTGGAAAACCGGGAAGGTCAGAAAAATAAGTCGAGAAATTTGCGGCGACCAGCGGGCCGATTATTGATATTGATAGACAAAGCTATAGACAAAGCAGACAAAAGGTATATGGAGAGATCCTATTGGTGGAAGCGAGTGGTTCAATGGACAAAGAGGGTAGGTAATAGACTAACTAAAGGCAACCCACGTGATAGTCCATCATTTTCTCCCTTAGTCTGTTGTAGGAACCACCCATTTCAACCGAGAGGACAGCTTCATACTCCCTATATCTTCTAAGTGTATCGCTTTGTCTATCAATTTCAATAATCGGCCCGCGGAGAAAGTAAGAGAAAGTCGGTGAATTTAAAAGAAAAGTCAGGGAATTTTTCGAGGTGCGTGTAGCAGAAGTGCGAGGACAATTTACGGGGAAAAAATCAAAATTGAAGTTTTATTCGAATGCCAGGGCAAGTCAGGAAATGCGAAAATTTTGGAGTCAGGCAAAAGCAAAAATATTCAGGGAAAGTCAGAAAATTTGAAAATGAAGAAATTATGGCAACCCTGCATCCATATTTTATCAAGCTATACATTCAACAGTTTCCCACAATTTTTGGGATTTCGAAGNGGGGGGGGGGGGGGGGGGGGGGGGTCCGGCTAGGGTTAAGTAATTATTCAGGAGGGATTCCGGGCTGCGTTACGAGGGGTGGAGGAGGATCACAAACTCTGAAAAATTGTGTAACGTAATTTATGAATGCTGCCTCTTACGTGTTTCTTGAGCTTACTATGGCAGGTTCCTGGGAAATTCGGACCACAAATCGCATCACTCTTCCTCAGTGGCGTAGCGTGGAGGATCAATTATCGATATTTCTCCATTTAAAGCTGCAGTCGATTAATCGATTATCAAGGTGTTTGTTGTGAACACCTTGATAATCGATCCTTTTCCATAGATTTAAATGGCAGATCAATCGATATATTGCAAAGCACGCCACGCCACTGCTACTGCTCATTCCGCACGCCTAGACTTTCCCTATTACGTGATTCAAATGGTTTTAGCATTAAATGAAGAACATCAGAAATCCAAATATTGACCATAAAATAGAAATTGCATCTAGAGGAAGAAAGGAAGATATGACTGAAATGGATCATTCATAACTTCCTCTTTTCTTCGCAATTCTTCTCCTTCCTTTGCTCTTTTTTCTGTTTTTCTTCCCTCTCTTCTTTTCTTTTTTCTCCTTCTTTTTCCTATTTTCTTCCTCTTCCTCTTTTTTTCTCGTACTATCATATTCTCTTCTTTTTCCTTTTTTTCTTTCTTTCCTTTTCTTCTCCCTCCCTTTCCTTTTCTTTTTACTTCTTCTTTCTCTTGTCTTCCTTTCCTTGTTGCTCTTAGCTTCATCTTCTCACTCTTTTCTTCTTTTGCCGTTATACTTCTTCTTCTTCTTCACTCGCTTCCCTTCTTTTTTCTCCTATCTGTTTTCATCTTCTTCTTTTATGATTATGTCTGAAACGCATTCGCACGCAGAGACCGCCTGACTGTTGAAGGGGAGATGATACCACTATTCGACTACGTGCGGGCTCGTGTTGCCTACACGCAAAATTGAAGGAAAACTGACGTGGCTTGAAAGTAACCGCTTGCGGTTTGATTCGGTAGGAAATGAATGCATCAAAACTTTGTACATTTACAAAATAATTTATTATTCTTAAGGTTTTTCGTCTTGTTCGTCATCATCAGAACGCGTTTATGTAGGTACACACTTAATTTCATAATAACTAACACAACGTACAAAGCGAACTTTTCACCAGATGCAAACTATTGAGCACGACTACTGACTAGTATCAAGCAAACCACTATAAAGATGAATTGTATGAAGTAATGTTCAATGCTCGTCAGTTTGCCTTCAATTTTTGATTTAGGCAACACGAACTCCCACGTGGTCGAATGTATGTATAGTGTCATCAAGCGGCTTGGCGTGAATTTCGATGTATCGATTGTTATGCCATTTAAACCTATGCTAAAGAATCGATTATTAAGGTGTTCGCTGCGAACACCCTGTTTATCGATCCTTTTCCATAGGTTTAAATGGCATAACAATCGATAAATCGCAATTCACACCACGCCACTGTGTCATCTCAAAAACGCTTATATACCAAAAGACACATCGAAATGACTCCGAAAGTACGACTCGATTCGGCAAGCTTGTGTAAGGAATATACGGAAGTTTTACCCTTGCGGCCTATCCCGCCGTGCTAAGGAAAAACGCCTAATGAACATTCTGCTTTAGCAAAAGTCTACTGTATGAAACATACATTTATGAGATGATCTATAAATCTTTTTCTTCGAAATGTTCAGACACTTCAAATCAAATTTCGGGTAAAATTCCCGGAAAAATTTAGGGGGAAAATCCCCAAGTTTCTCAGATAATGGACCACTAGACAAGGTACGAATTTAAGTAATCTGGTACATGTTTCTTAACCAGAATTTCACATAGAACACGATTCACACAACGATAATTACTGAAACCAACTCCTAACGAAGATATTGACGTTTTCATTTCACATTGGTTACGAGGAATTTGAACTGCCTGCTCACAAGAAACTCAAAGCTCTACGTGAGTCAAATTGCGCACTACAACGGTTTCAGAAAGCTTCTCAACTGAGCAATGTTCATTTCCCGCCATGTATTTTTCAAACTACAAGCAATTTGCTACAGCTGAGCCAAAGTGTCAAGATTGAGGTTGCCAGATTCTTATATTGCATAGACTGTTATGATAACGTTTAGCGCGCGATGTGAATCACGTAGAGCATTGAGTTTTCATGAGCGGGTGGTTTGAATTCACGCATCAAGAATCATTGGATATCTTCGTAAGGAGTTGATTGCGGTAATTTTCGTTGAGCGCATCGTGTTTTACGTGAAATTTTGGTCAAGAAACATGTATCAGAATGCTAAAATTCGTACCTTGTCTAGTGGTCCATTCCTATTTTATCAGAGGAAATTCGGCAACGTCTGAAGGCTCATGCGGCGGTTTTCCTTAGAATGGCCGCGGCCATATTGGCAAAGGTACACAATTAAAAGTACCTGTTTCATCTCGGATGCATTATTCTTTAATACGCGGAAGGCCAGGAGAAATCAGGACCCATCATTGTGGGCTCGGGAAATGGTCACACCGACAGATTGAAGGACGTCGAACCCGGAACCAAACCCCTTGTCCTAGGCTGCTTTGCTAAGGAAGAACGCCGTATGAACCTTCAGGCGTTGCCAAATTTCCTTGGATAAAACACGAATTTACTGGTAAACTTATGAATATTTTCCCTCTAATTTTTCAGATAATTTTGTTCGCAATTTCACCTGCAGTTCCAGAAAATTTCGAGGAAAAATATTCATAATTTTCCTCATAAATAAACATTTTATCGAAGGAAATTTGGCAACTCTCGAATGTTCATACGGCGTTCTTCCTTAGCTCGGCAGTAGGCGTGCATTGCTCCTTGAAGGATCTATTTACGAGTGGATCTCTGTATATCGACCAGTGGCGTGGCGTGATTTGCGATATATCGATTGATCTGCCTTTTAAATATGTGGAAAAAGATCGATATGCAGGGTGTTCGCGGCGAACACCTTGATAATCGATTCTTTAGCACAGTTTCAAATGGGGAAATATCGGTAATCGATTATTCGCGCCTCGCCACTGATATCGACGGTGAAACTACCAAACCGCGTATCTCGGTTTGCGGCGTTGCAGATTTCCTGTCATACATCATTTTTTAAATGAAAACCTACTCAACATCAATGCTTGAAAACGTCCATAATTTTTCTTCTCCTTGCGAAGAAAACTCTGCGAAAACTTCAAGGTATAAAATAGACTTGTTTTCCGTCGAAAAAATAAAATGGGAGCAGAGATTTTGAAACACCGCAAACGAGATGCGTGGTCTAGTAGTTTCACCGTCGATATGCTTCTTTAATGCGCCCCTGTACCATTTGATGTGGTTTTGATGAGTCGAATGGAATCTTTCATAATTTACATCTTTCGAATAACCAGGAGTCTGGTTTTCCCCTGCTTCTTTTTCTCGCTTAAGAAAATAGGAACAGGATTAAGATGCATCCTCAACTTTTCAGAGAACGATTCGATCGTAGGCGTGCACAATCGATACTTATCGATTATCGATATGTCCCCATTTGAAGCTGTGGTAAAAAAATCGATTTTAAGGTGTTCATTGCGGAGGCTCTGTTTATCGATCCTTTACCATAAGTTTGAATGGCAGAGCATTCGATATATCGCAAAGCACGCCACGCCTCTGGATAGTTTCTAGATTTGAGAACATTCCTCAAACATTTCCGAGCATCACATCATACTGCAGTGCGCTTGGTATTTATACACATACATATATTTGAGTGAGGAACATTTTGAAATAGCTTTAAAAGCACGTCTCTAGTAAATATCGCAAATAGAGAGGCAAAATGATTTGCGATTTTCGCTTGGGGATATTCGAGGCATGCTTTCAGAATTATTTTGCTATGTCTCTTGATGCTAGTTTTAGAACAAACTAGGTGGCTTGACCCCTGGCCTAACCTCCGGGGCGCTGCGCGCCCCCAAAAGCCCGCTTCGCGACCAGCGAAATCGTCGAAATCGCCCGGACGAAACAAATTGAGTTTGCCGAAAGTAAATTAAAAATTCAAATAGGAAGATACTTCATCAACAACTGACAGCAAATCAAAAACGAACTTTCAACTCCACTTCCTGACTCCTGCCCGTCGACCGTCTTAATCCCCCCCCTCGCCCCGTCCAGTGGCGTGGCATGCTGTGCGATACATCGATTGATCGGGAAATTGGGGATTGATGGAAAAGCGGGATTTTCCATTGAATCAAAAGGAACTGAGCGCTAACTCGTGAGCCGTGGGCATATGACAAGAGCATTGTGGACAGGGCTCATGAGTTAAAGCGCCCCGACAACGAGCTCGTCACCACGTGCGTCTTCGTCGTCGCCGCCGACGTCACTGGCGCTTTGAAATTCCCATTCATTCTTATGGCCTGACCGCTAACGAGCACACCCCATCTTTCTACTTCCACATAGTTCCATTTAGCATAAATACGTCCATTTGAAGTACTGCAACAGCGCGATGTGATGCTCAGAAATTCGCAAGAAACGTCCTCAAGTCCAGAAATTATAATTTGATCGCAGTCGACTGTCGAATCGTTCTCGAAAGTACTGAGCCTCATGCACCTGGGTTTCTGCCGACCTTTGACAATAAACTTGCCTCGAATGACTACGGAAAGTGCGGGCGCCGTTGCGGCGCCGCCGCACAGCCAGTGAAGCGTATGATCAGAACCTTCTACTGCCGTGCTAAGGAATACGCCGTATGAACCTTCAGACATTGCCAAATTTCCTCCAGTAAAAACCGAATTTACTGAGAAAATTGTGAATATTTGTTTTCAAAATTTTCAGACAATTTTGTACGCAATTCAATCTAAAATATCTGAAAGTTTCAAGGAGAAATATGCTTAAATTTCGTTAAAAATACATGTTTTATCGAAGGAATTTCGGCAATTCTCGAATGTTCATACGGCGTTCTTCCTTAGCACGGTAGTCTAGGTGCCCACCGTCCTGTCATGCTGAGGAGAAACACCATATTAATCTCCGTACGTTGCCAAAGTTCCCTCGCCGATACACGATTTTTCGGAGAAACTAGATAGTACTTTTCGTCTGATTTTTCAGGAAATTTTCTTTGTAATGTGACCTAAAGTATCTACAAAATTTATGTTTAAATATTCATAATTTTACTCAAAAATCAACACCTACAGAAATTAAATTAAAGAGAAATTAACTTAAAATAAATTAACTTAAAGAGAAAAAAAACTACGACCGAGAATATATGCGGAAAATTTCTTAAATGAACGGAAGAAGAGAGAGCTAGGAGTGAAGAGAGGTGCTTTTACGCATAGTGGTGAACAGAGGTCCAAGAACTACTTTCTGAAGCGTAACCACTTTTCTGTGAAATTGTCACCTTTTTGTTGACATATAGGCGCTTTATCATCCCCTCCTTCATTCTCTATGTGTAACTCCCGTAGAAACGATAGCCGGTTCGATTTTTAGACATACGCACACTTTATAGACCTCATGAGAGACCTGTAAACATATTTCTTCCTTTTCAAAATGACTATTGATTTGGACATATCATAGCATATCTCGGGCAAACTTAACCTTAATTTATTTCGAAATTCACAAGTAAGAGACATCTAAAGTGTAAACGCGATACAACTATTCTCGCAAGATGGATGTCCACATTGCATATGAAAAATGTAAGTCGCGATGGCGTGAGTCGTGAACTTGCAATGCTCTGCTCTAGTTTAAAGCAACATTACAAATAAGACAAACGGAAACAAACACAATATGGAAATAAAGCGAGGGAAAGGACGCGCGTTAACGACGGCGCAGAGATACAACTATTCGTACTTGATGGACGTCCGTGCTGCATCTGAAAAATTGAAGGCGCGATGGCGCGAAGCGTGAGTTCTCAATGCTCTGCTATATGTATGCTGCTAATGAGGTGTCGCTCAGATTCGGGAGAAAAGTTAAAAAAGAGGCCCGAACACATCTCTCCTACCTTCGGCTGTGTTATTCACGAAGTGCTTGAGGCACCATTACGAATAAGACAAACGCATAACACAACATGGAAATAAAGCGAGGGAAAGGATGCGCGTTAACGACGGCGCAGAGATACAACTATTCGTACTTGATAGACGTCCGTGCTGCATCTGAAAAATTGAAGGCGCGATGACGCGAAGCGTGAGTTCTCAATGCCCTCCTATATGCTGGCAATGAGGTGTCGCTCAGATTCGGGAGAAAAGTTAAAAAAGAGGCTCGAATACGTCTTTCTTGTCGTCGGCTGTGTTGATACTCGTTCTTTCTTCTTTTTTCAGATTCTTGCCTGATTCTTTTTTAGGATGGATTTTTAGACCCACGTCATAAACTCGTGTAAACCGTAGCACTGACACGGTTCCCGTGGAAATAATGGTGCTTGGATGCGACCAGTGATTTTAATTTTTTTTTGTTTTCTTTAATTTCAGAAGTCTATCGGTCACTTCAATACGTTCAATTTTACAATTTTTACTCTGTACGATTAATAAACTTTGAACCTGAAAATAGCGTAAAGTTGTGCTGCTTTGCCAAAATTTTCTGAACCCCTCTGCACGAAGAGGATGCCCCATCAGGAAATATCACATTACGCCCCTTTAACCAGCCAAGGGTCTACGCCCTCAGATGTGAGCCAGTCCGACCCTGATGGCAATATGAGCGACTTGGGAGCACGAATAATTTCGCCTAGGAGTTTTGTTGCCCTATTTCGCTCGTTCAGGCAAGGTCTTCGAATTGTAAGAATATGTCAAAATCAAAGATGTCGTCAGCGAGGATTTTTTTTTTTTTTTTTTTTTTTTTTTTTTTTTTTTTTTTTGCAATAGACCGTTGCAACTCGAAATCAACCAAAAATTTGATTATGGCTCTTGCGGAAAATGGCGCGGAAAAAATTTTAACTGCGATTGCTCCACGGATTCCTCGCCCACACTCACCCTGCCATGCTAAGGAACGACGCCGTATGCGCATTCAGGCGTTGCCAAATATCCTGTGACAAACTACTAATTTTCTGGAATATTTGTAAATCTTTTCCTCCCAATTTTTCAGAGATTTTCGTACGTAATTGAAACCGAAGTGTCCGGAAATTTCCGAGAAAAATATTCATAACTTCCTTCAAAAATAAATATTTCCCGAGAGGAAATTTGACAACATTCGAATTCTCATGTGACGTCTTTACTTAGCATGGCAGTGCAGGTGTAGTTTTAAGCCGCCGTATAAACCTTATACGCCAACAGAGTGCGAAAATTCGAACCTTTACGATCAGCGATGCCGGAGATACGATGATCATCGATGAGTACGTGATCAGTCAACTGAATTCGCATCATCAGGGTGGATTGATAATGAAATTTTGGCATGAAATGTTGACCTGATGTGCTTGGAGCTACTAGGAAATGTTTAGCATCAAAAACTAAAAAGCTGTGTTGTTGACCCGCGCGTCGCGGTCAACCNGGGGGGGGGGGGGGGGGGGCTCACCCTCATCCCAGTAAACTTTCCAAACCTGCTGTCGGGTCCAATGCCGTTGCGTGCTGTACGATGTATCGATTGATCTGCCATTCAAACTTATAGGAAAGGATCGTTGAAAAATAATACCCTTATAATCGATTCTTTACCTTAGCTTTAAATGGGGAAATATCGATAAAATCGATCATTCACGCCTCGCCACTATTCGAGCCCACTTAGCCTTTCCTCTTGTGCAATAAAATTGTTCATTTATGTGTATTGATTAATTAAACTACATGTTTCAATTGGGAACTGCAATTTCTGGATCATCCGTAAAAATGCGTATGTCTGTGAGAAAACGAATGGTACAAGCGTTGTTTTTAAGCTGAGCCAGAATTTTGCTTCTTAATTGCAGAATGTAGTCCAATTCTTCTCTCATGCCTGTAGTCTTTTCTGTCTTTGGCGCAGCGCGTCTCGAGTACATATTTGATATTACTTAGTGAACCAAATTTTTTTGTGTCTTTTTTCCAGCAAGAATTAGACCCTCGAGGTCGAAGTCCAATGCGCAACACGCTCCCCACCTTGCCGCAATACCCTACCTTTTGCAACGGAAGAGCAATCGCTCTGTACATTGACCAATTCTCACGATTCTTCTTCCCATTTTCATTTTTTGTTTTAAATATACTCTACTGGACATCTTTTTTATAATAATAATTCGAATAAATCCATGCTTACATATGAATTGTTGAGTCATAATTTAGTATAACGCTGAGCCGGTAGCGCACTCCGCATTTTGCGGCCAATTCCGTAGAAGGAAGCATACATCAGGGTGTCTACAAGTCCGGAATTTCCGGAAAGTCCGGAAATAGTACTGATTTTTTTAAGTGCGGTCCGGAAGCACTGAAAAAGTGCGGAAATTCCGCAAGAAGGTCCGGAATTTCTCTAATTTTTTTGTCATTGTTGTCTCGATTGGAGCGAAATTCAATTTTTTTTTTAAATTTCGTCAATAATTGGAAGTACTGAAAAAGACCTGAATTTTTCTGTCGAGGAGGTACTGAATTTCTTGGGAATGTACTGAAAAAGTACTGTAAAAGTACTGATTTTTGGTTAGCCTGTTTTAGTAGTCACCCTGACATATCCAAAAATTTATGTTAGAGTTGTAGCAGAAACGGATAGAGGTGGGAAAATTATTAACCGCACTCAAAACGGAGTGGCGATTCGTGAATGTTCGACTATCGATTTTTCCCCATTTGAAGCTTTGGTAAATAATCGATCATTAAGGTGTTTGTTACGAACACTCTATTTAACGAGCTTTTCCCATAGCTTTAAATGGGAGATCAATCGATAAATCTCGAAGAACGCTACGCCACTGATCCGGACCGGAGTTATCGTCACCGAGAGATGAATGAACGTGACGTTACTTAAGGACCTTTCAGTGAAAGGACACATATCGACGGTGAAACTACCAGACCACGTATCTCGTTTGCGGTGTTTAAAAATCTCCGCTCTCATTTTATTTTTTTTTAAGAAGAACGATTCAATATTATTACTTGAAATTTTCACAGAATTTTCTTCGCACTGAGAGGAAAAATTACAGAAGTTTTCAAGAATCAACATTGAGAAGTTTCCTCTTTAAAAAATAAAGTATGACAGGAAGTTTGCGACGCCGCAAACCGAGATACGTGGTTTGGTAGTTTCACCGTCGATATCCAAGTGTCCATGCATAATGTCCGTCTATTGTCGCTAAAATCGTGCAACTGCCGTTCTTGTATCTAAATGAAAGTTCCCTCAACCCGGCATAGAATATTCAGGGTAGTTACCAAACAAAATTAGAATATTTCAGGGGGCAAACATGAAACTAAAAGCTTCCGATTGACGAAGAAACGCATCGAAAGTTGTATGTTCTCAGCAGCGACGAATGCATTTGTATCATTTTTCCGCATGGCCGGTCATCGTCATACAGATCTGCCGTGCTAAGGAAAAACGCCGTATGGACACTCGAACGTTGCCAAATTTCCCCCGATAAAACTTGTATTCCTGAGGAAAGTCATGCATAAATTCCTTGAAATTTGATATATTAGATTCAAATTTCAATTGTGGACCAAATTATCTGAAAAATTTGGAAAAAACATTCACAATTTTCCTAGTCAATCAGTTTTTTGTAGAAGGAAATTTGGCAACTCCTGAAGGCTCATACGGCGTTCTTCCTTAGCACAACAGAGAAAGAGAGCAGCGAGTCCCGAAGAAGCACTGATTGCAATTATTGCAAGGTAAAATTGAGGACATTTCGGTAAAAAGGCTAACGAGGCTTACAAAGCTGCAAGCTGCTAAGAAGATGCTCTTTTTTGCAGAATTTTGCACGGTTTCCGGTCCATTTAGCTCTCTGCTAGTAAAGTCGTATAGTAAATCCCAAAAATCCAATAATATTTGGGTATGATGCTCAGCTCTACTCAGGGATAATTTGAATCTGTTGACACCCTGGATGTGCCTTTCGGAAAGTTTGCAGACTTATATGGGCGTCGCAATGAGAATTAATCGAAAGAAGTAGGGTCAGTACCTCTTGAATGACGCATTTGAAGCTTCAAATCATCAAAATAATGGAGAGGCTTTCATTGACCATAGGAAACGCAAACATCACAGGAACGCTTTTGGAATTAAAATATTGAATGGACGCCAAAGAAATGGCTGAAACATGAATCAAAATCGATATCCATATCTGGAATTCTGGAGAAGTATATTCTTTTTCCCCAGAAAATCCCGGGGAAGTGGGAGAAAACTTCGGTTTTTTATCAGGGAATGAGCCCCTTAAAATCAGGGAAAATCAGTGGAAAATCAGGGAGTGAGCCTGGCCAAGAATTCTAGACACCATATTTTTAGGCGCCATGGCCCGACTTTTACCTAAGCAGAAGAACACTGCTCCCGATAGGTACGATTCTAGTGAAAGTCATGCCAAATTGTTTCGCTCTCGCTGCATTTCAAACATCAACATATGAGCACTCAATCTATATAAGGCATTGCGTCACCGATGAAGTTTTAATCGCTTACCCGTATGAAACTCGTTAAAAATCCGTCGCTTCATTTTCAGACTCGTTAGACAGTCATTAGACGCCGCATGCCTCACCGCATGACCGCATACGACATTTGCCTGCCCATCCTAACCACGGGCGGGAAAACCCAGAGTGGCAAGGTGCGGATCTAACGGTCCGACCCAGGCTTCGCGAAGACCGATATACGGCAGCCACTATGAAAAACGCCGTATGAGCATTCAGACGTTGCCAAATTCCCTTTCATAATGTGCGAATTCCCAGGAAAACTTGGGGCTACATTTCCTCCAATTTTTCAGCGAAATTCACTCGTGATTAGATCCGAAGGACGTCAAAATTTCAAGGCGAAATATTCATAGCTTCTCTCAAAATTTAATGCTTTTTCAAGAGAGACGTGGCAACATCCACAGGTTCATACGGTGTTTTTACTTAGCGCGGCATCACCGTAAGGTGTGCAGCATGTCTCGGGTGTCTTATCCCCGGGCCCAGGTGCAATCAAAGCAGACATGCGTGGTATTAGCCGAGCCGCTTTCATTCGGCCCTCCTCCAGGTACTGATTTTCGCGTCTCCTTGTTTGCTTCATCTCAAAGCGTCCTCCCACCTCAACCGAGAATTTTCTATTTCAGATTATCAACTTAGTCGCGATTCCGAGGCCGCCGGACCGAATACCCCATTCGGTATCTGAAATAAGTGTAAACTGCGCGTTATATCATATCAACGCCTCTTATCTACGGCCTTTGATAAGAGATTCGACCATTTGCCAGTGTCGTCCGCGTCAATTCGTCAGTCAGTGAATCACCGCTATTAATTCGAAGGTCTTTTTACGTCGTGGTTTTTGGTGTCGGGTTTGCTTTGAGAAAATCTCGAATCGCTGTGTTAGTGCTTCACACAATTTTTCGTGTTGCCACAAAAACTCCATGTGTACGACAGTTAAACTGGTGACGAGAAGAACATGGAGGAAACCGCCAATTTAACGGATTGCTCGACATTCAGTCAGAATAGTGTCTCCACGTCGGACGGAACAAATGGTAAGTTGAATATTATTTCTTGTGGATGGATTTGACAAACGGCGGGGGAGAAATGGAATTCGTAGGGGAAAAAACCTCATCCAGAATATGGATTAGAGCCAGCTTATCGGAGGAGGGGGGGGGGAGATAACAAGGGAGGTCAGATGAACTGTCTCATGTCAATCCAAAAAATTCTTGAGAGAGCAAAACGTGATGCTACATATATATCGACCGGTGAAACTCCAAAACCACGTACCTAGGTTTGCAGCTTTGCAGACTTCTTGTAATATTTATTTTTTTCAATAGGAAATTACTCAACATCAAATCTTACAAATTTCAGTGATTTTTCCTCTCAATCCGAGGAAAATTCTGTGAAAACTTCAAGGAATGATTTTGATAGTTCCTCGGCAATAAAATAAAATAGTAGCGAAGATTTTGAAGCCCTGCAAACGCCCTGGTTTGGGAGTTTCACCGTCAATATTGGACGTATTCATGCTAAACGGAACTATGTTGCACACATGAAGGCTATTTCCATTTAGATCTTCCGTCACATTCATACGGCGCAATGATACAACTATTTGAACTCTCTGGAATGCGTGAGGTGTCACGCCGCATTTGAAGGCGTTTTCAAATCAGCCAAGTTCCGATACCCGGATTATCGTTTTGCATAGAAAAGAAAAAAACATAATTATTCCGCAGAAATTGATGGAAAAATTCTTTATGGAAGCTTCAATATGCGTCCGATTAGTCGTATAAATTCTAAAATTTCTCGGGGGATGCCCCTCGGACCCCCCCCCCCTCCGTGCTTGGGGCCCGGACCTTAAAACTGGTACCAGGGCCCGAGATGGGATGTGGCGGGCCTGCACAAACCCCATGCACACAATATAGCATAAATACGTTCCATCGTTCCTTTAAGGTGGATAGGTATCTTCAGCACATTGGAGAGTAATTTGATAGTTGGTGATCGATCGGTTGATGATTTCTGGATTCCAGGACATTTCTTCAGACTGTTCGAGTGTCACATAACACTAAAGGGCGGAACTTGGACTTTTTACGGGGGGGTAGGGGCCTTGAGGACACCAAATTATAACCCCCCCCCCCCTCGGGGAGTGGTTCTGACGAAGTCTCAATGGAAAAATTCGCAACCTCCAAATCTGAAAGCGGAAAAGCACTGTGGAATACTGTAAGAAAGTATAGCTGGTGAAACGAAAATCAGCCACATATCCGATGGTTTTTTTTTCTCAAAAAATCTGCTTTTGCACGGTGCTATAGACGGTGAAACTAACAAACCTCGCATCTCATTTGCGGTGTTTGAAAATCTCCGTTCACATTTTATTTTTTTGAAGAAGATCAGATCAATATCATTCCTTGAAATTTTCACAGAGTTTTCTCTACACGAAGAGGAAAAATCATGGAAGTTTTCAAGAACTGACGTTGAGTGGTTTTTCATTTAAAAAATAAAGTATGACAGGAAGTCTACAACGTCGCAAACCGAGATACGTGGTCTGGTACTTTCACCGTCGATATTCGATGCTTCAACCATTTTCTTGGGGAGACCGAGGCCCCCGACCCGGACCCCCCTTTCGAGGTGTCTCGATCCGCCAATGGAATATCATAGTTGGATTGCATTTTGCAAAAAGGAACCACTAGCATTGCAATGTTGCCAAGATTGTGCAACTTCTTTTGTCTTGGAGGAAAACCCGATTATCCATTAATAGTTTCTATTTTACTAGCTAAAAACTGTAAATTTAAGACCAAAATTACCATCTAAATTTCATAGTTTTTCATAGTTTTTCATGATTTCCGTAATTTTATTGCAAAGGATGAAGTTGCACAATCTTAGCATCATTGTAATGCTAGTGGTTCCTTTTTGCAAAATGCAATCCAGATAATTCTCGTGTAATTTCTAACGCTGAGTCCGAAAACGACGTCAGTTTTTTTCTATACTCCCCATTTTACCGGAAAATCGAGACTCTCCTAAAACAGGCATATCCGTGGAAAATCAATTTTTCCGAGCTATCTGGGCATGCTAGAGACAATCAAGGTCACTTTTTGACTCAACATTCCAAGATATAGAGGGAAACATCCATCACATGCCTAAGAGAGTTTCCTCGCTGTCTCTAAGAGAAGGGCTGTGGCGAGGAGTGAACGATCGATTATCGATACTTCCCCATTTGAAACTGTGGTAAAGAATCGATTATTGAAGTGTTCCTTGCGGACACTCTCTCCATCGATCCTTTTCCATAGGTTTAAATGACAGATCAATCGATAAATCGCCAAGCACGCCATGCCACTGTACTGCCGCACTAGGGAAGAACGTCGTATGAACATTCGAGAGTTGCCAAATTTCTCTTGATAAAACATGTATTTTTGACAACAATCATGCATATATTTTTCCTTGTAATTACTGTTGCGCATAAAATTGTCTGAAAATTTTGGAAAAAAATATTTCCAATTTTTCCAGTAAATTCGGTTTTTATCGGAGGAAAATTGGCAACGCCCGAAGGTTCATACGGCGTTTTTGCTTAGCACGGCCGTATGACTAGGTGTTTTGCCGGCTAAACGGACCGGCTTCGCTGATGGTGCGGTGTGCCTGAAGAGTTTAAATTTTTTGACGAGATACAAGCAAAACTTTTGTTCAGGTTCTTGCAGTAGAACGTCTACCAACTCATTTAATCGAAGAAGAAAATATCTGCCGAGCTCCTTACCTAGAAAATGAAATCTATTTTATTTTGGGGTTGAGATAGCCAATTTCCGGTAGTGTGTCCCAAAGATGACGATTAGAAGCACGTGGCAGTATCAATTCAACATGAAAATGGCAAATATTACATGGGATTTTGGCCTCTTTGCTGTACTCTTATTCTCCTTTAACTCGAAAACTCCCTGCGATTATTTTGAAATTTTTCTCTGAGCTTCGGGTCCTCATAAGCTCCCATTTAAACCTATCTAGGTTCGACGACCTAGCTTCGCCTGCGCAATAAGCAGGAACTTTTTTGAAGGGCATTGTGGAAAATTTCATTGGCAAAAGTATGTGGCATAAGTGTTTGAGTGCTTAAAATAACCAGCATCAAGACACCTAGGCATATTAATTATATCGAGAAAATGTCTTCTCAATAATATAACGAGACTTACTAACGGCGGCGTGGCGTGCTTTGCCATGTATCGATTGATCTGCCATTTAAACCTATGGAAAGGGATCGATAAACAGTGTGTTCGCAACGAACACCATAACAATCGATTCTTTACCATATAGTTTCAAATTGGGAAATATCGATAATCGATCATTTACGGCTCGCCACTGCTTACTACCGGTAATTTGCCCATTTCAGCCTTAAAATATATGTACCTTTATGATGGCACTCTATGTACCTTTATGAAGGTACTCTATGCGCCTTTATGAAGGTACTCTATGCACCTTTATGAAGGTACTCTATGTACCTTTATGAGGGTCCTCTGGTACTTTATGTACCTTTATGAAGGTACTCTATATACCTTTAAGTTGACTTTATTTTCTAGGAGCTCGACAGAATTTTTTTCTTTTTTGGCTCAAATGACCCGGTAGACACTCTACTCCAAGAATCTGTAGAATTTTTGCTTGTGACCCGTCAAAAAAATAAAACTCGTTAAGGTAAATCAGCCGCAATGTAGATACATTTGCTAATCATTAACAAAGGGGCTGTTCACAAAATACGTAACGCCAAATTCAGGATTTGTTTACCCTCCCCTCTCCCGTGCATCGCTTTTGTAACGTTGGTACCTACATATCCTTTAACGCGTAGAAAACCCTGTCCCCCCCCCCCCGAACCACCGTGCCATTGAAAAACGTCGTATGAGCATTCGCATGATGCCAAATTTACTCTCAGAAAATATTTATTTTGAAGGTAAGTTATGAATACTTTTCCTCGAAATATATTCAGAAACTTCAAATCAAATTACGAACAAAATTCTATGAAAAATCGGAAGACAGATATCTACAAATTTTCCCGAAAATTCGTGATTTTGCAAAGGAAATTTTGCAACGTCTGAAGGCACATGCGGCGTTCTTCCTTAGCACGGCGGTAAAGCGTTACGTATTTCATAAACAGTTCCTCGTCTTGAATCGGTGTTAATTATAATATGTTTAATTTGTTTCAGGGTTCACTCCGCGCAGCATATTGTTCCTGCTCAAGAAACACGACGAGTATCTTCTCGCCAAAGCTAAGCCGGTAAGAGAGATTTACTGCACATATCGACGGTGAAACTACCAAACCACGTATCTCGTTTGCGGTGTTTAAAAATCTACGCTCACATTTTATTTTTTGGAAGTAGACCAAATCATTATCATTCCTTGAAATTTTCACAGAATTTTCTCCGCGCGAAGAGGAAAAATCACAGAAATTTTCAAGGCTGGACGTTAAATAGTTTTTCATTTAAAAAGTAAAGTATGACAGGAAGTCTGCGACGTCGCAAACCGAGATACGTGGTTTGGTAGTTTCACCGTCGATATCTGGACCAGTGGCGTGGCGTGCTTTTCGATCTATCGATATTTCCCCATTTGAAGCTGTGGTAAATAACCGATTATTAAGGTGTTCGCTGCGAACACCCTGTTTATCGATACTTTACCACAGGTTTAAATGGCAGATTAATGGATATATCGCAAAGCACACCACGCCACTGATCTGGACCGCGTTCAGCAGGAAGGAACCAAGCCACATCGGCTATTGCCAAAATCTGGGCACCTTAAATTTTTACAAGAGAAAATTTGTGCGGATTCCTTGAAAAAATTTAAGGAATTTTCGCTTCGTACTACGCAGAAAATTCATTGAAAGCACAAAAATCTGCAAAACCGTATTCATGTAAAAAAAATTAAACTGCCCGATTAAATTTGGCAATAGCTGATGTGGCTTGGTTTCTTTCTGCTTAACGCGGTCCATATAACACCAACAACAAGAGTTTTGATGATTTTTGCCGAAGGAATTTAAACGCACGTTAGCAAAAATCATCGACACCCATGTCAAAACCGTATACTTTTAAATTTATATTTTTAAGGTTTAACGTTTGCTTGACATTCGATAGATACCCCAACGAAGCAAAAGGCACATAGTTTTATTTTGGATGAACAATCCAGAAACTTACTGAGAACTCCGGAAGATAAATCTGCCTCGCTAAGGAAGAACGCCGTATGCGCCATTCGGCGTTGCCACATTTCTTTTTACAATTATATTTTCATAGTTTAACGTTTGCTTGCCACATGTATTCGATAGATACCCCAACGAGCAATAGGCACAGTTTCATTTTGGATTAACAAGCCAGAAACTTACTCAGAACTCCGAAAGATAAATCTGCCTCGCTAAGGAAGAACACCGTATAAATACGCCATTAGGCGTTGCCAAATTTCTCCCAACAAATCAAGAATTTTCGGGAAAATTTGTGAATATTCCTTCCCCGATTTTTCAGGGGATTGTGTTCGTAATTTGATAGGAAAAATCTTAAAAATTCAAGGAAGAATATTCATAACTTTCTTTATATTTTCTGAAAGGAAAGGCAACATTCGAATGCTCATACGACGCGACGCGACGTCTTTACTTAGCTCGGGTAGATGCGCCTTCATGCCGGATGGATAGGCCAGAAACCTACTCGGAGGTTAAAATAGTCGCATGCTTGTGAGCTACACAGAGAAAAAGAAGTTTGCGCATGGGACCCAAAGTTATCTGAAGTTCAGATCATGTGGATCTCTGAAGTTTTCTGATGTGGCGAAGCGTGCATGATCGATTATCGATATTTTCAGAAGCTATATAGTTGAAGCTGATAATTCTTTTTAAGCTATGGTAAAGAATCGATTATGAGGGTGTTCTTTGCGAACACCCTGATAATCGATCCTTTTCCACAGGTTTAAATGGCAGATCAATCGAATCGCAAAGCACGCCACGTCATTGACTTGAGGTACAGCTGCGGAAGTACAGATCAATAGGTCATGCATTTGAAGTACTTCGGCACTTCAGATGTGCTCGTGAAAATTTCACGGGTCACCTCCCTATATTTTTGAGTCCCTCTTAAATCCATTCGGGCCCTTAGTTAGTTGTCACATTTTCGATAGAACATCTTGCTTATCCAGAGGGCTATTGCTCAGGGTTGGCAATGCTTTGAACGTTCAAATCAGTTCCAGCAGAGTTTTTTTTTTTTTTTTTTTTTTTTTTTTTTTTTTTTCTTTTTTTTTACATCGTTTACATCGGTAAGGTCGTTTCGTCACCCTCTGGCTAAAGCATCACAAGCGCCATGCGACGTTTCAAAATTCCCGCCATCATTTTATTTTTTCACAGAGAGATTGTTGGTTGAACCTGTTTGAAAATTTCACTGAATTTTATCGGCAGCACAAAGAAAATTAAATGACATTTTCGGACAGCTTTGTCGAACGATTTCTTTGTAAACAAATAAAATGGCGGTGGAAATTTTGAAACGTCGCATGTCGCTTGTGATACTTTGACTGGAAGGTGATGTTTTAATATTCCCAAGAGTGTGTGCAGTGTTTACTTAATTTGCTGTAATGCGAATTTTATTTTCAACGTGTTTGTTTTTATTATGGGATGACCGGAAATGTGATGGAAATTTTGACCCCACCCCCTTTCTAAGCTCCCTCGTCTACTCTTATATATATAAAAAAAAACCTAGGTCCTATTTCCAAAATCTGATTAAAGGTGGCTCATCCAGAGACAATTGCCCGTCGATAGCTGCAAAAAAATCATGAAAATCGATCCAGTAGAACACCGGAACTAAGCGTTACCAGAAATGAAAATTTAGGAGCCTTTTAGTATTGGTGTCCGAAATTTCAATAGGAGTTCTGCATTTCCTCGTCTTACGCAGTCCATCAGCAGCACGAAAACGAACTGAACCCCTCAGAATTCAGTAGTTGTAGGAAGGAGCGCCGTATGAGCCTTCAGACGTCGCTAAATTTCATTGATAAATTTTCAGGAAAATTCGTGCATATTTCTCTTCCGATTTTTCAGAAGATTTATTTCGTAATTAGATCTAAAAAATCTGAAAATGACTGTTAATGACGAGTGTAACCAATGGAATCCTGGTAAAAATTGGCGATAGGAGCTGCATTTCAAAATACCATAGGAGTTCTTATAGCCGACTAAAGGAGGCTATTGAAAATCATATAACTGGCCGTAGAAAGCAGAGCAAATCATATAGCCGGGCTATACGAAGCTAAAAAAAGGATTCAGTCGGGCTATGGTTCCTGTCGCTGGGCTTTACACTTTATCGCCATTGGCCATAATAGGCTATAAGAAATTGTGTAGAAATTCGTGTGCTTTGGATATCACTAAGTTTAATACCTTAATATTTACAAAACACACATTATATTTTCCTTTAAAACATATTTTTTTCATCAATTAAAATAAGAATAATCCATACAGACTGTGTGCAAACATTTTAAAATCATGAGTTGAAAAACGCTGACTCCGCTAGATTAAATATTAGAGCCTAACACAAAACGGAGCGGCGACGCACTGGCGCCTACAAACCTAACAGGGATACTTCACGTATTGCGCAATGCGTGAAGTATCGCTGTTAGGTTTGTAGGCGCCAATGCGGGTTTCGTGCTGGCTGCCCGCCCGCCGCGCCGCAGCGTGCCACGGCGTCTGAAGCAACTATTTCACACCAGATGTATTGCACAGTAACATAAGAAATTGAAGGCGCTCCAACATATTAAGAGTAACAGGCATCCTTCAAATGTACGAAACATTCCTCGCAAAATAAATCAAGATACTACGGCACAAAAAGAGAGCGGTAGTCCAAAAACTAACTAAGTCCTAGTATCCTTATTTAGTAACGTTTAGTATAAACTTTATCGTCTGGCTGTTGCTTAGTCGCCATCGGCTGTAAAAGGCTATAAGAAATTGTACAGCCGGCTGCAGAAGCTATTGGTAATCTTTACAGCTGGCTTTAGGCCTATTGTATTTTAGAACACACATTCTACTGCCAATTTTTACCAGGGAACATATACTCTTAGAATGTCTTAACAACGAAACAAATCTCAAATATACCAACTCTCCAAACACATTTAATTCCCAACAACCCTTATTCAAATTCTACAAAACCCCGAGCTCAAAGTCTACAAAAAAATACAAAACACTCTCATTGCCATCTTTCTCTCTGCTTACAACAAAATTCAACTCTAAATATCATTCTCTAAATATCTCTCTTTCTCATCTCCTGGAATAATAATTGGAAATTATTGGAGCTTGGAATTCATAATGTCCTGGAATCTGGATATATATTTTTCACGGCCCGAAATCAGTCCTAGGTTAGCAATACAAGTCGTTCCAGTCGAGCGTCTGTGAACGTGAACTTAGTCAGGCCCTCAACTAACCATTTAAAAAAAAAATCCAGCATACATCGATCTATCTTCAACTCATTCAATCTACCCTACTAATCCTCTATTCACCGCAGAATACTAACACAAACAGACCTGCAATAACTCTTTTTTACCCTCTCATACCTATTATAACAAAATAACTCTTTTTTTACCCTCTTATACCTATTACAACAAAATTACTTTCCAATTTGCCAAGTCTTCTTCCAAGACCGCGGTATATTTTAGATAAAACGCCTAAAAACCATCTATTAAAAAAAAAGTCAGAAAATTTCATAGAGAAATACTTGTGATTTTCCTCCAAAATAATTATTTTCTGAGAGTACATGTAGCAACATTCGAACGCTGATACGACGGTTTTACTCAGCACGGCAAAATTGAAGGCTGCCTACCCGTGCCGATGATCATTTTGAGGGAATCCCGTTCACGAGGAAAAGAAAATCAGTCTGCGGAAGCTGATTTTCACAAGATATTCAGCTGAGCTGCTATCGTCAAATGAAGTCTCAAAGCCGAATTTCCAGATTTCGACGTATAACGCACTGTAGTTCTTTTTCGTGCTACTAGGAGCGCGTAAGTTGAAAACATGCAAAAATCTTATTGAAATCGCGGGTACAGTACATGTACAGTATCATGTTTACGGCAAAGAAAGCGTTACCGTCATTCGCTCATTCAATCTGGCAACACTTACTACAAAATACTACGCATAGTACTACGATGAGTACGAGGACGAATTCTTGGCCTCTCATTGGTTCGTTCTGTTTTGAATGGTTCATTCATGAATGGCAAAGCGCTCATCACGCATGCGCCGCACGCGACGCCATCACACGCGGGGAGCTACACAAACAAAATTACAAAACAATCAAACAAAGTAAAGTGTGGTTCATCTGTTTCTCGATTTTTTCGGCACACATTTCTTTATTCTTTTAAAATAATGTGTGAATTCAACCGTGTTAAGTTTGTTATGTATTCCTTTAAATTTTAACAAACATCTGCTGAAGAACAGAATTTGTCGATATGTTCAAAGGTTACTTTTTCCTTTGCCAATGTGAAAATTTCTAAGATGTTTTTCATTGATCAAATGTAGGTATAGTGTTCTCCTCATAATCATGCCACAGCTGGTTGTAGTATTTGCATCCCATATATCGCTTAGGGGCATAGAGATTTCATTGTCAAATAAATTCAGTGCATTCAAATTAAGTAGGATTAAATTTTTGAGGTTGGAAGTGGAAAATTTCAACCCTGATCTCCACAGTAATGATTACGAAGGATAGCATGAGTACCCAAGTATTAGTTCACAAAAATCAATCATTTTTTACTCTTATCATAGAGCGGAGCCTGTGTTTTCTTATCCACACTCATCGCAGCGAAATAATCCTAAATTATACATCATTATGATTCGCGATGAAACAGGCGGAAAAAAAGATGATCCCTGTGAATTGAAAAATTATACTGCAACAGGTAACTCATTCACTTTTTGCTCTCAATTCATCTTTGAATCATAGTATGCTGTTGCCATCCAATGTATAATTTTCAAAGACAGCTTGTCTCTGCAGAAGAATGGTTGATGTTTTCAATTCATCTGTTTTATAGCAATGAAATCAGAAGAAATGCCTTGTTAAAGTCATTCTGATTATTAGTTACTTTGCAGAATTCCTGTAACGGTTTATTTTTTTACTGAAACAATAATAATGTTCAGAATTTCATGTGATTTCTCTGGTAGGAATTCTGCCTTTTTACTCAGTTTTATCTTACCAAAAGTAATTTTATTTAAGGCCATTGACTCTCATACATATTTTACTGAGATCAGTTATAAAGATTCGCTCCAGAGTACGTATTTCTTAAATAAAAATTCAGCTAAAAGTCACACATTTTAGAGGAGGGGAAAGCTGATTTTATGTATCTATGTATCTAGTTGATGTTGCCAATCTAGCGCAGAAAATCTAGCTCTGTGCCCTCTGTCATCCATAGCTGGTGACACTTTTTTTACTCACTCATTTTTTTATATTTTGTCAGTTGTCTGCGAACATTTCGGGCTGTTGTTCATTCTGCACTTGACAGCTTGGTGTCTTCTTTTCCTCCAGTAGTCTAGGACTCCCTGTATGTTACTGCATACTTTCTCTCAAAATGTCATTGATGATTTTGGTATTTGATACTGAAATAAATTAGTTCCATGTCTTGTAAATCTTACTGAATGCTTGGCAGATAGCCCATTGAACTTAATCTTTTTTGTGATTCTGCATGTTCATTTGTTTTTCCTTCTCTTTTACAGCTACAAAAACACTTCAGCTGCTCCTTAAATGTGGTTATTAAGGACAAATTTGAAACAAATGACCTAATAGATATTATTGCCGAAACTCTAGTCGTAATAGATGATTTTGAAGGTCCCCTGTTTGAACACCTTGAACAAAGAGTTCGCTCCACTCCAAAGATTATTCAGTAAGTAATCATGTCTTTTCAGTATATTTATGCCCATGATTTTTCTCAAAGCAACACCTGCAATACCACCGAAGAGGTTGCATTTGTGCCGAAAAGAACCATGTAAAAGTGAATTGAGGCACTAGGAACCATGTATATAAGAACTGCATGCTAGTTCCTTTCGATGTAATGCAATAGTACATAGCTCCTTTTCAGCACCTGGAATTCAGAATTTTCTTGAAAACTGGTAGGTAGCTGGGGTTATTTTATGGCAAATTAAAAATGAATTTGACGTTTGATTTTTAAAAAGAACCAAGTCTTTCAAAATGGCTGGTGAAATTTGGATTTCTTTGGGTTAAGTTTAAGGGTGCCAAATCTCAACGATCCTTCGATCCTAGCATTGCAGGCTTGCAGTGGAACTTGGGAGCATTAAATATGACACAGGCTGTGAAGAATGTGTGACAAGTATCAGATTTACTCATTTTATGACTGATTTTTTTGAAACTTGAGTTGTAATTGACAACGAGAAATGTTTAGAACTTACTTTCTTTAAGTTTGTCTGTGCACAAAAGGTCCATTTTTACATGCAGATCCTTGTACTGTAAAAAAATTGAGGCACTGGATGCGAAAAGGGCACTTCTTGATTGCAGTGTTTCAGAATCTCTGTTGCGAATTAATCCTTGAATAAGAATTTAATGGATGATTTTTCCAGAATTCTTTCCATAGAAAATTGTAGAATCATAAGGAATATTCAGTAAAATTTTTAGTGAAATGAATGCATTCACTTTTCTTACCATGAATGAAATATTAGATGAGACTCTGAAACACTGCAACTGAAAAGTGCCCTTTTCGCATCCAGTGCTTCAATTGTTGGGTGCAAGTGTAACCACAGATTGTTCCAGTTTTATAACCAGTAGTCTCAACAGTCTCTTTTCTGATTGCACAAAGTTTGCATGTGCCTAATAGAATGACCCTTGTAATCTTATCACCCAATAAAGTCGAGGGGTCCCTGAAACTCTCTGTTACCAACTAGACTGGATCCTATGACCCTACAGAGTTCTAGTTGACTCTCTTTACGCTATCTTTTCATGCTGCATGCTCTTTTTTCCGGAAAAGCCTCTCCTGAGCATATTTGTATTCCATGATTCACTTAATGTCATACCCAAGTTCATTCTGTAAACGTTAAAGGCAGACTTCTCTTTTCTTGATGTACAACAACATTCATAACCTTCTCACTATCTTTGTCAACAGAGTCCGTGGACCTCCAGCCTTCATCGATGCCTGTGATAAATTAAGTTTAGAAACACGTAAAAGACCATTGTTTTGTAATGCAATGACATCAATGGTTTTCTTCTGTGATGTTAAAAATAATAAAAGAAAAAAGGTATGTTGATTTATTTTCCCTTTACAGCCTAATTAGTTAAAATCCTTGGAATTTGAAGATATATTCCAGTGGTCTCAATATTACTTCACTCTCTAACTATTTATGGATGACTTGCCAATCTTATAACTTGTCAAGCCATCCCATGTGCTCGATGTTAGCTTTTAATGTAAGAAAACGCAAGACTTATTCACCTAAAATTAATAATAATTGACGGTCATACTTAACAAACCCCATTTTTTGCTTGAGAGGGGGGCGGTTATGCCATAACCATTAATCGTATTGAGCTCTGTCAGGTATCTGAGTTATTTTTCAAAAGGTATTTACTTTTACCTTGAGAGAACTGGACCCAGAAGAGCAAAGTGTTCTCGACTGCGCAATTGTGACCTAATGGCGGGCATGCTCTTAAAATTGCAGAGGCTGAGAGGGGTTTTTTTTTTAAAGGGTTCTCAGGTCGAATCATTGCGTTGTTTCAACGTGCTTCTCGTAAAAAACTTGCGTGTTCCAAAGATTTAACAAAATTTTGATCAGCGAGATGCAGAAAATTGTGGAGGCCTAGAAGAATATGCACTCAACTAGACCGCTTCCTGCAAGAAATACAGTTTGTCATAAGGTTTCAGGGAGGAGGCTTAAAATCATTTTCATGTGAAAGTAAATCTACAAGGTTTTTGCCTATATGCACTTCAAAGTACTTACAATGCTGAGTGATTATCCACCTTGTCTGCCTTTTTGCGACTTTCTAAATTGGACCCATGATTTTTTTAAAATTTGCCCAAACTTTGATCAGAGGTAACTTCCGAACGAAAAGTTGTACTAGCCTCCTATTGTTTTTTATCACCTTTCTAATGATGAATCATGAAGAAGTGCTACTATCTGAAAATTTTGACCAAGGTGCACCCCGCCCCCTAAATTTTAAATGTGCCAAAAATGGGCTCTCAATGACCCTGAGACACCTGCAAAATTTTGTTTGGATACATGCATGCATTTTGAAGTTACAGGAAGAGTTATGGACTTTCTGCTCACCCCCTATAATTCTCATTTTTATAAATACCTTGCCTCAGGTTAGTGCTCTAAATGTGAGTACAGTAGCAATGAATTCTTGGAGAAATGCATTAGATTATTCTTATAACATGTCAACTTTGTGGCTAAGGTGAGCGCCATCTTTCCAAGTCATAAGTTTAATGTCTTATTTCATTACTTCCTGCTTCCTCTCTTTATGGTATTTTTTCTGTTTTTCTAGATCTTAATGGTGAACCTAATTAGGCATATGGGTGGTAGTGTGGTTCACCATGTAGGCAGTAGAGTAACACACATCATCACCGATCACTCATCCACGGACGGATATGAATATGGGGGTACTTTCAACCTCCCTGTTATAACGACCGATTGGGTTTTCCAATGTTGGTCGCAAAGAAAAGATTTAGGATTTAAAGCCGGTGATATCAGTGTGGTAAGAACAACAGTTGATCTGTTCAATCTAATTAAAATGTAAGAAATGAATAGTTTTCCATGGCCATGCACGAATAGTTTCAAAATTCATTACACAGGAGAGATACTGTTTTACTAATATCAGGGGTGCACAAAACTTTTTGCTTTCATATGTTTTTCGGTTTGCCTTATCATTTTTTTGATTTTGGAGTATTTGCTCTTTCAAATAAAAAGAGCCTGCTGATGGGTTTCCTTCTGCCTCTGCTTAGTAATCTATTTTAAGATATTGTGAAAGATCCCTCTACAGTTTTTTCTTTTGTGTGCTTTTTATGTGTCAAAAAAAGTGATTTTACTGCAATGTCATCTGCCGTCTCATTAAATAAAATAATATAAAGAATTTATGTAAACTATGAAACCATTTCTGTTACCACAACAATAAACATTGCTCGTATTGAATGTGGCAATAACAGTGAATATAGTGATTGGTGATACAATTCTGAAGAAGAAAGCCAACATCAAATACAGGAATACCTTCCTTTACTTATACTCCTATGTTGCATAATTGATTTGCTAACTGTTTTCAACATCCTTTTCTTTCAGGTTGACTACACAGTAAAAGTTTTTAGCAATTGTTATGTCTGTTTTATTGGTTTTACAAATGATGATGTCCATCTTAGAAGACTATCCGAGAATGGTGGAACACTTGTTGCTTTAAATGATATAAAAACAAAAAGATGCACACATATTGTAAGTGATCTTCATAAATTATTCTTTGTGATTCAATTCCTAGATTATTTACCTCCAAGATTTAGTTTGGCTGTGGAATTACCAAAAAATATGATAGCTTGTTTTAAAGTGGCTCCAAACATTGATTTTTTCAATTTTAACCATTCCATCCCAAGAATAGATTTTAATTGGTTAAAAATAATCCCTGCAATATTTCTCTTTAATTGGAGGAATTTTGTGAGTCATGCAAATACTTGAAAGTTTTGAAAAGTCAAATTTTCCTTGCATTTTTTTTTAGAAATATAGAAGTACACAACATTAGTATACAGGTAATAGACTAACTATCGGCTACCCACAAGATACCCTTTAATTAGTCCATCATTTTCTCCCTTAGTCTGTAAGAACTACCCATTTCAACCAATAAGATCGCTCCATACTCCCTATGTCTCTTTTGTTTATAGTCTTGTCTATCAATTTTAACAATCAGCCTGCTGTCTAAACCCTATTTATTGTCTAAACCAAACTGATAAAGAAAAATGGAAGGCTTTTTGGAATTGACACTTAAAATGTATCTTGATTTCGTTTTGCATTTGCAATCATTCGCTTTGAAATATAAGTGCAACGAGCTGGGGCGGTTGGACTCTATTCCTCTATCTTCTTGTTTTGTTGATCAGTGTAAAGAACAGCCCACTGTGTACCTACCTAGCTGCTAAAGAATGCCATGTGGGGGAATTGCTCAGACTTTCAGATAAAAGCCTTCCATGACAATTTTAAATTTATTCCATCATAAATTTTGAAGGTTTCGATATCATTAATTATCAACTTACAGGGGTAAAAATGTATTTATCGATCATTCAGTAACTAAAAATAATCTGCAAGTCTCTATCGTGTGATGAAGTCCTCTTGAGAAACATGGGTACAGTACATGACTGGTTTTTCAAACTTCATGTGTTTTCTCAAAATACCTACGTATGTTATCTTCGCCGATTCATTACAGGTTGTAAATGATTGATAGATTTTTTAACTTTATGTACTCTCCTGTAATACATGTGTTATCTTTGTCGATTCATTACAGGTTGTGAATGATTGTGAAAAGAGTATAACTCATGATTTCCTTGATATTGATCCTCCAATATTCATAGTGACATCAGCCTGGTTTTGGACGTCCATAATAGAGGGAACTGTAGCAAAAGAAAGCGAATATCTTTTTAATGTGAGTTCAAACGTCCTATTATTTTTGTCTTTGTTTCATTTTATTGAACTTTTTTTTAAAATCACATTTTTTAGGTTTCTTGCTTTAAAAAAGGTGATTCCATCGCTCAAAATATTGGCCTGGCTTTGGGCAGCTGTCTACGGCCAAACAAATGGAAAAAATTTGTGTTCTTAAGAATGGAGATTATTGATGGAAACTTTATCAACTTGCAAAAATGATTAGTTTATCATGGAGCAATCTTCAAATCACAATGGTGGACAATTTTGGTATGAAACACGTTGCTGTTTAATTGGTCCCCCTCTTGCTAACTATTTGATGCTCTAGCTGCTGATGGTTGCCCAAGTGATGTTGGAACAATAAACCATAATTTCAAAGCAGAAAACCATTTGTGCACTGAAATTTTTGATGAAGGATATCCCTCCCCAGAAAAACTCAAAAAGTGACAGCATTAGCAGTGTGATGTGCATAAAAATCACCTATCTAAAAGAAGAAATATCCCAGATCCTATGCAACCGCCAGACATTGCTCTTACAAAGTCTCCCTAAAACAGAACAAAACATGTTACAGCATTGCACGATGGCTCTGCAAGTATCCATAGGGTTTCTCTTCCTGGTGACTGAGATCAGAACTTTGAACTGTTGCCAAGTAAAATAAAATTTCTGTTTTTTTTAGGTCAGAGGCTCACCTACTGTGTGACAATCCATAGAAAAAAATAACCTCAGGAACCAAAGTGGTCTCAGCAGCTGAAAAACTTTGTATTAAAAGAAAATCATGTTCAATAATCCCCCTCCCGTCTAGTCATGGTACATCAATCATGCATTACGCAGCAATCCTACCCTTGCTAACAACTGGCACACCAAGATTTCACTGTATAAGTCTAAGCAATGTCCTCCCTCCTCACACTGTGAGGATTGGTAGTGCTTAGGCAATTGATTCAATGGACGCCATAATTTGTGTTAGAACGATGTGCCATATATCGCATCAATTGGCTCTATTTTTTCAGCTACTAATCGTTTTTCTCGAATTTTGAGATTGCAATTCTGTTGTCAGGAGACTAAAGCACTCACTTACCTATTTTTACAAACAAATTCAACGTAATAAAGGTGTGGTTTTTTAGAGAGAAAACCACGCATTTATTACGTTGAATTTCTATGTTAAAATTAGTAAGTGAGTGCTTTAGTCTCCTGACAACAGAATTGCGATCTCAAAATTTGAGAAATACGACGAGTAGCTGAAAAAATGAAACCAATTGATGCGATATATCGCATGCCGTTCTGACACAAAATATGGCGTCCATCAAATCACCTTAATATACTTATAGCTGGCTAGTAAAAACTTCGATCCTCCTATTTAATGCTATCCTATCGTTAATGTCTTTTTAATGGTTTCAGAATGGACTACGATCAAGTTATAGTAAAAAATGTGTCTCTTCATCCGCGCCTTTGCTAGAAGAAAATGGTCTCTTAAACAACAATAATTGTAAGTATCTGCCTACGTATTAATTTTCTATTTTCAACTGAAATATCATTGAACCTTAGAAAGTACTCACACTTTAGAGAGCGCAAGCTGATTAGAAATACATGACATGGCATGGATCCAGTGCAGATTTGAACTATGTTGTCATGAGTCATTTTGTATGCAAAGAGGTTGAATTAAAAAATGCGTATGTTAATTATACGCTCTCATTTCTCTCCCATAGTTGATTTTGGACTTAATGCACACACTTATCATGTTTTGCATGAAATTTTGATAAGGGAGTACTGTGGTGCTTTAATTTTTTTTTTTTTTTTTTTTTTGAGGAGTTTATTGCTCTTGAAAGTAGAATCTCAAAGAGAATTAAAGTTCTGAACATCTTTTGCCCCAGGCTGTCCAGAAACTAACAGTTTGATGGTGAAACTGCAAAAATGCATATCTCGGTTTGTGGCGTTGCATACTTCAGTCATTCTTAATTTTCCACATGGAAAACTACTGAACATGATTTTTTGAAAATTTCAGCGATTTTTTTTCTTCTCTTTACAAATATTCTGTGGAATTTTTAGGCCATGATGTTGGTTCGGTCTCCTTTTAAATAATAAAATAGTATCGGAGATTTTGAAACACCCCTACCAAGTTACACATTTTTGCAATTTCACTGTCGATTTACTGAAAATTTTTCATGGACACCTTTATACATTCGATCAAATGAATTTTTGATTCCTAGCACTCGTCAATTATTGCCTACATATCGGCAGTGAAACTCCCAAACCATGTATCTCGATTGCAATGTTTCAAATTCCATGCTTCTTTTTTAGTTTTTGAAAGGAAACCAAACCAACGTCATGGCTTGATATTTTCACAGAATATCCCTCATGCAAAGAAGAAAACTCAATGAAGTTTCTAAGAAATGATGTTTAACAGTTTTCCATGTAGAAAATAAAATACGACAGGAAGTCTACAACACGACACCGCAAAATACATATCTCTGCAGTTTGACCCTCGATTTGTGCCCATACTGTTTGAATATGTAGGTTTTTAAAATTGATTACCATTCTCACACACATCCAACTTTTTATGGCTCCTCACCACTTTTTCTTCTTAGTCGTATTTTAAAATTCTGGTTAACCCAATTAATGCTCAATGAGTGCTGGAAAACTATAAACATATTGTAATTAAAGTTTTTTTTTCTTGCCTTGCTTTCAGTTATCATGTCCTTGAATCATGTATTTGTATGATTTTATAGAGTATGAAGAAATGAATCAAAGTTATTTTTCTATTCTGATTTTAGGCTGTAGTCAAAATCTATTCACAAATTCGTCACCAAACAAAAAGACCTGCAAGTTATTGGAGCTGGTTCAAACTGAAGAAAATTATGTCAATGCTTTGAGTACAATAATGAGGGTAAGTTGAAGAAGTTAACCAATCAACACGTTCACTGCCAAACCGACCATTTTGACTGTTTTCTTGCTTGGCGTGCTTGGCCAAAACAATCGCAGTGGTCAATGTTTTGAACAGAGAGTTTTCATTGCACTGTCAAATTTTAGAGTGCTAGCATAGCAGCAATCGCTGGAAACTGTGGTTCAAAGCGTTCAAATTTTTCTATTATTTGCATGTTTTCCTGATCTGACAGAAACAATTTTACATAAATATGTTAGGTGTGCAACTCAGTAGGTTCCACTAAATAGTTTCATTTTAGCGTATTTAGGATGTGAAATTGAACGTGTAAAAATGTATTGCATAATTGTAATTCAAACAAACAAACTAAAATATCAAAAGACTTAGATTTGTGAAAGAGTAAAGTACTATTTGAATTGTGCCCTCTGAAGTTTCAGCTGTCCAATAGCAGCTTACTTTTTTGTTTTTTCAAGGTCCAGATATGAAGCGTTTCTCGGCTCTCCATCTAAAGCATCATATTGTTAGTATTCATGCTTCAAGGTTTTAAACAGTCTTCATCTTTTTTTGACCAGACTGTATTGTTTTGCAGATACACGAATGCACTGTTGACCCATCACAAGTGGGAGGAGCTCTTCTAAGTGAAGGAGAAGCACGAATCATATTTGGTAACGTTAAGGCAATTTATGAGGTACATGTAACTATTCTGGCTGAGTTAGTCAAATGTGCAGAGAATTGGAGTGATGCAGATACATTAATTGGACCTATTTTTTCCGAGAGAGTAAGTTTTCATCTTGAAGGAAGTTTTCATTTTTCTTGTGTTACTTCTGTAATGCTACAAATGATTCTTGCTTTTGCTTGCTTGCGTTCTATGCTTGGAACACCCACTTTCTGCTTGTTCTACCTCATAAATACCTCTTACTAGCTCATTAATTCATTGTTAGTTCATCTTTATCCAAGACATTTTTAAATGCTCTTCCCTTTTTCTATTGACCATGTTTTTTATCCAAAACTCAATAATCCTCTATTCTTGAACTCAAACATCAGCAAAACCAAGAGGCGTCTTTGCCTCTCTTTTAAACAAGGTAATGGTCAGGTGGAATACTGCTGTGAGAAGGAAGATTGCAGTATGAGCCATGAGCCTTCAGACGCTGTCAAACCTCGTTTGACAAATCACGAATATTCTGAACAATTGAGAAATCCTTATTTTTATGCAAACCTTTAAGGATTTTGCATAAAAAACTACCACTAATAATTACAAAAAGAGGCTATCTCCATTATAATTTCTTCCTTCTCCTTATTCATTTAAATGTTCGGTTTTAGTTTGGATCTACACATTATCATCACCGCCAATTCGGAAAACCCTCAATGGCCCAACACTATCCCCATACTCTCTTAACGTTTTGCTCTTCTGATAAATTTAAAAAATTGGAGATGGCCCCTTTTCAAAATTTTTAATTTAACTAATGTAGTAGTGGCGGTCTTTTAAATGTTAAAAATGATGTCTCATTGGAAAGTTAATGACACATATTTGTACTTAATACTAACAAATGATAATTTTTGTGTAAAATATGTCACTGGACAACATTTTTGCCAGATATCGCTCATTTAGTCTGCTACTTTGCCAACTTTTTTATTCTTGGGTTTAAAGTTTTTTCTCTTTTTTTTTGGTTTCAGGCGCAAGAACTCTTGGATTCCTATTCCCCTTTTCTTAGGTACTATGATGTCTCAAATAAAATACTGACAGATTGTGAAAGGGAGAATCCAAGATTCCATGCTTACTTGCAGCTGTGTAAAAACGAATGTGGAAGGCAGAATCTGAAAGATCTGCTAATAAGGCCTGTTCAGCGTTTAGGGAGTACAACTTTACTTCTCAAAGGTATCAACAGCTCTTAATTTTTTCCTTTTCTCTTACTGTACAGAATCCAGTTGCATAGCTATTGAACAGTTACAAATAAAGTTCAAGTTTTTATGTAACTTTTTATCTCTATTTTATGTAAGTTTTCATGAGGAAGATGTGTATGTTTTTTTCATGATTCCATTTCGTTTCAATCTTCATCATAAATTTCATAAAGGAGGGGTATCGATAAGGGCCTTTTTTGGCCCCACCTAGAATCCGGAAATTTATGCGGATTTTCCAAGTTGACTCAATGTAGTTTATGGAAATAATCATGATTTGGTCCATAGGCCACTGGATACGTTTTAAACGGTTGCCTGAACATACGTCTGCATGCGTATTTTAGCGAAAATGCGTGTTTTTCTATCACTCCGAGGCTTTTTTGACACTAAGCGCATCGTCTAACTAAAACAAGCTTTTGATATGTTATTAAGGAGGCTTTAGGACACATTATAACCCTGGTTTGGTTTTAGTTAGATGATGCGCTCATAGTTAAAAAAAAAACTTTTTCAAAAGTCGACTTTTAGGGGACATCCACAAAAATCCTAAGGAATTAGTTCGTTAGGGTTTTTTTTGGCTACAAGTAAAGAAGATCTCCCTGTGAGAGTTTAACAAGGCTTGATAGCTGCCCTTGATAACATACGTAGCGTGCATACAATTGGAGAGACGAGTTTCCTTAAGATTTTTGCGGATGTCCCTTAAAAGTCGACTTTTGAAAAAAAAATTTTAACTATGAGCGCATCATCTAACTAAAACCAAACCAGGGTTATAATGTGCCCTAAAGCCTCCATAATAACATATCAAAAGCTTGCTTTAGTTAGACGATACGCTCGGTGTCAAAAAAGCCTCGGAGTGATAGAAAAACATGCATTTTCGATAAAATACGCCTGCAGGCGTATGTTCAGGCAACCGTTTAACATGTATCCAGTGGCCTATGGACCAAATCATGATTATTTCTGTAAACCACTGTGAGTCAATTTGGAAAACCCGCATAAGCTGCAGCATTAGCTGTAGATCTAAGGAACATGAAAGAAACCATTGGTCGGAGTCCTGATGGTGGTATAGTAACGCTTATTCCAATTGGTCAACTGCCTGTCTCAGGAGGCATATGCAGCCATGGCAGAACCACTTTCTGTATGTCCCATAAGGCCAAAGTGGCAGAGATATCATTTAAGTAAACATGTTAAGATATCATTTAAGTGAGCAAGTTATCTTGTTAATTTTAGAACTTCAATTTTTTTCAGATTTTAGTCTCATTTTTTTTTCTTTTAATGTTTTTCTATCATCCTAGACTTTTTTTTATTTTTTGCTCATTTTGCTGCACACAGTTAATTCAGATTTTTTCCCCCAGATTTATTGTCAACAACTCCTCCTAGTCATCCAGACTATTTAAAACTTGGTGAAGCTTTGTGGAATATTGAGAAAGTTATGAACTCATTGAATGATGCTCGGAAAGATATAGCAGATCGTTCAGTAATCTTTGATGTTTTCAATCTAATCGAAAACTGCCCGGTAAGTTCAAATAAAATGTTGACTGGTTTTATTATGGCAGCTATTGATAACTCGAGTTTTAAATTTAATTTGTTAAATTTAAGCAACTGAAGGAGTCCTATTATTTTCCAACAAGTACACAGCGTATTGATTGTGCAGTCAGCCAGCTTCAGTGGTGTAGCGTTCAAGGCAGTTTGCTGCTAGTACTCAGGTTCCGGTTTAATCCTGGTTGGTGACAGGTTTTTAAGGACACTTAAAAATCTGTCATTGTGGCTGTGAGTTACGATGCCTTTACAATATCCTGTCTTGTCCCTCATAGAAGCAGGGACATGGTGATCCAGCTCACATGACTGATAACTGCCATCAGTTGGCAATGTTGGGCTTTGCTCTGATTCACTAATGGATCACTCATAGAGAGCTGCCTGCGTCATCCATTAGTGAGAAGCAACAAAGCCCAACTCAGTAGGGCGATACAGTTAATTTATGTTGAACAAAAATCCAAAGAAATGGAAACAGTGTGCCCATGTAAAATATATTTGTCCCATTGCATATGGTCTTGCATGGGCTGGATCAATTAATAAGTGTGTCTTGCTTTTTTAGCAAGCGCCAAAAAAAAAAATCATGGGAAAGTTGGTCCAATATTCATAGCCGGCTTGTCCACAAAAAAAGTGCATCATCAAAAAATCTGCAACATTTCAAACCATGATATATTTTTCTTTAGTTTAATCTAAAAGGGAATGTATCTGAATCATCTAAAAGAGCATAGCAGAGCTTTTTAATCTAAAGATGTTTGGCAACAAAATCAGCTGGACCATCTAAATTAAGCTAAAAGTAAAATTGCACTCTCTTTAAAATAGAATGGCAAAATTTGGCAAAGAAATTTGCACCTTTAACGATGATATTAACTTGTTTTCAGCAATTTTTTTTACTTTGATTTGTGGATAAATTGATATTTTATATTTCTTTCAGTCTACGTTGATTTCATCCTCAAGGACGTTTGTTTTCCAGTTTGAAGCGCAAGAAATTTCCAAAGCACCTGAAACACTTAGCCGAAGGGGAGACTACCTAGTATTTTATATTTTCTCCGATTGTCTTGAGGTAACATTCACAATAGAGAAAAACAGAATCCTTATTAATCAATAAAAAACCTGCAATATCTTTCTGTGTTATTTTGACTGCTAGGGCTAATGAGAAAATATTTTCTTACCTTTCTTGTGGAGAGCCTCTTTTCTCAGAGGAACATCTACAATTATTTTGTATTAACAATTTGTTTGTATTTAACAATGTTATACAACAATTACTTCCTTTCCCCCTGGACATTCTCCAACCTTGATGGATTAATTACTCTAATTTGAGCCGTCGCGTTTCAGCACAAATTTTCAACCCCAGAAAAATTTGGAGGGAAGCTATGAAAGGCAAAATCCTAGCTCATTCATATCTTCCAAATGAAAAAAGATATTGAGGCTCAGGTTTTATGAAACACTGTCCAAAATTGCAGTCCTTCAAGTTCTTAAGGTGAAATTCCCAATGTTTAATTTTCATGTTGGATTGTGTACATTTCGTTTTTCATTTATATTTTATCGGTATTTCAGTGGCGTGGCATGCTTTGCGATGTATCGATTGATCTGCCGTTTGAACCTGTGGAAAAGGTTCAATACACAAGGTGTTCGCGGCGAGCACCTCAATAGTTGATACTTTACCATAGTTTCAAAGGAGGAACTATCGAACATCGATCATTCACGCCTCGCCCCTGTGATGTGTACTACATAATCAATTTAGAGCAAAGGAAGTTTACTGTTGCTGTTCCTCACTGAAAAAAGGGGTATTGATCTAGATTTTATTTTTCCCCTAAAAACTGAATAGTAAGTAATTCCTCCTTAAGTACCAATTAAATTTTGATTTCAAGATATTTTGCATCTAGTTAACGGGTTCGATTTGTTTCTCTTTGAAAAAATAAAATAGGAGTAGGTCTTTGAAAAAATAAAATAGGAGCGGAAGTTTCGAAACACGGCAATGTAGATGCGTGGTTTCGCACTCCGGCTATCAAAATGTTGGTTAGTCAATGTCAGCCTTACCTCAGTTATTGTCATTTTATTTGTAACTCTTGCATTTTTTATCTCCAGATTTGCCGGAAGAAAAAGGAAGTCGTTGCCACAACCAAAGAGGGGACCTTTATCAGTGATAAAATTATGAAACTCATGCATGGCAAACCTTATAAACACGTCATTTTAATGAAGTTCTCCACTCTTCGTTCAATCAACAATATTGTCTGCACTGAAGATGGTTTGTTCACATCATATTATTGTTTACTAGGGGCCTGTGGCCGCTTTGCAGCCGTCAACCACCGATAGCAAAATCCATTTAATATTCGTAAAACATATATACCCAAATAATTTATGAGTTTCTCCCTTAAAACTCATCAACTGCGGTTGGCCTATCAATTTTTTGGTGTTTCAACTGTGGAGGGTTTGTCGTTTTATTTTGGGCGTTTTGAATATAATTATTATTGCTACTGTGAGAGCAAAATGGCTGAAATTTTTCCCAAATTTTTTTTACATGATTGATCCCTCAGAAAACTAAGCTGGATACGTAATGCAATATTCTTTGATCGTTCTGTTTAAACTTGTCTTTATTATTTATTTTTTTCTGTATTGACTGAAAGAAAGACCTAAAACCTGAAAAAAATTTAAAACAAACAGAGAACCTTATTCAATACCTACTAATTCCTCTTCCTATTCGAGAACGACTCATTTTAACAACTCAAGTAAATTCCAAAAATTGAATTCCAACTATCTTTTTCTCCTATGATCTAAAACAGCCAACAATGAGCTCTACAGCATCATTGGTTCAATGGTAACAACTCTGACCAAGCAGCAACGGAAGAGATCCCAGCAGAAAGCCCCCTCCCCAACCCGCCTACCAGGAAACACCCGTTTTCGGTCAAGGAAAAATCGGGAACGCGACGCAGGGGGATGGTTAATTTTCCGGAACTTATATTTTTCGAGACGCGCCGGCAGGCACCACGACCCTCCCAAAAGGGCCAGCTGTCTGCCCGCAATTTCAATCTGAGTTCATCTTTATATATTAAGATATTGTCGTTAACTTAAATTATTAATCACATTGTGATGGATATTTGGTTTTCTCTTCATCTTTGAGCCTCTATAAAATGCGGTTTTGCTGACTTGGAATTAGTTCCTCTCTAAAACTTTAAGAAATTCAAAATCCTACGTTCTTGGAATAGATACATTACATTCATTCTCATGTTCTTGGAGTATGTTACTTTCAGATTATCTCATATAGATCTGTGCTATAAATGACGATATGAGGTTACCCATAACCAGGCCAAATATTTGCTTGTAAAAGTCAGTTTGACACAACAATCACAAATCGACTGTCATAAAAAAATAATTACAAAATTCAACAAAACATTAAAAAGGAAGTAGAAAAGTCGGAATTTTTTGAAAAATTACATACAATACTGTGCACTGGTTATGGTTGGAAAATTTTTTAAGGAATGTGGTATTACCTTCACTTTTTACAACAAGCTCAATGTAGCAAATAAGGACATAAGCAAATTAAAGAAAATAATGATATCGACAACTGCGAGAACTTGCACATCTACAAAACTGACTGTATCATGAGCAAAAGAAAGTAATTAAATTTTTTCTCTATTTTTTCAGATGGTAAAGAAGATCTCTTTGGATTCACATGCCGAGAAGATGGTGAACTCAGAGAGAGACACTATTTTTTCCGTCTCATAAAGCATAAACATGCAACAAATTACAATAAAATAGTAGCTCTCACTAAGTTGAAGAAGACCATGGAACAAATTGAGGGTACTCTCACCTTTAGGCCCAAAATTGTAACAATAAGTGCTCAAGAAGTGGGATTAAATACGTCCCATTCTCCCAGGAGATTGACATCTCTTTCAACCTTCGCATGCCGTTCTAAAGTTTTCATGAAAAGCATCATTAGAAATACTGACAATTTATCTCCATCAATTACACAAAATCATCGTAAATTATCTTCTATCCCCAAATCATTGAGTTTAGATAATTTACTCACTGAATTACAAGACGATCAAGAAGTTACAGGCCCGTTACGGACTGCCTCTTTTCCTATAGGAGGACGGTGATAAAATGAACTGAATCTAATCTTTACCGTTCCTAAATGCCCATTCAAAATATTTGTCAATAAACTCTTTGTATGTATCAGTCATAAAACTGAAAAACTTGCCAGTTTTAATAGATGAACTTTTTGCAATTTTTTAATTTTATTTGTTCTTTTTTTAGTTTTGCCTCCTTGAAGTAAATAATTTTCTTGTGTCAACTCACCAGTATTATTAGGCTTTTAGTCTGTACATCTGTTAGACATTCTTGTTTTTCATCTTCAATGCCGTGAAAAACTGAAAACCATTGTGCATATTATAAACGCTATAACTGATGGTATGTTCATGGTACGTCACGGACGGTATGTTATATTAAACTGCCGACCTAATCAAATTGTGTCAAATTGTCAATCTTTTATCTTATTAACCGTACAAAGCTGACTGTGATCCTATTAAAGCAATTGATAAAAAAATTTCAGAGGCAATTTCCTACATATTGACAGTGAAAGTTCCAAACCACATATCTTGTTTGCAGTATTCTAAAATCCCAGCTTAAATTTCATTTTTTTTAAAGAAGAGCAAATCAACCTCTTTGCTTAAGTTTTCACCAAAAGAATTTACTTTGCACCGAAGAAAAATTTCACAGAAGTTTTTAAAATTTGACATCGAGTAATTTTCCCATTAAAGGAAAGTTTCACAAGAAGTCTGCAAAGTCGCAAACGGAGATACATGGTTTAGGAGTTTCAAAGTCGATTTGCACTTATCTTATCACATCCGTGGTGAAAAGCCTTTTTTTGTGTTCCACTCAATCACTCTGACGGCCGTATGTTCAGCTGCATTGGCATGTTCATCTCGGTTGTTTGCGTCACTGGGCAAAGTGTTTGATAAGAACATACTTTTTTACCCGTACTTTTACTAATTGTTAGTACTGTTCTCAACAACCTTTTGTCTCTGCATTGCAAGTTTGGGCCCATTGTAGCGCTCTTATTTTTATAAATATTTAGCCATCTAAGATGTCTAATTCTAATACTCTGTGAGCTCCTCTTTTCGATTTGGGTTGTAGTCAATTTTGTGCTCAAAATTGACAAAAACGTCCAACCGTGGCCGACTAAATTTAAAATTCAAGGTCGAAAATTCCAACTGGTCAACTGAGGTTCTTCGAATCTAAGATGATGACCAAATTTGAAGGACGGAAGGTTTCTTTTCCAACATAGTTACCTACTCATTGATGTAAAAGTCAAGTGAGGGGCTTGGAGGACAAGAAGCATAAGTGCAGTTTTTGTCATTTCGAGAAATATGTGATAGATGTTTCAAAATTACATGGATCCTTATGGCGGAGAGAAAATTCAAACCGACTTTTTGATGTTTAAAAATTGGAATTTTGGGTCCGAAATTTTCACAGGGTATGGTTTTACTTGAAATCATCAATATCTCAAGTTTTTCAAAAACTGCACTTGTGCGCCTTGTCCTCCAAGTCCCTTTAAGTGAGAAACGAAAGGTTTAGTGGTTAAAGTGGGACGCAGAGCGATTTCGAATGCAAGGTCAAAATTTCATCCCAGTCAAACGGTAGGATCCAACAAAAAAATTGATTTATCGTGGAGATCATTCAGTTCACAGCAAGAAAAATTGAAGATATTTTATATATAGTATGGAATTAAAAAAAAATATATATATATATGTCGTCACCTTCCAGGCAAAGTATCACAAGCGCCATGCGACGTTTAAAAATTTCCGCCGCCATTATATTTTTTTACAGAGAAATTGTTCAACGAAGCTGTCCGAAAATTTCACTGAATTTTCTTTGTGCTGCCGATAAAATTTAGTGAAATTTCCAAACAGATTCAACCAACAATTTCTCAGTAAAGAAATAAAATGGCGGCGGAAATTTTTAAACGTCGCATGGGGCTTGTGATACTTTGCCTGGAAGGTGACGATGTAGTTGTGATCATAGGCTTGAAATGAAAAATCAAATGCTAGCAGTAATTTGGTAAGTTCCTAAAGCGTTTAGTTACTATTTTTCAAATGTTTGGAGTCCACACTTCGACGAGCCGTGACCTTGAGTGAAATAAACTTTTTGTACCGAACTGCACTTATTTGGTGGGTATCGCCTCAGGGTGGACTAGAATACACTTTTGAAATTCGCGGCAACTTTTATGAACTTCGCATTCAGTGTTGCCCAACGACCTAAAAACTGTTGTTGCTCTTTTAGCAACTCACAATCAGTTTTCTTTCTTTTCCTTCAGACGATCAGACGTCGATCTCGACGCGATCAGTCATTAGGTCCCGTGTTTCCAATTATTTTAGGGAGACAATAATTTCGCACCCAACTCGGAGAGGAAAATGTGTAATGTAATATTTTGGCCGAGCGTGCGTAATTTCGAAAGTAGTCAACGGCAACACTGGCTGGCTTATTTGTAAACACGCTGGCTCATTTGCCATATTTCATTTTCATTGCATATGGTTTTGGTGCCATTCTTATCACTTATCAGTTGTCACTTTCTTTAAGTTTAGTTCATCTGTCTCTAATCGTACGGAGTACTTNCAGCGCTCCCCCGCGCAAGGGTTACGGAAATCATTCCATACGAAAGTAGTCAACGGCAACACTGGCTGGCTTATTTGTAAACACGCTGGCTCATTTGCCATATTTCATTTTCATTGCATATGGTTTTGGTGCCATTCTTATCACTTATCAGTTGTCACTTTCTTTAAGTTTAGTTCATCTGTCTCTAATCGTACGGAGTACTTTCAGGAATCATCATTATTGTTGTCTTATTACAGACATTTACTAGCTATACAAGTGATACAATACCCATCCCAGTCTTCCCTCTGTACTCTTTGCTCTGAATTTTGGATCAATTACCTGGCTCTCCAAGCTCATTACATTGAAGTTTCACCGAGCTGGCATTCCTTTCATCTCATCTCTAGCACACTGCAGGCCAGTAGACGATCATTCCTGTCGTGAGTTTTAGCTATGGCTCAATGCACACCTCTAATCTTAAGAATCGTGGCCTCGTCAGTTTCTGTCGCTGGACAAGCTGGTAAGATCATACGAGATGTGATGAAAAAAGGGGAATTGGGCATAATAGACAAGGGTGTCAATGATTTGCAAACAGAGGCAGATCGCTCAGCACAGAATTTCATCATATCCACTCTCACCAAACAATTTCCTGGTGTAACCATCATTGGTGAAGAAGAACCATCCTGTTACGAAGCCTTAGATAATGTCACCGCTGATAGTGATACATCAGTTTTACAAGCCACTTGTCCTCCCGATTTGGTAGCAGTGTCCGAGAAAGATGTTGTCATTTGGGTAGACCCTCTAGACGGAACTTCAGAATACACCAAAGGCTTACTGGATCACGTAACTGTCTTGATAGGAATAGCGGTCGGCCAGCGAGCTATCGCAGGTGTAATCCATCAACCGTTTCATAACTTCAAATTGTGTGATGAGAACAAAATAGGTCGGACTATTTGGGGCTTGCAAGGATATGGTGTGGCAGGTTTCAAGCCAATACCACCACCCTCAAACAAAAGGATCATAACCACCACAAGGTCACATTTTACCCCTGAAATACAAGAAACTTTAGATGCGATGTGTCCAGATGAATTGTTGAGAGTTGGAGGAGCAGGACACAAAGTAATACTCCTAATGGAAGGAAAAGCTCATGCTTATGTATTCGCAAGCCCTGGGTGTAAACGCTGGGATACATGTGCCCCTGAAGCAGTTCTCAGAGCGATGGGTGGGGAGTTGACCGATATGCATGGTGCAACATATGATTACAGCAAGGATACTCCACATGCCAACACTCGAGGAGTACTAGCAACGGCTTTGGCTTCTGATCATGAGTTTTATTTAAAAATGGTGCCACAGAAGATACGAGAGCTTTTGATTTAGCATTAAATTAGTGACATCTGTTCAACCTTCCTTACTACATTATTCACATAGCTCTGGTATGATGGTGATATAGAGCAGACGCATTGTACGTTGAGACAAAAGTCAAGTATTGTTTAGGTCATCTCTCATCAGTGGTGCCATCTGAGTGGTGCTGATTCGAAGGTAATGAGAGATTGACATTTGTCTCAACATACAAAGCGTGTGCTCTAGTAGAGGTGTTGTCAGATAAGTTGACATTTTTTTACATTCCGTTTGCAATTGTCCACAGGCAATTGAGGATTGATCATGCTCGCAATCGGAGCGTGGTCAATCCTCTATTTCGGTCATCCTGTTAGATGATTGCATAGTGTTTGCTTGCTAGTGGAATGGAAGCAAATACCAACTTATCTGACGACATCTCTAATAAGTTTAATTTAAACACTGCAATGTCTAATGTACAACTGAGTTCATATTTTTTAATTGAGGTTTTTGATTTCTTAATACTCATGTTATTGCCCAGTAATTCAAGACTTTTTTACTCAGCACATATAATTATTTTTATACTATTTAGTTTGATTATTTTTAAAATGATTCATTCCCTCAGTAAGGGGCAAAAATGACCACCATTTCACTGTGATGGAAAGTTGCCTTGGCAAGCAGCCTCTCTCTCCAGTTTTTTGAAAATTTTATTTTGTAATTTTCAGAGATCATTTGCGAAATAGGTAACAGTCCAATAATTTCATATGAAGAAATTTTTGGCCACACTCCGATCTTATTCCAGGTGGAACACTTTGTGACCTCCTTGTAAAATTATGGAGGCTCCGTAAAATATATATATATACACCTAGGTTGCCAACAGTTATAAAACAAAATTTGCCATTTGTCAGTTTTGAAATATGGAAGAAGAAATATAGAAATCACTTAAGTTTTTGAGAGAAAAATAGAGGAAATCACAATTTAAGTACAAGAATTTGCGTTAGTCAGCTGAAGTTATTTATTCAACTGCTTCCATATTGATTTTTTTAGCCCTGATTTTTATGTCCACTATCTAAGGAATTATAGATTTCGTCCCATGTATTTTACCACTGTGAAGGAATGAATTAGGTTGAGAGCTAGAACAAAGCGTTCTCTTTTTTTTTTACCTACCATTAGAATTAAATCAGTGAGAATGGAAACTTTTCAACTCGGAAAAATTGAACCAATAAAGAGAACCAGAAAACTGCATAGTAGGTAGGTGAAGAAATTACTTATTTTTAGAAGGAGCTTTGAGGTGTTGCTGTTTTGAGCACTTCTGATAGCAATTTTAAAATTTCCTTTTATGCGCAGTTGCGTTTACATAGTAAGCAATACTAAACCGTAAAAAAGTGGAATTTAAAAAAAAAACCTGAGTTGGTGGATTTTCATTCTTGCTGATTCAATTACATGAACAAAGACTAAGTATAAAGAAGTCTACCTATATTCTCCTATACCTATACTTGATACCTAAGACTTCTTTTGTCTATGTTCCCTGAATAAATGTGTCCAATTTCGTCTGAATATATGAGCAGCAGTCCTCTTCCATGAATTTAATCAGTATCCGAGGGTTGAGAGTCAAGCACGGTCAAAGAGTGTAGTCAGCCAGATGCTTCTCTTCTGTAGAGGAGCAATTGATCATTCAAAAATGGACGATAACTACAGAAAGTACCTATATTATTCGTATCGTCCTCAGGAGTTCTAGTTGTTTAAAACTGTATGAGTTATAGTGGAAAAAATATTTACATTTCTTATGAAAATTTCTTTTGTTGACATAAGTGACAGCCTTTAAGGCATCAAAGGATGATGTTAACTAAGATAAATAAATGATAACTAAATAAGTTTACACAAGAAAAATCATGTTTATTGTATAATAATAAATCCATCACATTAAAACTAGAAATACTATTGGTATTCACGAGGACACATATAAATAAAAATGTATCACTCTCTCATCGATTCTTCTGCCATTAATTTATGTAAAAGCAATATTTACAAGAACATATCAGTGCAACATATATTTCTGCGTGGTTCAAAATGATCAGATAATTTTTACCATAGATGTTTCATCTCTGATTTAACAAGTTAAAAAGGGAAATCTGGTTGACAATAATATATTCATGACTTCAGTTACATTATGAATCTTTTTACAAGAGTCTAAGACTTCAGTGAAAAAACAGTAACCACGACATTGCATTGTAATTCTTTACAACAGGATTTGATTTAGGGAAAGGTCGGGTAATGAGAGACCTAAGTAACAAGAGACTTAGACCACTGTTGCCTTCTGGGATGATAAAAAGAGATGGTGAAATGGAAAGTGAATTTTGGTTCATCTCTACGCTTCTTGACTTTTTTTTTACTACTCTCGGGAATCCTCATATCCTCGACAAAAACAGTCAATGAGGAAAGTAAAATTTATTGAAAAAAAAGAAGAAGAAAGGAAGGGGAAAAAAACTTGTTGAAAAACCAATTTTAAGCTTAGGACATGTAATAGAAGCATGATAAAGAAAGTCTCTCCTTTCTCGATCCGTTACTTCTGGAGGGTAATGAGAGACCAAGCATTCTTTTTTCAGTATGTTACCGGCACTAAAACTTGACTAACTTCGATATTTCAAAAGTTTGATTAATTAATTTAAAATTCGACTGTATTCTTAGACTTAAATACTGGTTACCTATTATGTAAATCCTCACATTCCAAGTACCTTTTTGCAATTTTTGAATCATTTTTGTTGGAAAAATAAAAGTTTTTATAACTCCATCTGCATTGATTTTGTTCCCTCTACAAAGTCGAAATTAGATCACTCATAACTCAACCTATTTTCAAGATATCTACCAAAAATTTTGCACAAGAGCATAATTCAATCAGTACTTGCACTGCAATACCTTCCCAGACTTTTCCTCAGCAGCACATGGGTATTGAAGGTTGTGTCTCTCACCACCCACCGAGACCATCAAAGACCCAAAAAATTGAAAGAAAAAAAAAAAGTACAAAAATTTCAGGTCTGTTCAATTTTATATCTATCATCCAAATTTTAGGAATCCATTACTAAACGATAACTGTGATGTACAGGGTGATCTAAAAGTCCCGTACCACCCTTGTAACCCCCAGGTTCTGGACCCGTTTCAGGGTAGTCTCTTAAAATATTTTTTTTTTTTTTTTGGGGGGGGGGGGTTTCCAAAAATTGTCTCTTTTAACATAGAAGCACTCGGAAAATTTACAATCATCCTTAATTTATTTAAAAGTTACAGGAGTGATGCCAGATACTGTTAATGGGAGACTTATACATCACCCTGTAAGTACCCCTTTTTGGGTTGTCTAGGTGTGATTAGGAGGCTTTCAAACAGGAGGTCAGGCCTCTTTGATTCCCCGTTTTGTCTCTAATCGCCCGACTTTCCCCTTTGGAAATTTTAAAAGAATCATCTTGCACAACAATCCTTGACTAGAAAACTTCAGAGAGTAAAAATTGGTTGGTCTTTTTTTCAGAAATAAAATACTGCAATACCTACAAAACTATGAAATAGCTTTAATTTACACGAATTTTCAATCGGCTGCATTGCGCAAAAAGAAAGTATTACTTTCGGTTCATCTATGAAAGCATGTATCTGCATAAAGAAACTAATGGCACATATGTTATTTCTACTATGAAAGAAAAGAGTTTTTTCCTTTTTACGAAATACAGCCCGAAGTTCAATCAAGATCATTGAAAAGGAGGTTAAAATTATCTGGGATTAAATTTTCACACTTCCAAAATATATTCCCTTGATAGGGTGTCCGCAATCTTAAGATTTCTCAGCTTCAAACATAACACAATGAAAGTGTATTGGCTATTAGAACAATGGTAGTAAAGTGGCTTATTAAAAATATTAGTTGTTAAAACATCAACAAATGCAATGACTGGATACAAATAATTTTTTGGGGCAGTTGGACAAATTTAGACTTCTTCCACTTGTTGGCAGAGATGCAAGAAATTTGAAGATCCAGCAAAATCTAGAATCTATTTAAAGTCGTTGATTCAGACCATCCACAAGAAAAGGGGCCTTAGTTCTTGATGGAAAAATTGTCAAAGATGCAGTTTTTGTTGATTTGGAAGGATGAAAAGATCAGATTGTGAGATTTCTATGGAGAGCTCTTTCTAGTGTGCAAAAAGAAGTTGATAGGGGTTTCATCCATTTTTGTGCCAAACAAGGACATGGGGTTCTATTGTAGTCGAGTAATTTCGTGACCTGAACAGAGCAAACTATAAATTCGAATTGCGTTTCTTTGTGAAACAAACATTTTTCAACCATAAGCTTCAACAGGGTGTCTAACTTTTTTATCATTTTGGGAAATCCTGATTTTTCCTGATTTTTGACTGCTAAATCCTGATTTCAAAATTTTTCCAAATCCTGATTTTTTGTGGAGAAAAATTAAAATTTCTGCATAAGCGTATGCGAAAGCATATAAAAAAATCCGATCAGACAGCCGACTTTTCTCAAATCCTGATTTTACGACCGATTTTTCCTCAAATCCTGATTAACCTCAAGCCCTGATAGAATCGGGAAAATCCTGATGCTAGACACCCTGTTCAAGCCACCATGACTCTGCCTAATGTGAAAATTTTGGGCACTTTTTGTTGCAAAATTTTCATAGATGCTTCAATAGAGATAAGTTTGTTAAGAATTAATGTGAACTGAGGTCCCTTTTCTCATGAACATTTGTTACCATAAGATTTAACATACAGTTTTTCTACAAAGAACTCACTTTTGCCAGGAAAATTCAATGCCCGGTTTTTTCACTTCTACATTCTACTTTTTCTGGATCTGCAGATACCCTGCAAAAGCATGGGGACAGTAAGATCCCAAAACCATTTACCTTGCATTGCAAACTTCCAGTCATATTTCATTTTTTAGGTGGAGAGCCATTGAAAACTTATCGACGGTGCAAGTCGGCAATCACATAACTCGGTTTGCGACGTTGTAGACTTCCTGTCATACTTTATTTTTTAAATGGCAAAACTACTCAACGGCAATTCTTTAAAACTGTCATGATTTTTCTTCTCAATGCGAAGAAAATTCTGCAAAAACTTCAAGAAATAATGTCAATTTGTTCTCCTTTAAGAAAATGACGTAGAGGCGGAAATTTTCAGACACCGCAAACGAGTTATGTGATTGCCGACTTTCACCGTCGTTATGATTCTTATTCTCTATGAGAAGAATCTTGCAGGGAAAATTTCAGAGCATGATGTTAATTTGCTTTTCAAGTCAAGCAAAATCAAGACCAATCTACACAGATCAGTCCTTCCCGAGGACGAGTTGTGGAACTCTACTGCGCTGTGGCGTAGTATTGAGTGCAATGCATTTCTTATGGAAGCAGCCGATGTGATGTAGTATTGAGCGCTGCCGAGTTATGGCCGGGCGCGGAAGATTTTAAAAAGATGCTCAATGACTGACCTGTGTAAATTGGTCTTTGGCAAAATGAAACCAGAGAGTAGATTTTGAAACACTGCAATTAATTGCATCGCAATCATTTTGGAATTTCACTGTCAACATGTTACATTCCAGTCCAACTTGTACAGCTAAATTACGTATCCATAAATTGTTGATTACATTTTTCAAAATTTCTTGGGTGATATCAGGAAAAATTCAACAATGTTTTTTCTCCTGCATTATTTGTCATTATCAAAACATAACCTTGGAAATCATGATGAATTGATACTTCCTGAGGATGATAAGTTTTTCGGCAGGACTAGGTATAAAGTAAATTATTATAACTATGCTGAGTTAGCCATAAAAGGAAAAGTTACAAATATACTAGAAAATCCGAAAAGCAAAAATTAGGAGGCAACTTTTTTTTAAGATCTTGCATCAATACTGCACAAAAATGAAAGCTAGAAAAAAAACACAAGGATGGACCACTTGCACGGAGTCTGTTCAATGCAAGCTAAGCTCTGAATAATACAATGAAAATTATTTCGAAAAATTCATTACAGCTTCTCAGAGATGGTTAATTTCTGGTGCATCATAAAATTTCATTTTCTACGCAAAAGCCACTTAATAACATAAGAAAATTAAAACTTAGTACTTAAAAAGGAAAAAATAAGAGGAACAGAGGAGAATCCTCCCTCTACACAGAAACTTGAGTGTGGCCAATCTAAATATAATCAACGTTCAGAAGACATTAAAACCCGACAGTGATTATTGGAGACTGATTTTTGAACTTTCTTTAGTATTTCTTCTGTAGTAGTTGACAGTGAATTATATGCAGGAGATTCTAATCCTTCTCCACATTTCTTTTCAATGAAACACAGTTTGCACAAAGACCTTGCCTCAATTGGAAGAGGGAAATTCTTCAAAGAAAAGAGAGTTGTGGGGGGGATTTGTGTCTAGGGAAATTGAATGTCAAATCACTGGACCCTCGAGGGGGGAGGAAAAAAGATTTTGTGAGGGAGGATTTTCAGTTTCAGGATTGGAGGCCAGATAAGACAATATGATGTACCATTCTCAAGGTCAAAATTAGCCCATTCCTGGATGAGAATAAAAAAGTTTATTGTGAGGAGAAGTGAAAGAAACAAAAGATTCTTCCTCAGCAGCAAGTTTGATATTGCAATTGCAGCGCATGGTACAGAACTCAACAAGCAGTTGAAAGCATGACACATTCAACAATTTTTTTTCCACCATTGTTGGGATTGTAAAAATACTACAGGACACTCTCTAAGAGATGAACGAAAATGATGAAAACCATTGAGATAAGCAAGGTGTAAATCATTGAAGACAACTTCAAAAATCATCCTTGAGAAAAAAAATTGCAAGTTCAAAAATTAACGTTAGCTTACGTGCCTCATAAGCAAAAATGTATCTATCATAAAAAAGGTTCGAGAGTCCAGAATTCCATGACCAGAACTTCCTTACATTCATTGTATTGAATCATATTAACTTAATCTGCAGGTTAGTCGGAATAGACAAAAGGAATAGACGAAAATAATTCTCACATGCTCTGGCGAAAGCACATTTTTCAAAACCACTTTTAACCACACTTATATCATAGAGAAAATACAGAGGGTATTGGCAAGCTGAAAAATGCACTTTTTTACTCACAGCTAAAAATGAAGCCGCCCTTCTAATTGGTTAATGGTATCGCTGGAAAACTGAGCCCTTTTTGAAATTTAAAAGGGAGCGGGAAAGGTTGTGAAGTTGTAAGGTTCTCACTTATTTTGGCTCTAAAAACTCGTAACTATTGCCTTTTTATGTTTCAATACGTTTTTCTACCAATGATTGACTGTAACTGAAAATAATTCGTAAGTTAAAAATATATATTTCATATACTTAATAACAACTTTTATCTCGACTCGTCCTGTTTTGAAGGTATAACCATGATAGATTACGTTCTGTACGTCATAAAAGCAGCAATTGGAGGGTCATGGTAACTAATGTTCAAATATATGACTTTCATATTAGATTCGGTGGTGATGTAGGTCTTTAAACAGGTTCCATATCATAATGAAATGTAGGTACTTTTTTTGAACAGCGCGCCAGTCCGTGTACTTTCCTACGTCAAAGCTAATTTTCAAGATGGCTACCTTGCCAGCACCTTCCGTATTTTCTCTATGCTCTTATATGCATTTTGGAAATCCTGAACATTACAACAACACATTTGACCCAAAATTTATAGGGTTAAGCTTAAAGCAAGGTAATACTGCATTAATTAAAATCGAGCGAATGTTCAATCCCAGCTGATAAAATAAAATTGAAAAGCCTTAGAGTCGAACAATTTTACGATAAAAATGTCTGCAACAGTTAAAGAGTTGCAGAGAGGAGTAAACAATCATTTTTTTGACAATCAGAAACTTAAAATTTCTTGAGGCACATCAATTCTATAAGAAGTGTCCCAAAATTAAGTGGACTCATGCTTAAATTTGAAAACTGAGCCAATTAGGAATCTGATCTCAATCCTATTTGAGAAATTAATTAATTTTTAAGCAAGCCACCAAGATCTGAAGAAGAAGTGTCAGAGTAACAGCATCTTTGGAATAGGGTAAACATGCAATTGAATACATTTTNGGGGGGGGGGGGGGGAACTGTACAATTTCTCATTTGTCTTTTGAAGGTTCCTGACGAAACTTCCCTGAGTCAACTCTGTCAATAGCTGCAACTGTCACAAAAGATTCCAAGGAGCAAGATAAACTGAACAGTTTATACGACAAACCAGAGGCAATTTTGCAATTTTAATTAGGTGTTTATTACTTTGATATGTAGAGATCATTGTTGATAAGTTCTTGGCCATTTATTAATTGGACAGTTATAATTGGCCAGTTTTCAAAATACAGCATTAGTATATAAATTTCAAGGACACCTAACATTTCAGAAATTACAACCATCTTAAGAAAAATTAGAACAGTATCATTCAAAAAAAGGCAGGTGATGGGATTGGGGTCCCATCAATAACAAATTATTAGGCCTTCTGAAGGTCTATCACTTCCTAAAACAAAATAATGGGGAATGAAAACTTCAGAATCCCTTAAAAATTAATTAAAGGGGGAAAAAGCACAAAAATTGCAGCAGCATTCAATGTGTGTCACGACGACCTTGGTGTTAAAATTACCTACATGTAAAATTATACAGTTCATCTGTACCACCAAATCGACGGCCGAAGTGCAAAACCACATACCTCCGTTTGCGATATTGTAGACTTACTGTCATGCTCTATTTTTTCTTTGGAAAACCAGTCACGTAAATTCTTTAAAACTTCCTCAATTTTTCTTCTCTATCAGCAATATTCAGTATAAATTTCAAGCATGAAGTTAGCTTGTTTATCCTCCAAAAAAAAAAAAAAAGGAGAAATGAAATATCTAAACACCGCAATGGAGATACGTGGTTTTGCACTTTGGCCATCAAAATTTAACTGGGTGGAAGGGCCTTCTCACGGAATGCAAGAAAACAGCATAAATTGATACTACATTACTGTTCCCTCTGTAGACCAAAATTGGTAACTATGATTACCCAAACAGAGGCAACCCTTAGGAAAACATTGTCATACTTGCTGACGTAAATTAGCCGCGGCAGCGTTTTCTAAGAGCATTGGCAAAAAATTTGGACAACCTTATTATCAAATGAGATGAGCAGTTCAATTTTCTGCGACTAGGTTGCACTTTGATTCTTTTCATGGAAACATTTCTTCAATGTTGCGGTAGAAATAGTTTTTTCCTTGGCCAAGTTATCATGACCTTCCTGTCACGTTACTGGTTTCTGGCCGGACCACTACATTAAAATTACCGATGCCTAGGCATCTAAGGTTGACAGAGAACATTTCCAGAACGGTTAGGAAAAGTTACCACAGAAAGCTGCAGGCGCAAGGTGCTTACAGGCACAAAGTAGTCATCAGCACAAGGCAATGATATTGTGAAAATCTTATAAGAGCCATTCAAGGGCAAGAGATAAAAACATTATCGCAGAAATGGTGGCATGGATATCAGAGCCTTTCCACTGTGTTACAGACTTATTGCCACATCATCAGAGTGACAAATCCAACATGTAGAGGCATCAAAGTTTTGAAGAAAGGTTTCTGTAGTAGCCTTTCCTACAACCTCACCTCATTTCTGTGGCAAGGTTACTTCAACGTTGCCGTAAGGTTTCTGTTCTTTTTATTTGGGTAAACAACATCTTGAGCAGCCATAAACTTGAGTTTACATTACACCATGAAGATTTCAAATGATAAGAAAATATAATAGAGCACTCAAAAACATATAAAAACAAACATGGTAAGATGATAATCCACATTTAGCAGGCTGCAGTTTCAGAAATTGGATTTTCTGTGATTCTAATGGACCAAGGAGCACTTCTTACACTGTCCAGCGATCGAGAAGTTTTGACCGACATGACTATGAATGCTAAAAAACAAATAAAAAAAATCATAAATTTTTAACTTCCAAAATTGCAATCTAAAAGTATCTAAAGGGAGAAATTTAATAGAGTTTACAACAAATTTGAGAGCTAAGAAAAACCGACAGAGAAAGTAAAGAGATAAACACAATAATTTTACGCTTTTTTCTTCTTGAATAATCAAGACTAGGTAGGTACTGTGTAAAACATGATACAAACACTTTGTTATTTTTGTTAAAAGTACCCATTTTAGGTATCTTTTTTCATCAAGATCAATGTTAAGATTATATGACTGTTATATAATTATTGTATAAAGCAATGTATAACTGATATATAAACCAGAAATACATTTCATTGTTTCTTACGTACTGCATTATTTCATTTTGGAAATCCCATTTTAAGGCAAGTCTTTTATGACAAAAACCAGGGACATTTAAATATCATTTCTGCACTGTTTATGTAACAACCATATTCCTCATTATATAACAAGATATTTAAAAACGGGTACTTATAACAAAAATCTACTATTTTCGTTGTACAGTCGTTGTGCATCTGTTATATAAATCGGTATTTATATAACCTCTATTTTCTTTTAAATTTCCTTTAAAAAATAAAAATTGAACTCTGCTACTAGGGAGGCTACAATTGGGCAGGGATTGCATTGGTCTTGAAAAATAATGAATTCTTTACAAGCGATTCAGGAGGAGTTAGGTTCCAAGAAAGCTACATAACTTTGCATTATTGCAAGCGATAGGAAAAATAGGTAGGTACAATTAAAGATGAGCCAAGGAACAGTTTCACTAACTTGCACAAGATAATAATTATTGAGCAGTGTTCAAAAGACAGATAGGTAAAGATTTAAATACATGCTTGCTACTGCTAAGTAAAAGAACAAAACAATAATTTAAAAAAAATGAATGTCTATTTTTTCATTTTGAAGCTATCTTCTCTATCCGATCACTTGACTTTAGTAGCACTTCGCACCTAGGTTTATATTTCTGTAGAATTAACGGAATTATCTAATGGTGTTTGACAGTCAAGCTTGCACAGATTTTCATCATGAAAGCCCATTATTCATAAGCTCCATTAAAATTTGACAACTCTGATGGTTTCACTTTAATTTTTATTGAATTTTTACACTCAGCAATTGTTTGAGAATTTGTTCGAGTTTCTATAAGATCCGTCACTTTTCTAAACGTTATACCTAATCTTGATCGACTTCATCGACTTGATTGTTATTGATTACCTATTGAACGTTCACCATGTTAGTAGTGTACGCCCTTTCCCGTCGTTTTGCATCGTGTATGTTACTAATGTATCCAATGGTAAAGGCCCGCATTACTCCATCGGAATCGGCGCCATTTTTCGTGGTGGGAAGCAATACCTGGTTTCTCAATTTTTTTACGTATCATTTCTACCTTTTTCCTCCTATTTTGTCCACTTCATGTAATGCCTGTAGGCTTGTCTTTGAGAAATTAATATCTTTACGTTTTAAAACTCTGCAACGTACTTTTATTTAATGACTCTTTCAAGGATCGTTCAAATTTTTTGTCATCGTAGTTCTAGAAAAATCTTTGGGTACAAAGTATCCCTTCACTAATGACCCCTATATTTTACTCTATGATGACAAGACATTTCTTGTATATATGTATGTTTCCTAGGTTACGCTCCACGTTTAGTTCAACAGCGTCTTGCAGCGCTCTCTTCTGTTTGCGCAAAACCACTTTTACATATTGAAGAGGTGCTACGGTGAACACTCTCCAACGTCTTAACATTAAAACCGTCGTCTTGTTTTAATATTATGCAAGGTTCAAAAAAAATATGGCAAAAAAAAACAAAAAACAAAGCAACTGATTACACCTGGACTATCAGCAATATTCAACATGAACGGTAAAAAATTTGCACTAAGCTAAACGAGTAAACATGACAAAATGACTCATACAAAAGCTTAGATACATTTAGGCGCACCAGAGGGGGGGGGGGGGGGGCTGACAAAAAAAGTAAATAAATTGGACAGTTTGGAAGGGAGGAAACTATCCTAACTTCAAAATATTCCTCAACAATATTATTTCATGAGAGGGTCATATGACCGAAAAAAATCTAGAGACGTCATCTAAGAAATGAGAGTAAGAGATAGAACAAAGATGTACAAATACATGGCAGAGACAGTACAGAGTTCTTCTTCTTTCAGCGAATACAGAATTGAACTCAGTACAATAGATTAATTTTATGAAGAATAATGAACTGACAATGATATGAAAATAAAAAGCAGGAATTACAGTTAAAAGAGGGTGTTAAAATAACTTACAGAAGAGTGCAATAACTAAGTGTGAGAAGAATTTCACTGGAAAATTATTGAAATGTAGGAAGGTTAAATGATATTAGTGGCAACCAAACGAAAGGAAAGTAATAGATTTTTTTCAGTAAATAAATAAAAAGAAAAAAACCAACGTGGCTGGGTTCAAGGGTCATTGAACCAATAGTTTCAACACATGGGTTACCAACTGAATTTATTTATTCAATTGCTTCAAAGTTGGTTCATCAAAGTACTATTCATTATTGTATTAGTCTTCATTATAGCAACTTGAGCCTTCTCAACTTGTGCTCTGATAGCAGTTTAAATGACAATTAAGAAAAGCAAGACATAAGTAACAGGAGTCGGATGAAGAAGTTATGCTTCACTTAAAAGACCAGATATCTAAGAAGAAAAATAAGCTATTTAAGTGCTCCAAAAGTCAAACAAGAGAATAAGAGGGTAAAAGAGGGATCTCCATTTTGGAAGGAAATAAACTTTAGCTGATGGGCAAATCTGGAGAAAGGGCCCAAATTACAAGTGTATCTTGTATGTTAAAGACCGTACACGAAGAGAAATCCTTCGGCAAATCCTCCAAACTTCCTGACCTTCTGAAGTCTTCAATATTCATAACCGAGAAGTTTAGGCTTAAACACCAAGGGCTAGTTGGCAACTAAGCCTCCAAATTTTGCTGCATTGTTAAAAACATGGAAGCAACCGATTCTTCATCATTAAGTGCTGAAGTTTTTGGGAGAGCCTAGCTCACAAAGATTGGTGGTTATGCCGAAAGATTTCTCTCCGTGTAAGCAAAAAATTTATGGAGAGAGCCTGAAGAAAAGATTTTCTTTATCACTTTATGTTGATCAGTACGATGAGCTTCCTCGGTAATTTTTGACTCTTGCATTTTTGAAAAATAGGGAATGAATTTAGTTTTATGAATTTTCTCAGATTTTTTTTGAACGATATTGACCCCTGGAAAACCAGTTAAAAATTACACTGTTTGAGCTCTCATTTTAACTTGCGTAACTGAGGAAGTCAAGATGGCTTTTACTTCCTAAATGGCTGAGTGGTGCATCTGCTGCTCGGACCAAGAACCACAGCAGAGGCACCACATGGACAGAAGTGTTCGGCTTCCTTGAAAATGCGCATTCAAATAGGAGTTCTAAATACGCAACTTCCAACTCCTTTTACAAAGGTTAATGTAATTTTTAAACAATATCGGGAAAAATTCCTGTCAACACTCATTACGTGTGTCCACGTGTGCACAGTGTCCACAACGTTGACTGATTGTACTTGTCCCATTTACGATGCTGGAGTTTATTTTTTGTGAGGCTTTGTTGAAAACGGAGAAAAAAATTAAAAGGAACAGGCCTAGAGTGAATGTACCTGCATTCATTGGGCAGTTGTAAAAATTGCTTACAAGCCAAAACTTCGTTTTAAGAAAAATGCATTCGAAGTTTCAAATTGTCGATAACTTGTCGCGTTTTTGAGAGAATGAATGAGGTTCCAAAGTTCTCGCAGTTAGAGTTCTTGTCAAAAATGAATGGCATGAAGATTTAAATATTATTTGTATTTGTATAAAAAAGTGTTTTTGCCCTAGGGCCATTATTGCAGCTGCCTTATACATTCATCATTTGCAGAGTTTTACTCTTTCCTGACTTTGAGGGGAAAATGTGTCCCACCAATAATGTCCCTTTAATTAAGTGTTCCTTTTAGATAAAATAATGAAAAATCAATTTCAGATACTACAAGAGCAACAGCATGCAAAGTTCTTGCTACCCTGATACTTAATTTGAATGCAGAGTTTGAATGCAGTTATACGAATTTTAATATTAATATTATAAGTTGTGCATCTGTCCTAAAACGATGAAAAGCCCCTAACCTCAACACCATATATGTACTAAGAACAGGATGAAATTATACCAAACATTTCTGACAGTGGCTTGCAGAAAGTAAAATAAATCATCATTCACCGAGAAAAATTTTCTGATTAAGATAATATTTTGTTTGAGAAACGCAGGCAAAATAAGAAATTTTTCATTTCATTTAAGCAAAATTTTCCGATTCATAAAAAATTTTCCAAAATAGTGCGATCAGCAACAAAATTTTGCTGTATAGAAAAACGGTGATTCAATGTGGAAAAATTTTTTTGGTCTCCTCAATACTATGCTTCGGAAAATTTACTTCTTTTAGAATTATAATTTGGTAGAATCTTTCAGATCTACCAAATTTATTTTCAAGAATTCCATTTCAGAGCTCAATTTCCCATTCACTCCTTCAATTACATTTTAAAATATTATTTCTGTTGCACTTCTATTTCTTTTAAAGACTGTCATCAAATTAACCAGATATTCAGATTCATGAGTTGATTTTCCTTTTCATCAGCGGTATCATATCGATGGCTAAGGAACAGAGCAATACTGCCTACCTGCAAACTGACGATTTTGCAGGACGAAGAGAAAACTTCGCCTCTTTTGTAATTTTAAGGTTGGATTTGCCATTATCTTTATACATTAAGCACAGAGTCATTGTAGCTCTCCCATGCTAAATTGGAAAAAAATAAAAACATCAGTTTGCCTTTTTTAACTTCAAAATATGCAGCAAAATCACTGACTCATTTTCGCCAAAATTTTCAGTTGGACGGTATTGCTTCTTAGCCCTTGTTATATTCTTTAAGTCGTATGATGAAACGATAATTGACAACATGGACATAAAATATGAAAAGCAAAACAAAAAACAAGCAGCACTTACGCGGCGCAAGCTGCATGAACAGACTACTTCAGTGCCATCTAGCAACATTTACCTTCAGCCGATGTTGAATTAGTTATCTTCGGTCTTCCTAGTTTCACAGCTGAACCAAAAAAAATTACAAAATTATATTCATTGAGACAGAAAATTCTGGGAACCAAAAAAAAGGGGGGGGGAGGGATCTGTTGAAGTGATGACAAAATAAAATAGACTTAAAAAATTCAATTTGAAATGGCCAATAAAATTCACTCTCTTCTTACAGATGTAAAGAGAGCCTGCAATAAACTATTCTTTCTCAAAACCTGCACGACTTGACTCTCTCCATGATAGGTTTTGATTGGGCAGTGGCAAGAAATTTTTACAGGGTTATGGTGTCGTTTGTACTGTGTAAAATTTCCTGGAAAAAAACCAGAAATTTAATAAAATAGTTCAAAAAAGCATATCTGAGGGGAGAAAATCTAATCAAAATCCGACCCATTCGACAAAAGCCGACATTCGAGTTGACATAGCAAGGAGAAGCCAGAGACTGAGTTCAGTCAATCAGCAAACCCTGTTTCCCCCGCCTAACCACATCATCAAAGTCCACATAAAATGTCATTTCAAACTGGTCCCATTTTAGGCACCTTCTAAATGCGGTTTCTTTGCAATTTAGAGCTTTTGAAAAAATTCCTGGAAGCTCAGTTTTCTCCATTCTTTAAAAAAATGAATTGAAAAAAAAAAAAAAAAATTGGTGGCCCTGACCCATTCTTATTATGAAAATAAGACGGACAATCAGAAAAAATATTCCAATAAAAATTCTATTGCGCGGAGGCATCCAAATTATTTTTCAGTGGAGAAAACGAACAAACGTTTACACACGTTTCATAGGCAGGGTGATAAACAAGATACAAATCGGTGGTGCGAGCAGTTTCCTCGGTATAGTTCCAGTTCATGATGCGTACTATGCATGTTAAATGTGAATAAAAGATGCCGTACTATATCTATTCTTTTTCATGAAGTTTTGAAAAATTATCGTTGGCTATCCATGGAATAGAATTTTCAAGTTAAAGTGATTAATTACCACTCCTACTTGAGAAAGGCTACCATGATGGCTAAAATGCGATAATCTTAGAGGAGGCTAGTCGTGGTTGATATTATGGGGATGTGGCAAAAAACTATTATTCAAAAAGGCTGATTGAGTATAGATATGGCACAAATCTTCGGTTTTATTGAACTGTGTTCTTATTTTATAACCTTCACCTACCCTTCGAACAAAAAAAAAAATTTAAAAAAATTCTGTTGGCAAAGTTTATTTGAAAGTCATAGTATTGTCCATGCGGGGAAATTTGAATCCCCTCAGGCAAAACATTCAGTGTCAGTCTGGTTCGAAAATTCTTGGTGTGCTAAGCTGTTTTCAGTGGCCCCTTCACTCAGATGCCCCCCCCCCCCCAANAACAACTAAAAGTTCTCCTTCATGTGGGTTTTCCAAATTTTGAGGGGCCCTTACAAGAGTCCTACCAGAGCCCTTTAAGCCAGCCGTCAGAATTTTTGAGGTAGTGGAGCACCGTAGCACCTTTGGCTAGACGGCCCCTGAAAAAATTTCATTTAAAGAATTTTCCAGTTTAGAGAGGGTTCTGAACATTTACACTTTAAATTGGACATTTATCCTAGTTGGCATAGTTACTAAAAAAATTGCTAAGTCAGTCTTCTACACTTAGATAGATGTAATACCTATTTGCTGCAGTCTATTGCAATGGATTCAAACCATTGAATTGAAAGAAACGAAAAAATAACCATTTCAGCACCGGAGATATGAAATTCTTGAGATTTAAGTTACATATATATATGTTTTTGCGAAATTTCCTTTGATGAGGAATTCTGATGAAAGTGATGAAGCTGTTGGCATCCAGTATGGTGTATGATACATGAGTGTGTATAGAACATTTTTTAAGGTGAAAATATTGCTGATCAAAATAATTTACATCAGGGCTAAACCCATTCATCTTAGAGTTGGTGAAAATAAATACAAAGAAATCGATTGATTCCATTCATATTTTACAGAGATAAGTTATAGAGGAACAAATCATCAAGTCTTTCAGATTGGATACTGTTACTAATGACAGAGATGAAATGAATGGAAAAAGAAAAAGACGACACACATGCACTGAGGAAACTGGAATGAATGATACATACCATTGTCTTAGGCCTCAAAGAAAGTATGGGGGATAAAAGAGAAAAAATCAAGAGTGTCACTTTCTAAACTTGCATAAACAGACAAAGGTCTGAGTTTTTATTTTCCCTTTCGAGAAACAACTGGCAGGGTCTGTCTCTATGTTAGGCCAACAGGTCATAGAATCTTTTTGCAATTGCTGCAAAGATGTAATGATTCAGTTATGGAAACTTTATTCTCTCTTCCTAGTGCTCAAGCAGCTTGGTATTGTCATACATATATAAAAAGCTCCGTTGTCGGGAAAGAGTAGGAATTTGATTGTTGTGCCGTTTACTTTGGGGATTCTTACGCTCCTGCTCTCCTCACTAACACAACCCAGCTCTCTATTTTTCAGACTCTCCCAGTCATATTTCTAGATTAAAAGTTCTATTGTCATCAGGAATGGTGGTGCAATGGTACCGACTGCTGGGCTGTGAATGTTTATGACATTTTTTACAATAGTGTCGGGCAAGTTGAAAATGTGCAAAACCATTGGGAAGAATCACAGAAAAAATGTCCAAATTTTTTATTAAATACCCTGATTTCCCTGACCTAATGGAATTCCCTGATGTTTGATTTCCTAGACCTGCAGACACCCTAGATAAAGAGATATCTTAAAGATATTTTAATTTTGTGAAAAGATAATGCAAATAATGAAAAATAAGACAAGCTTTTACATTTTTGGCAATAAATGGCACAAATTAATAAACCGAACCCATCACAACCTAACCTGACTGACCTACAAGGATCAAAGTATGAGGTTAGCATTGGGTTTTCATGTTACATATGTTAGTAACCAAAGAGGATCCCTTCTGATTTGCATAAGACAATCAAACTAATGTGCGCCCAACCAAGAGCTACGATAAGTTCCTTGTGGATTTTAAAATGGATTTCCGAGTTATCAATGTGTCACTTCAAACCTAACCAAAATATTTGCCAACTTATGCATTGACACTGTTGGTAATAAAACCAAGTGAAAGTTTAAGCTTCAGCTGCTTTGACTTCACCCAGGAATGGACTAATTTCGTTTACACAGATGAACAGAGATGAGTAGTGAAAAAATGATCATAAAATTTGAAAATGGTTTAGATGGATAAGAATTATTAACAGTATAATTCTTTCTTACCATATCCTAAGCCTTGCAAGAATAGTCTCAGTGCTTCACACACTTTGTTTGGTTGTTCTTCAAGAACCATGCCGCAGTCGGAGATCTGAAAATTTTTAGGGAAAGAGAACCACATTATTGGCCATAATACTGAATAGTACCGAATAATAAAGAGAAAAGTCAAAATATATTTATAGGTATGAGGATTGCTCTTGAATATTTTTTTCTTCCGAACTCAGCAAAAGTTTAATTTACGCTGTATTTAAGTGTCATAAAAGCTTGCTAAGTTGTTTCCTATGCAAGCCAGAAACCCGTGTAAGTTGTCAGATTTGCCTGAGGTTCAGATAACTATGAATTACGTAATGCAGAACCCGCTTATGTCAGCAAAATTCTTGGATCCTGACTTGGAATTATTATGAGTCATAGGAGACCAACAATATTCTAGCCCTAAAATTGGTGGTTTTCTACTGAAAATGTGTACTTAAAAAATACAGACTTACTTTCATCCATGATGAATTGGAAGGATCCAATCTGGAGTTCAAAGTGACTGTGTCATTAACATGTGGACTTAAAGAACCTGTTATATTCATGACAGGCATTGATAAAGTTGGCGATCCACCACCTTCCTTACGGCGATTTGGGTCAGGATCTCTTTCGATATTTAGATCCGTACGGCGTATGTAACTATCTATGAATAAAGCAAGATTTCCAGGATTCACACACCGCTCAAAATAATTTCGATAAACTTGAACTAGGTCATGATTTCTCTCTTCTGTGCCCTGCAAAATACCAAAAAAAAATTAGTAATAAGAATGCACTATCATTATAAATTGATTTCTAAGTGAAGGGGAAAAAATTAAATTGAGTAAACTGTGCAATGGAGATGCCATTTTATAACCTCTGGGCATCTCTTTTTGGAAAATTCTCAACTCTATTATTGCAACAAAGTCTTGGATGAGGTTGGCGTTTCCTGCGCCTTTGATATGCAGAATAGTTTACTTCCCTTCAAAAAGCACATGAAAAAGGTAATCTTAAAAAAAATAGTTTGTATGGAAACTGTAGAAAGATATGCCAAAAAAAAAAAAAAAAAAAAAAAAAAAAAAAAAAAAAAAAAAAAAAAAAAAAAAAATTTAGGTAATTTTCGGCTTTACCGGCTAAAAATACGTCAAATTGTCAATTTCTTCTATTGCACCATTTGACCCCAAAAGGTGTGTCCCAAAGTCACTTGGCATGCATTGGGAAACTAACATTTTTTTCAATTATGGTTTATTTTCGAACAGGTGGCCTTTCAGGCCAGCAAACTGGTGCAAGCTGCACCATCCCTCTCCTTGTAAGAGGGGGCTTCACCCTCTTACAGATAGTTATGAACAATTGTAATCCAAACAGTTACAAAGATTGAGTTCAATAAACTTCCCCTGTATGGACAAAATAAATAAATAGATAAAATAGATAAATAATTAAATAAATAAATAAATAAATAAATAAATAAATAAAGAAAAAAAACAGAAGAAAAAGAAGAGAAGAAGAAGGCAACAGCTAAATACCCTTCCAAAATGATGCCACATGAGATAATCAAGAACCCCTTGCGTCATTCCTTTTGACCTAAGGTATCTTGCATTTAGCTTCTGATAGCCCCACTCTATCCATCCAGCAGCCGTTGAGACAACATTTATCAAACAAAGGGCTTCAACCTGAAAAGAAAACAGAAGCACCCTCGTTAGAGAGAAAATCGAAGTGGGATAATGGATATGAGAGGTTTTCTGAGTGATTCAACGTACTCACTCTTAGGTTGTGATTAACACAGACATAGATCAAAGTCACATTCAGTGACGATTCTTGCAATTTAGCAACTCTGTTTTTCCTCCATTTATATGTATGTTAAACAACCGATTCTATGTTAAACAACCCGTCGCACCTAGAATTGATGAATTCAATGGATCTAAATGGAGTATTCTATCGTGCTACGGAAAAACGCTGTATGAACATCTGAGAGCTGCCAAATCACCCCTCTTGAAATATTAATTTTCAAGACAAATAACGAATATTTCTACTTGGAATTATCTGATACTTTAGATCATATTGCGAAGAATATTCTCTGGAAAATTGGTTGGGACATTTTCACAAGTTTTCCTGAAAGGTCGTTTTTATCAAAAGACATTTGGAAACACAGGAAGGTTCAGACGGCGTTCTTTCTTAGCATGGCAATATTGATGATTTGCTGGTATTGCCACCAATCACATCCAAGAAATCTCTTGGGGTATTACACCGATTTATAGATCCAGAATTTACCCAAGATATTACTGAAATTGATTTGAAAATGCAAATCGGCAGTGAAATCAGCATCATCCCTTGAGGTTTCTTCAAAATTTACTTTGCACAGAGAGAAAATATCGCGCTAGTTTTTAAAAATTGACAATGAGTAGTTCTCCATTTAAAATATAAAATATGACAGAAAGCCTACAACGTCGTAAACCGAAATACATGGTCAGGGAGTTTCGTCATCGAAATGTCAAGTTTTTATGCCATACGAAAAACCACAAAAATTCGTTAAACACCTCAAAGATTTTTTTTCAAAGGAAACCCTAGGTAGGTTTCTATGCCAATATGCACATTTTGTGCAGAATAATGTTTTAATTTCCAAAAGAAGCTGTTTTTGGCTCCACTCTAGGGTGCACAGTATGAGGAAGGCTGGGCCACCACGTAAGTTCAAAGTTTTTTGGATGCACTTTTTGTTGCAGAGTGAATCAGAGGTAAGCAAATTTATGAAAACTACTCTATCACAAAATAGATTTCACACAAGTATTGGATACACTTTTGTCGCAAAGTCAGTCACAGGAGGAATATTCTCGACGAGTTGTTGTTAAATATTGTTTTAATTTAATAATGATCAACTGCTATGCTACATTGAAACTACCTTTGACTTGATGCTTTTCCTTTGTAAAATACACTTTTCCTACACTGGATGTACAAATCACTCGAAAATGATCGGGATACTTGTAAAAACATTTTCCACACACATTTGTGTGGGGAAAAGCAAATGCTTAACATGCCTAATTGATCATTCCCAAATGGGAGAAAAGCACCTACCCCTCAAATGCCTCTCCCGCATCGCTTTGTGGATTAAAAATCATCATCCCTTTAATATTCTGTTGAAAAATTATAAATATTCTGTTCATTTCTTTTTTTACGTCACCATTAATTGGTATTTTGTCATTTTTTTTTTTCTGTGCTACTACAAAGTGAAGTACCTTGTCCGGATTTGAAAGAGCAAATCTTGCTAGGATGTTACCACCAGCTCCTACACCCAAACCTATTATTGATCTCAATCCAAAATGAGTCAGGACAAAATTCAATTGAGCAGCTAAGTCATCCATCGTTGGGTATTCATAACTGTAAAATATTCAGAAATAATGTCAATCATGCAACAAACAAACAAAAAAGAAAGAAAGAAAGAAAAGACATATATAATTTTTTCTAAAATAGCAAAATGAGGTGGAAGTGGGCCCGATCAATCATTTTTTCCCACAGTGTCATTCCAAGGTATTAAGTAAACATGCATATAGTTTTTCTCGTACCAAAAACTATGAAAATAAACTATCTGCAGTCCAATTTTTCCTATGGCCAACAGATTAATTATAGAATAATTCAAGAAAGAATACTTCAAATGGTTCAAAATATGGCTGTAGCAGTTAGGTGACGCAGAGCACTAGAGAGTACTGAAAAAATGGCTCAAAAAAGCATGTAAGTGACACATAAAAAGTGTGTATGATCCGGAATAGTAGAGGATTTTTTCATGATTGAGTGCTTCTGTCCTCAACCCTATGCACTCAATGGTTGATTACAAATCGGCAGAACTACTTTACAAAGTGTGTTACTACACGAAATTACTAATACGAATTACGTAATTACTATACAAAGTTGGCTGGTGGCAAGGTAAGTGAAGCGTGGGTATGCTCTTCCCGACCCTTTCAGCCAAAACTCGCTTTTGGCTCCTGCCGCTAAAGCTGTGGCGCGAAGTTTGAATTTCAACAATTTTGCAGTCTTGGTCGAAAACAAATATAACCGTCTGCTGTTGATAAAAACCAACAAATTCAATACAAGCGAATTCTTTAAAAATGAACATTCATTTGATTTTAGTATTATGGCTGCTTTTTTCATTTTTATCAACAGCAGATGGTCATATTTGTTTACTGCCAAGACTACAAAGTTGTTGAAATTCAAAATTCGTGCCACTGTTCTACCGGCAGGAGCCGAAAGCCAAGTTCTGGCCGAATGGGTCGGGAGGAGCATATCTACGTTTCACTTACCTTGGGCTGGTGGTTGACAAAAAGGAAAGAGGTGGAATGTTCCTACATGATGAGGGATCCTTGACTCACTAGTTCCTGCCAAAGATTGTTGATGACTAATTTTTCCAGCTTTTTTTTTACACTAGTGTGTCGACTCTCTTCAACATAACAGCCTTACTGGTTGCACTCAAATGATTGAATGCCAGTATAGTAAGATAAGTGATCTTAAAAAGTAGCTCTAAGGCAAGAGAATAATCTCTTCATTATAGTAAGAAATGATAAAAGGAATACGTGATCACTTCAAAACAGCCGTTTGACTGAATCAAACAGAAATCCAGGTAATTTTAACGATAGAAAATTAAAATAAGATCGAAAATAATGCATTAAATGATAAAATAACTAATTGGAGCATTATTCCATTTTTAATCTACATGTATGAACAACAACTTAACATTTACCTAGATCTCTGATGATCATTGCATATTCCTTAAATTTTAATTCAGTCAAAGTCCTGAGCATACTTACTCATCTGGAAATGGGGGTGCACCTTCCTCCTGACCAGGAGCATTTACATGATAAACACTAAAATTATTCAGCAATTGTCGCATATCCAGATAGTTGAAAAAAGCTTGAAAGCTAGACACATCTGAAAAAAATACAACACATGCAGTGAATTAAAGGAGCATAAATCCAAAAAACAAGTTACGCAAAACTAAAAATCGGTACTTTTTCAGTACTTTCTCAAGAAATTCAGTACTTCTTTGACAGAAAAATTCAATACTTTTTTACTTCCTTTATTTTACGAAATTCGAAGAATTTAAAAAATTTGAAGAAATTAGAAAATTTGAAGAATTTTGAAAATTTGAAATTCTACGTCGAATTGCGACGAAAATGACGTGGACACAGAGTTTCATTGGTGGCTTGAAGATTAACTGACTGCATAATCGCGATCTTGCCCGCAAATACTACTCTAAGAATCAGTGCGCCAGTGATTGGATACTTTCCAGGCTTTATAAAAAACCACGCGTGGTATGAAGGAAAAAATTCCGGACCTTCTTGCGGAATTTTCACACTTTTTCAGTGCTTCCGGACCGCCCTTTAAAAATCAGTACTACTTCCGAACTTTCCCGAAGTTCCGGACTAGTAAACATCCTAGTAACAGGCAAAACTAAAACAAATGAAGCACCGAAACAGCAAAAGAAATTATAGACTTACAATTTAGTCCTAAATCATGGTACGTCACGATTGCTGGTTTTGATCGGTTCCCTTGAACGGCAACTAGAAGATGACCTCTGTCTGTTTCTACTTTAATTTCTTCAACATCAGACCCTTCTCGAGATAAACTTCGTGCCGATGGAAACTGTAGCTGTACATTTTGAAGTTCGATGTCATCCATGGAATCTGAAGGCATGGCACTGAAAAATAGACAAATGCAAATACTTGAGAGGAGGGACATTATTACAAGTGACAATAAGGTCAAAATTTTCGGTCAGAAACAGGGAAGTATGGCTAAATATTGACTGCAAAATTATCCCTGGGGCGGGGGGGGGGGGTTGTGTACTATACAAAAATTTAATATATTTATCAGCACAGGCTACTTATAAATTTATAATGTGGTCAATGCAGCTGATCTATTTGATTAAATTTTGAAACAATAGACCACGCACGTTACAAGGTTCCAAAAAACTAACTGGATGTATACCAATAAATTAAAACTCAAGTGTTATCTCCTCGTATAATTGACATTTTTTTTATGAACGAGTAAAAACCTTCATAAGTACAGGGTTTTCTTGGAAGAAAAAAGAACTGCATCGTCATAACGGTAATAAGTGGCTCTGATGGTGGTTCTTCAGTGCAAAATGCAGTCTAACTGATGAAGTAAACTGTGCCTATCATCCATTATATTTCATGTTATTCTCTTGTCTCTAAAACTCATTACGTATCAAGTATTCAAACATGATAACATTTGTTGTGTTTGCAAATTTGTGGATAAATTGCAACTTCCTCAAAATTCCCGGACATTTATGATTCGGAAATCCTTCGTAAAAACAGGTACTCAACATAAAGAAGAAGTTGTCTGCAGAGCAATGATAGTGCTTTACAATTACAAAAACATCGCGACTGCATTTAAGCTTGTATGCTTTTAAGCTAACATTCTGAAACACAATGCGTAATACGTGATAAGTGCGGAACCACAAATCCCCGTTTCATACACTGCAAACTTCCTGCTATCTTTTCTCCTCTTCTAACAGAATATTCTGTGGAAATTTCAAGCTATAAAATTAGTTTGTTTCTCTTCGAAAAATTAAAAAGGAGCGGAAATTTTTAAACACTGCAACGGAGATACTTGATTTCGGTTAAGCACAGGGGAGAATTTGGACTACATTTTGCAATTCGGAACTATAATTTCTGGCTCATTTGTAAAAACACGTATGTGCATAGGAAAGCTAATGGTGCACACATTGTTTCTACACTGAGTCAGAAATTATAGTCCCTAATTAAAAAATGTAGTCCATTTCATGAGCGCCGCCGCCCGCGGCGCAAAATGGTCTAAAACTCAAGAATAGGAAGGAACAAGTCGGATAATGACTGGAAGATCAAGAAAGTTTCGTAACTGTTGTTTTTTTGAGTTGCTAATTTCGAATTTGATGTCAAATTGCCTAAATTTTAACACCCTGACTTGTTAATTGTGGGCAAGTTTACGGCACGCATGCTGCCGCTGCCAGCGCGAAACGCACACTGACGCCTACAAACCTAATGGAATACTTCAAGCATTACGCAATGCGTGAAGTACCCCTTTAGGCTTGTAGGCGTCAGTGCGCATCACGCGCTGGCAGCACGCCGCGGCGCCCCCGACGCAGGCGGGTGGTGAACGATTTCTTGCGGGGAGAGCTCTCTGGCGGAGAAACACGAAAATCGTGTAATTTTTCTTTTATAATTTTCGACTTTTAAAATTACACACTGGTCGTGGGAAGTAATAAGTAAACTCTCAACGCTAGATGAAGTGTAATAATGAAAGGAAAGTCGTGCGTAAAATTCTTCCCTGTGCTCTGTCGACGTGATTTTGCACCTCAGCCATCGATATGAATTTTCCTATTCCTTAATTTGGTTCCAAATAGAGGAACACAGCAAAAACATTTCCAAAAGTTGATCCCTTAACTGACGCTTGGAGCTTTTTAAGTCAGTCAATATGTTGTAATTGTGAGAATTCCATTGCATGCATCTGACCCACATACTTAGCCCGTTCGATATTATTTTTGTCTCCCACTTTGACTTCTAGTTCGTAGGTATACAAGTTGGATTCTCGTTTTCTTTCACAAGAACTGTTGGTTAAGATGAATGTTACTGATAGAGCGTCTAATGCTACACCATTAGCTAAATTCCTTGCTTTTTCATTCCTTATTTTTCACTTTTCTCAGGCTTCCCAAGAATCCTCTTTCCAGAGCTTCCGCAAAATCCGTACTTTTTCATGGAATACTTTTGTTCCAATGTTTCCTTCCTCACGAGTCTTTTAAACTTCGACAAGGTCATATTTTTGCAAAAGATGAGGAAATGCGGATTTCAAAAGTAAAAATTAGGAATTCTGGAAGAACTGAAATGTGCAGAATCTAAATACAATTTCACGGAGACGGGCAGGCATGATGAAGTATCTATAAAAATTGCACAACTTCAACGCTCTTCATTCAACCTTATTGCGAGAATTTTGGATTTCTGTGCATTTGTATGAAAAATCCGTGCGTTTTTCGTGTGTATGGTACCGGACAGAGAGCGAATTTCATCTTCAAAGTACGCTCAAAACGCAATGTAAAAATTAAAAACATCTGAGAGGCAAATATTTTAATTAGTGTCAGTTTAGCTCGAAAATTCTTGGGGTGCTGATGCTTGTTTCAGGTCCCTTCTCTCGGGTGGCCCCAGCCAGGGCAGCCACAGAATTTAGAAAATGAAATCCCCTGACATTTCCCTGATTTCCCTGACACATTTTGGTGGAATTCCCTGACAATTGAAGATGTGACTGATGCTTTAGAAGACATAATTGAAAATAGTTTTCAGGCAAAATTTGTTGTTCGAAACCTCAAACCTACTCTAGAAAGCAAATGAAGGTGATTTAACAGGATGTCGAGTTTTTTTCATTTTGGAAAATCCTAATTTTTCCTGATTTTTGACTGCTAAATCCCGATTTCATGATTGTTCCAAATCCTGATCAAATCCTGATTTTTTGCGGGGAAAAACTGGCGAATGTAACTTCACAAAAGTAGCTCGATAAAAAAATCCGATCGGGCGGCCGACTTTTCTCAAATCCTGATTTTACGACAGATTTTTCCTCAAAACCTGATGAAATCGGGATTAAATCCTGATTGACCTCAAATCCTGATAGAATCGGGAAAATCCTGATGCTAGACACCCTATTTAACAAATTTTCCCTGACATTTCCCGGTTTTCCCTAACTTTTTAAAATTCGCCGACATTTCCCGGTTTTCCCTGACTGTGGCACCCTGCCTCCTCCCCCCCTCTAACTACCCTAAAGTCCTCGTTTATGTGAGTTTTTCAAGTTTCGGGGCCCCTTATGGGAGTCTTGCGGAGGTCCCCTGAGCCACCCGTCAGGATTTTTTGGATGGAAGCAGCCTAGCGACCCTGACCAGACCACCCCCTGATTTTAATATTTCCTCGATGACTTCTGCAACTTCATCATGCATGCCAATTATTGTGAAGGAAAAGGAGTGTTCCATTCTGTCACGCTAAAAAAAAAAGACGTATGAGCCTACAGACGTAGCCAAATTTCCTCGGATAAAATACGAATTTCTTGGTGAGCTTATGAGTATTTTTCCTCCAGTTTTATGGCAAATTTTGTTCACGATTTCACATAAATTTCCTGATAATTTCAAGGATGAATATTAATACCTTCCCTCAAAAAAGAACATTTTATCGAAGGAAATTTGGCAACTCTCGAATGTTGATATGCCGTTTTCCTTGGCACGGCAGCGTTTTTACAGCGGTAAACTAGAAATCAAAGTGGGGGCTTCGGACAAGAGCAGAACCGGAAGGGCGATGTGGGTCAGGTGGTCAGGTGCATGCGATGGAAATCCCGCAATTATAAGATACTATATTTACGACTGGTTGGCTACGTTACCACGGTGGTTTTACTACGGAGACCGTAATTACGGCGAGAACCAAAGGAGAATAAATGAATATTTTACGGGAATCGACAAAATCGATTTTAGCTTGGCCAATCGCTTGCAGGTTTGTGCACCGAGAAAAATTTCCTTGACTACTCTGCCGTGCTTAGGAAGAACGCCGTATGAGCCTTCAGGCGTTGCCAAATATCCCTTGATAAAACACGAATTTCCTGGTAAACATATGAATATTTTTCTTTCGATTTTTCATGTAATTGTCTTCGCAATTTCACCTGAAGTCCCTGAAAATTTCAAGGACAAATATTCATAACTTGCCTCAAGAATAAACGTTTTATCGAAAGACATTTGGCAACTCTCAAATGTTCATACGGCGCTCTTCCTTAGCACGGCAGTAACTCAACTGAATCCCGATTAGAGGAGAAGACCGTAGTGCTATTCAATGATTATCTCGCAGGAATTTCCTTTACGGGTTTCCCTATTTTAACTGGTTGAGGTAACCAGCGGGCTGGTTGCGAAAATTGATAGACAAAACTATAGACAGAGAAGATATATAGGGAGTATGGAGTGATCCTATTGATTGGTTGAAATGGGTGGTTCCTATGGACCGAGGGAGAAAATGGTGGACTAACTATAGGGCCTCTCGTGGCGTGGGTTGCCGTTGGTTAGTCTATTACTTATCTCCTTTGCCCATTGCAACCACCTACTTCTACCAATAGGACCCCTCTACATTCATTTTGTATCTTCGTCCATAGCTTTGTCTATCAATTTCAATAAATCGGCCCGCAGTCGAGTTGGGAATATGAATAATAGTTAGTAGGTATTTCGATGCATCTACTTGAGCTGAAAAATCTCCCCTCAATTTTGCACTGAAAATCTCGGCAGAGCTCATTTTGTGACTCTAATTTTAATTTGTGGAATTTCTGGATCTGATTCCCCGCTACTACACAGTAGCAGTGATCGCGATAAGTTGCGCTTTCATCGGAGAATATATCGCCATTTTATCGACATCGATTTATTGCAATATTATTAAATAACGGATTGCGATAAATTGCGATTTCATCACATAAATGAAATAAAATCGCGATTTTATCGACAGTGATTCTCGTAATATTATCGAGCAAAAAATATTGATAAATTGAGATAAAATTTCGATTTTATCGAATGCGATTTTATAGAGATGAAATTACGACAGAATCGAGGATAATCGCTCAGATGTTGACGATCCTACCGATTTTATCGCCCGAAAATCGTGGAAAAATCGCAACTTGATTTCAAAACTGGAC